ACGGCCATGGCTTATTCATGCTCAGCTTTTTGTCAGTCCACTGCTGGATGAAGGCGTCCCTATGCCGTGACAATCGCGTGGGTTATTTAATAACACTTGACCACGCTGGTCAGTGTGGATGTTAAGGGGGGGCTGGGGGCGAGCTCAGGACAGGTTAAGATATCACTGGCCACTGATGTTAGCCGGTGGTTAGAGTAAAACTTGGACTGCAATGTTAAAAGCACGGTTTCAATGCTACCTCACCACTGCAATTTATGCACCTGAAAAACATTAAATTCAGCATCTGTGAGTTGTGACATTAATGGAGGTGTGCTGTTCTCGCTTCATGTAATAAGAACCCTTATTGAGTGATTGTCTAAAATATTGTCAGCAATGTACTATGTATCCTTTGTTAGTGGATTTTTTAAAGGCAATTTTAGTTTAATCTGCTAAGTATCCCATTCACATAAACGCTGAGACTGCAACACAGGCAATGATTCATGCTAGATCATTAAAGAGTGTGTACTATTTAACATTTCCATTTGCTCGGGACAAATAGAAGTACAATCATCAAGACGTACTGCTAAAATAAAAAACAACAACAAAACATGCTGTCAGTGATACGGAGAAAAATATTCAGTTCAAGATGTGAGTTCACTTGTTAAAAAGCTCTCATGGTTGTATTATGGTTCTGTGGATGTGCTATTCCACAAGAGTGCCCTATGCTCTGAGCTAAGCCTATTAAAGGATGAGAGGTGAAATGTTAGCTGAAGAGAAAGGCTTTTCTGGGCACTCCCATTGTATGACTAAGATCTCTTATCCACGGCTGTTTGGTATATAAATGTAAATAACAGAACAGGATCCTAACTTTAGTATGAACTTGGCACCAGAGTACCACTTAAGTTGGCTGGCACATAAAAAAAACACCTTGTAGATGTTTAGTAAAGTGATTATATATATCAATATTATTCCATTGAACAATGTGGAAAAGTACAACGTATGTGAGGGTCCACAAACACACACTTGAGCACTTGCAAACGCTTGCGAATGTGACAAACTTGGCAAGTGACGAAACGATCGACCGTGTAACGGGCACCTCCAGGGCAAAGAGATTGCTACGTGAGACCCAAGGCTGTTGCTTGCGCAAGTTGTGTCACTGTGTGCGTGTATGTGGTGGTGGTGGTGGGGGGGTATGTGCATGCATGTGCATGTTGTGAGGTGGGGTGAGTGAGTGCGTGTCGATGCATGTGATGGAGAGCGGTAGTGCAGTGGTTAGTGCGCTGCACCACGAACCTGGTGAACCAAGTTCGATTCCCGCTCACGGCCAACACAAGTGACGATTATCTGAACTGGGTCCTGGGCCTCCTTTAGGTTGACTCAGCCTCAAATGAGTGCTTGGTGCGATGTGTTGGAGCTGGGTCTGGTGGTGGCTACACATCCTCTCATTGCCGTGTCGGCCGTCATAGGTGCTCGCTAACAGCGCTTGCCCACAAAGTCTGTTCAGGCTATCGGGGGATATTTGTCTTTTTTGCACGAAGCTGCAAACTAAATTTCCAGTCCTTCTGTTGAATGGGCACAAGCCAGGAGCTTAAGTGTGCAGAGAGTGGAACCAAACTTGAAAGAGGGGAAGAAGTATGTGAATAAGCTGAAAGCTCAGCCTCCCCCACTTGGTATCTGATAGACTTTTCAACCTTCCACCTACACTTTGCCAAGTAACAATGTACATGCTTTTCCGACAGAATTAATAGATTACGGGAGAGACTACATTGCCTAGTATCAGCATGTACTATTTTTGTTATATTTTTTAATCACACGGAAATATTAATTCCTGAACGCAATAACTCACAGGCAAAATTTAAAATATTCACCAAGCGACTGGTGAAGCAGTACATTGGTGTACCGACCCCTACATGAACATTATTTAAAGAAAAGTGTTATATACAAAGAGATTTATAAAAATGACTTAAATTTCATGTAAAATAAAAACTTTGTATATTTGGACACAAAAACGTTTGTATAACTATGTATATATTTCATTGTTCAATGTTGAACAATGACAGAATAAATTGTGTTTATACAATGATCAAGGCTTCACATGTGTCATGAATATCCGGATACTGCACTCTATGAGCTGCTGATGTGTAAATATACTTAAATTAGAAGTGGTATTGTATTCAGAAATAAAACTATTTTAGGATTCTTGCAGACTATAAGTCAGCATATTCAAGGACTTAAGAAAATAACTGAGGTGCTGGTGCGAGGTTGTTGCACACAATGAGTAGTTGGTTTAACCTTGTGTTTTGCTTTTGGGCTGACCTTGCAGATGTAAAGGAATTGAAAATACCACAGCCAAATCTCGATCCTTTAACTATTTTAGCTCTCACAGATGCAGCACCAGTTATTTTTGAATAGGCATTATAGTCTGTAGTAAAATAAGATATATTCCATTCGGAATTAGCCAACTATGTTGGCTTACCTTCTACGTTATTGGCTTTGGGTTGCACAAAAATCAGTGCAGAATTGCATTGTGGAAATTTGAGTCACATTGGTTCGAATGTGTAAATAGCAATTAAATGATTTATGTTTGTGAGTTGCCGATTAAAACTTCTACAGTATGGCCAGGTGAAGTAGAATTAGCTGCTCACAATTTCTAGTAGGTGGTTGACTAAGTCCCATCGTTAGTATGGAGTCAATTAATATTATTTTGTGGGAAGGTAGTTGTTCAATAGATAAACTCACTCCCCACCATAAAAAATGTGTATTTTTTAACCACTGGTTTCGAGTTGTAAACAGCAGACGGCCAATCATTAGAATTTAAATTTGAACAGGACATCGCTTGAAACACCATGCACCCAGTATTGCAATTTTTATTTTTACTATTTTGTGGCAAACAAAATCAGTGTTCATACACAGAAACATTTTACAAAGAGCATTTGGTAAGTCACGTAGTTAGAAAAAACGACGTGACTTTACCGAAAGAACCAAAGAGTATGGATTCCTGCAGTCACGAAAGCTTCAATTCAAGATTGCATTTGGTATCTTTTAATTTAACCAAATACCAGTCCATTGAGAACGACATTAAAGTCCTATGAAATAGGCAGGTGCGACCTGGTAAATAACGTGTATAAGTAATCCCCTCTTGATAGATGAGCTATACTGCAGTTTCACGTGTGGCAGTTTATAAACATTTTCAGATTCGAGAAGGATGTTGGCTAGCGTAACAGTGACATATAACACCCTAAGCGCTAATTCCCTATTCCGATGGTCATTCTAACAGACAATCCAATATTGAATTTCCACTCAAAGTATGTTGCACTTCTTTTGCACCGTACGTAGCCAAACGTGGTGCGGGAAATGGACATAACACGCATTATCATACTCGAATAATGGCCTTTATTTATACATAAAGTCCAGATTCTCAGGAATCCTTTTCAGGAGGATCATACACTGGCAATTTTGCCGATTCCATTAATGTGTTTTGCTTCGCGTGGGCGAAAACAAGAATATTAAATGAAAACCCCACGCGTGCGAGGTCCTGACGTTCAAAGCTCCGAACAGATAGATTCAAGAATTCTCTTCTAGACACTATGTACGTCCCATCACTCGGCCAACTCACAAAAGTTACGAACTCACAAAGAAAGTGGGGATTTCCGCACTCACAGTTCAGAGCTGCTTGTCACGCGTCTCCTCGTGTACTTGGAAGTCATCACTTCACCCCACGCTCACTTCCAGTGAAGAAAGCAGCACCGCCACCCGATCGGGAGGGCAGGGGGTGAGGGTGGGCGGTGCGCTGACCCAGGGCCTAGGCGCAGGCTTTCCGTGGGAAATCCAGGCAAAGCGGAGTCCCCCAAGAGCGCCCGCGGGCAGACGCTGATGCCGGCATCATTTGAAACACTGAGAACGTAGGCGAAAAGTTGCGGGCGAGATACGCGGTATTTTTAATGTCGTTCGCTGTCCGCTTTAAGTTCGTGGGGGCTTTTTGCCGCAGTTACTATTAAGTGTAAAGAAATAAGTAGGCTGATTGTAATGTGTTACGGGGTTATCAAAACAAATAGCCACAGCGTCTACGGGTCACTTCGCTGGACACCTTTTGCGATTTTCAAATCGCGTTTGTATAACGAGGGCCGCTCTCGTTGCACGTGGGTGTAACTTTAATGTCGGAGGCCCGGGTGTCGCCAACGGGGCCGGCATGCGGCTCATCTTCAAGGACTTTGCTTTCGTGACGTTTGTTTTCGTTCACATTGTATTGACGGCCCTTGAAAGAGGTTTTAAAGATATATACTTCTTACCGAATTCGAAAAACAAAACGCCTCGTCTTGAAAAAAAAATAGAATAGGCGTTAACCCTTTCTGGAATTAAATCAGGTGTTAAGATGTTCAAATCCCAAATGGATACATTTGGCAAGGAATCAAGTCTGCAATAACCACACGTAATTGTGATGAAAACGCAAGCTAGCATGCTCTCATAATATTTGCCATTGTCTTTGAAACTGATTGGCCTACACCAGACAGCTTTTTTGTCCGAGTCTCACCATTAGTAGACCAGAGAACGCCAAAAGGACGAACAGTACAAAGACAATGCACGCATCAGGGCGGTTATAGCTCGGGTTGAGCAGCTATATCAAGCAGAGTCGGTGGTTGTTTACTTGCCAAGTCCGATTCCCCCGTTACAGATCCCCCTTCGCCAACTCGTATAAGGGTCTATGTACGAATCTAAATACAACCGTTATCTTAAGAAACAGTGGACGTACTATATATTACCTAGGCAGTGGGGGGAAGACGTTATTAGCTGGAATGCCTGTGATATTACTCTCCACTCCATCACACTGGCCTATGTGCTCTACATATAAATTGACCAACACGTCACTTATTTTTCCTTTCAAGAGTGTTAACAAACGTGTTGAAGTTTGTTATTTTAATTATGGAACAGAATTCACGTGAAATTAAATTTGTATAATGCATCTCATTACCTAAACAATACACATACATAAAAATAAAGATTATCTGTTCGAACAAAGCTTTATTTTCCAAAACTATCTTCCACAAGACAACATAACACCATAAGCAATAATAAAATAAAATTAAGCAATTTTTTTTTTACGGTACACGGTTTGCTTCAAGGTGCTAATCACTCCGGAATGCCAAGCAAAGCATTTGAGCAGTTTCCAAATGACAATCCGCGATTAACACACGTAGTCTTTAAGCCCAACATAGTTGTGAACGTTTACAAATATATAGTTCACGTCATGGTCATGCAAAAGTAATGTTGCTTAAAGTTTAGAGCGCACAATTTCCTGACATAATGGCTACGAGCAACACATTTACTTTGCCAATAAAATGTGTTACTCGTGGTAGGGCCATCAAGTTCAAGTTAAGGTCTGACAAAATATCACAAACAAATCGAGACAAAGCATCCTTGGACAAATGTAGTTTAAACACAATACACTACTACAATATATACATTACTCCATTCACGTACATTTTTATTGCAAAAAAATGATTTATACTTTCCTGAAGAAAATGAATGAGCAACACTTTTACATAGAATTCTATTGATACATTTTTATAGCATTTTGCCGAGCTAAACAAACCTGCTTTCCATCTTGAGGCACGATGGTACTTAAATGATTAGCCTCTATTTCATGTCATTTAAAATGCTAAAAGCCATGCAACTAGTCCATTTAATAAGGAAATGAAGCTTTCTTCGTTCTATTTTTGACCAGTAGAATACACCTGACTAAATGTAGGCTGCTTTCATTAAAGGTAAACAGTTCCCTATGTAGTGAGCCTGGCAATCCATGCGTTACATTTACCTCCAATAAGTAAACCCATATTTTGCGTATGATGCAGTCATTTCACACACGCGGTAGAATACATCGCAAAGAGAGTGCATGCAATTGCAAGGGCCTGCGTGAGCAAGCACCACAAAAATAATACTGTATATACTTTTCTAGGTATTCCATAGTGCGTGTTTAAAACAAGTTGCTCTTGCAAATAACAATATTTGGATTTTAAGAAAAATAAGCCAATGCATTTCACCTAAGCTGATGGGTTGTTAAAAACACTCCATATGCATTAAGAACCCCCCCCTCCCAAGCCACACCCATCCATGCCTGTTACCAACTAGTTTTAGTGCAGGCAACATCTCGCGTCTACTCTGGAAGCAAAATGAATTATTTCCCAGAGGTGAGACCTCTTTTCCAAGGTGGCTGGGTGGCCCAGAGGTCAGAGAACTAAGCTGGCATCACCAATGTTCTGGGTTCAAATGCACGATTGACCCACCAGGCTGGTCACAACCAAACAAATATGCATCCATTAATTATTTAATGAATTTGGCTGAATACCAGCCCTGAGAACTAAAGAAATGTATGTTTGTCGACCATAACATTTTTTTGTAGCAAGGTGTGATAGTGTGCCCTCTAGTGTGTAAAGATCGCTTTCAGGGTGTTTAAGCATTTCTAGGAATCTTTCTGGAGGTCGTACTCCTATTGCTCTGCTAGGGTACACAAGTGTTAATTCTTCTCATAGCACTGTGCCTCAAAGCACATTTGGAAGTAATTTGGTAAACTATATTCTTATTGTCATGCATTCAGCAAAATGCTGCCCACAACCACAGATAAGCATATCTACAGAATTATGAAGCCTCAATTAAAAAAAGCTCTTTAAACATGGACAACATATAGTTAGCACGTAAGTAGGAATGCTCTAAGAGATGCCGAGTCACAATTTATCACTCTGCAAGCACAAGCCAAAGTGGCAATGTTTTCAAGCCGCTTGAAGAAAATATACCGCCAAGAAAGTCACATGAAAAAACAAACAGTTCGTATGCAACCTATGTACTCGGAGGGTGTTTATCAGACCCTAAATCCCTGCCATTTCGTTTAACACAACAAATGTAAATTATCAATGTTTACTGTCAGGGTAAATGGTGGTGCATCATGGACAAAACATGTGACAACAGTAATAAAGTTATCAGGAAAACTTGGTTTCACTTGCAGCAACAGATCTGATCCCAGGTGTGCTATTGATAGTTGTATGTGTCTTAGATCAACAGCAATCATGTTTGATAACACTATTGTCAGGAATCGTACTTGATAGAGAACCCTTTAATATTTTCAAGTTTTGAGAAGTGTGCAAATAGGACTGTAAATCACATGTCGAATACAATACTTGAGAAAACCTGCACAATACTGTTTTAGCCAAAAATGTCCACCACCCTACACAACCTATAACGTGCACATGCATGCATATGGTAACAATATGTAAATGTAATGGCGCCAAGGAGCTTGCAATGTCAGGCGCACATTGACGTCATGTGGACCCTGTTCAGGGAGCTTACAAGGTCTGCCTCTGGCGTTTCAGTCTCAGGTAACACGTGCATGTGGATTCATAATTGAAATAGGCAACAGTACTGGGATTCCGCCAGATCAGTCTTATGATAAGCCGTACTCGATATGCCACCTGTCTGGTGGAAAACGCACCGATGAAGTCACTGCCATTACAATTCAGTTACTCCATCTGGACGTGTCACCTGACTTTGGAAAATCAGAGGCAATAAACGTTGTAGTCTTCCTTAACTTCAGTCATATGCCAATGCGTATTCACATACCAAATATACAATCAAGAGTTGGATAGTACACCACACCTCAAAAACCAAATGTTTCCAGTTTTCGCATATAGTACATTCACAAAACTTCAAAGACCCGATATCCTGAGTTCCATGTCACATCTGTTGCTTGTATTTACAACTTTGAACACACCCATCGCCTGTTTGCTTGTGTCCTCTTCACTTTTTCCTGCAACTTGTTTGGGTGCGTGGTTGGATGGATAGCAGACAGAAACAAACAATAACAAAAATCATGATTATACTAAGCACATTATTACTCCGCTAAAACAAACCACTTGCGCACCTGGAAGGAAATTCACTTCAACAGGTTTGATGACAATTTGAACTGGCACTTTGAAACATTATTGCTAGCCTCGCATGTCTAAATTAAACTTTTTTCAGGTCTCCTAGTCAAAGGCGAAATGAAAACATTACATACACGTGCATAGTATTCACTTTACCGTGAATAAAGCAAATGAGTATTGGATATTTGGTAGCAAGTATGTGCGTCATATGTGGGTTTGCTAACGTAGCGCGATCGGAGAGTTGTAGGTACAGATCACCACAAGTGAATACGTTCCTCGTTCTAAATGGGGTTTCGTTATAAGCATGGTTTGAAATCACGAGGAAACACTGTATTACTTAGAAACACTAAACTCAGGTGTAAAAAATTGACAGGGATGAATTCCTAATATAGGGTTAGAGGACTAATACATATCAGACAGCTCTCATGTAAGATTTAAAATTTCATTTTGATAAATAACATACAAATACACTACTCTTGTTAAACCATGGTTTCTTTAATAACACATGCATTTATTAGTTTATTATCACTGGGTGTCAGATATACTACTTGGGTTTAGTAATCAAGATGACAACAGAGAGAGAAGAGCTGACTGCACCCCAGGCCAACTTTTGTTCCCCCAGCCTCTGCTTCACAGATCCATCTGTGCTACTCTCTTCTCCTGTGTGATGGTCAACAAAGAACTGGTTACCTACACAAGCATCCCCACCCAATTTACATGGTTAAGCGTGTACTGCAACCAATGACCTGGAGTCTTTAGTAACTCAACACCATGGGAGTGTCTCCCTATATGAGTGCATGCGTGATGTGAGAACTCTCTTACCAAGGTCGCTGCGGTCCAATAGAAGATCCAGATTCTTGTCACTAATCACAGACCCCTCCACCACTCTGCAGGGGAAACACAGATGCACTCTCTTAATCAGGCTGCTCTCCTGTGTAATGTGACAAGTGCGTCAAGCATCAGCACCATAATCGTCATCAGCCAATGTCTATACACTGGTGGATGAAGGCCTCTCCAAACCACTGGCATCTCTCATGGTCCCACCAGTCTTGTCCATCAGCTATCGTCCCAATCAAGTGGTGTTCGACCCGAAAACAACTTTTGAAACAGTCAGTTGGTCCAATTTATGTCCGTTACCTAATCCATCTTCTTTTGACCTCTGAGTTCGGCTTTATACATTCTCTTAATTTAGTTTGCCTTTATTGTCCATCATTTTCATCTCAATCTGCCTTTAACATCTCCGATAAGTGCAAAGATATTCTGGCACTTTCTGTAAATGACAAGAACCTCATTCTCTATTTTTGAGTTGCAAACCTTATACTACGGCCAGCCACCTAACAATACCAAACACCATGCCTATGGTTTTAACACCCATGCAAGGAAATACTCAATGGTGTGTGTGTGTGAGCAGTGATATGCTGTGGGCATGCATTGCACCTCTCACCGTTGGTGATCTGGGCACTTCAGCAGCTCGATGAGCTCCTGTGGGTCAAGGCTGTTTTTCACCTGCGTCATGCCCTTCTGGCCACCTTTGAATTGTTCTGCAACACGTAAACCAAACACAGCATTGCAAGGCAGGAAATTAACAAATAATCATCATCGAAATCTGACCCACTACATTAAGGGCCCTGCAATGAGGTCTAATACCCCTGGCAAACATTTAGAGTCAAAGACTCATCTTTAACATCAGAATGGTGATGGCGAGTAAATCTCAAAAGTCCAGATGGCCCAAGTTGATAAACTAAATATTTAACCTTAGAAATAAAATAAATATCCTTACAAGTTTGATTATTTATTCCAAAGTTAGGTTTCTATTTCCAAGTGAATGCAACAGTGACCCATACATTGAAGTGTGTGTGGGTTTCAGTGTGATGGATGTCTTGTGAACATGTGGGTATGCATACACGGTGCGAGTCGTTGAGTGTTGACAAAGTGAAGAATGTGGGTGGTGCATCTGTCAGTCACATTTGTTGAAAAACCAAACACCTGAAGCTGTCCTGTAAAATCCTGTCAGCAAGCCGTTGCCATTTCACATGGCCTCAAAGTGCACCTAGCCTGGAACATGTGCTGTGGTTACATCACCGCCACTTGGCTGCAAATGGTGGCTATTGTTCGTATATGCGTGTGCATGCGATGGGTGGGTGCATCCAGCAAGCATGTGTGTGTATGTGTGCGCATAGTGTGGAGGACTGGCATAGTGGTTAATGCACTGCATTATGAACCTGGTCTGTCCATGGCTAATAACAGGCACGAGTGATTTTTGATTCGATCCTGGGGCTTCCGAGGTTGACTCTGCCTTAATGCACACCTGATAGTGTATAAACTTCAGTACTGCGGAGACAAACACAGTTGGATATAGCACTAGCTCCACCACCCACACATGCATTGTGGAGGCCTTAATAGGTGGCTGGTTAACAGCACTTGCCCTAACAGCCTATCTTCCTCTTTGCGTGTGCGGGAGTGCGATGGGTGGCAGTTTAGTGTGTGTGTGCATACTGTTGTGGATGACTAGCTTCTCGAGCCGCCGCTTCTCGCCGGCACGCTCCACGATGCGCTGGTCCACCGTGTTGGCTGTCACCATGCGGTACACGACTACAGGTCGCGTCTGTCCGATGCGGTGGCAGCGATCTTGTGCTTGCAAGTCCACCTGTGGGTTCTGCAAGCAAAGACCACAGACGGGCACATAGCTCTCCTACGTGCTTTCACGTTGTGCCACACGCTCTTCAGCGCGATGTCTGACGTTTTGCCCTATGTGCTGGAAGCTTCGTTAACAAGCATCTGCTTATACAGTATAACTGCGAAAACCTACGCAGCAAAGCATTGATTTTTCCCAACACAGTTACACATTACTGAGTCACAAGTCAACTGCATTTCGTGGCTTTAATGATGTAAATGAGAGTCGAGGAAGACCAATTTAATAGAAAGGCCTGGGCCCACTGGGTTTAACGCAAACCCTGCAGAGATTTGAGCGACTAAATTTAATTTAGATGGCTTGTAAAATGAAATATACGTTCAAAACAATGTTGAAATTCTTAAACACTGCTTTTTTCACTTTTCTAACCAAACATGTGATTGTGCATTAAAAAGACCTTTAACAGTATTTCTTATTCGCTTGACTACCCACGTTATGCAAATTAGCCATCCACCGTGCTGTTGAGTACAACAACAAAACTTTCAAAATAATTTCAAACAAATTTGCATGCTGCAGACCTATGGGAAAATCAATTTAGCAATATTGGGAACTGCTGTGGTGTAATGGTTAGCACATTGGATTACGATCCTAACGGCAATATTGTGACCCTTGATAAATGTAAAAAATTGAGTAACATGGACAATGTAGGCAACTTTGTTGTGGGAAAGTTGCACTGTTTTAAATTTAGTGCAAGGTAGCGGCAGGCAAGCCTGGCGAATCTGTGCCACTTACCCAGTCGCTGTCGTAAATGATGACCGTGTCGGCTGCTGTGAGGTTGATACCCAGGCCACCAGCCCTCGTGCTCAGCAGGAAGATAAAAACATCTGGGTCTGTGTTGAACTTGTGCATCTGTTCGCATGCACAATATCCCCACAGGTTAGTAACCATGACCCATTAAGACATATACGACATCCAATTACATCATGAATTCAGCTGTGCTAAATAAGGAAATTACTGATTTAAATACATTTGAAAAAACAGTGACAATTTTTCAGACTATTCCCGATATTAATATGAATACTATTCCCGAGTTCTGAGCAATGCTCAGCATCTTATATTCTTAAGAGCCTACAAAAAGAGCAATGCTTAACTCCAATGATTTATGTTTTTTTTCTGGAAACATGTTCAGTACAATGGACCATACAACAAATGCTTACATTTTCCTCACGCTCCGAGTATTTCATGCTCCCATCGAGCCGGCTGAAGTGGAACTTGCGAAGGTAGCAGTAATCCATGAGGATTTCCAGCATGACGACCATCTGGGAGAAGATGAGCACCTGCAAAGCACAAGGGCAAAGAATGCCACGATGAAAGGACCCAGTTGATCAACAAGATGTATTGCTGGGAAACGCAAAAGTTTTGGTCTAGGTGGGCACCCTCGGATACAAAGTGGTCAAGGACTAAGTAAATCCTGTGGGTAAATTCAACTTTCGTTGGTAAGCTGGCAATGTTTGTCATAATGGTAACCGAATCGAGTAAAACTTGGTGGCTGGAAAAATATACCAATGTACCTCAACATTATCTAGCTACACAAACATGTAAATTATCTTTTAATAAGTCTGGGTTACCGCAAGGAATCTGCATATTTTTAATTGTGGAGTGAGAATCAAAGTAGTGACTTGAAGTCCATGTAGAGATACTGTCGGTGTAGGGTGTGACCATGAGACTATGAGGTGCACCAGAGCTTGGCTAAACACGTGTGCCATGTCTGCAGAATGGGAGGCTGAGCAGCCCAAATCTTTGGTCAATGGACAAGTCAAAATAATAAGAAGCACCTTGTGCCCGCGTTGCCTGAGTTCTGGCAAAATCCGGTCGAGCAGCAGCAACTTTCCAGAGCTTTTCACGAGATTCTCATCCACCTATGGTAACCGGAAACACGGCAACAAGAGTTCAACATCGCTCACTAGACACACAGTAATGCCAGTGACACACACACACATGGGCACTTCTGCAGTTTTAACAAACAGTAGGACCCCGTATAATAAGTCAAGTGCAGACGGAATCAATGAAAGCAGGGTAATGCGTAAAATTGTGGTTTCTTACAGTCAAAATACAGGAGATTTGGTTGTTTTTTGGACTGTTTCTTTTAAAATCCTGTAATCTTGCTGTCACGAGAAAATTATATGCAATAAGCATATAAACTATGGTCATGATATTCAATGAGTGCCATTTGTCAAAATAATAAGAATCTTGTTCTTACCCAAAAAACCTTGATCTCCGATTTTACAGGATGGTGTCTACTCACTCAGTGTTGCCACTTTCCTCTGAGTATTTTTTCCAATTTTACCTATGACAATCTAATTATAACTGGTCAAAGCAGCAGTTGCATAATAAAATACAAAGGAGGCTCAAACACTAGGCTCTTTAGCAAAGAGGCTACATATATTGTCTTTAATGCAGTAACAGGTAGAATCTGATCTGTTGAGCAGCTAATTCGGAAACACTGACCACGGCCTTACCTTGAACTCTCGATCTGCAGTGAGGGGATACTCGATGAGATACGGGTGGTTGCAGCATTTCCGCAGCATCATCAAAATGTTAGAAAGCTGCACGTTCAACTCTGACTTCTGTGGTGCCCAGTCGACTTTGATCCTGCAAGAAACAATACCCATTTGTAGTGACATACAAGTGCACATTCGACATCTCACTCAGGATGACCCAAGAAATGAGACTAAAATTGTGAAAAAATGTTTTTTCCAAGGAAACCTTCAATGGGTCGAGAATTTATAAGCACAATCCTTCAATGGGATGTTTGGCCAATTCCATTAAAGGAGTGCTTTACTGTGGGACAAATCCAATGCATAACAAAAAAGTTACACTCTAAAGCAGGGGTGGGAATGTCCGGCCCGCGGGCCGTACAAGGCACCGCAAAATCATTTGGTCTGGCACTGCCAAGGCAACCGCAGGCGGGAATCGAATTTCAATAAATCTAGGCGCAAACCTGGAAAACAGTTGCGAGTAGCAACATCATCAATACCAGCTAACATCACACGCCTCACCAAAGATAAGCAGTTCCAGCCATCACATTAGGGGTTAGTTAATTAAATGTTTGACCAAATATAACAGGCTAATTTTTAAGTTTATAATTTTGTATGGCCCACGAATGATGTTATATAAATATTCAAATGGCCCTTGGCAGAAAAAAGGTTCCCCACCCCTGCTCTAAAGTCTAGAATATTTCTATTGCCATTTCCTGGTGATCTCACCTAAATGATATTGAGTCACACCTGTGCGATCCAATAACCTTGCCTCCAAATCAGTAGATGAATATCATGTGTTACATGCCTGGTACAATGGTTACTGGTAGCAAGTCTCAAGTTGTTCCATGCCTATTACCAAGATATTATTTCTGATTCCTATGAGTCAAGACATCTGTACAACAGGACACATGGTGGCTGCATTTGCATAAATAATTAAGCATCTTGGGATCTGCTATGATTTTCAGTTCGAAAGTGGGTTGAACTGGTTAATAATAAATAGGTCACTCACCTGGTTTAAATGACTGTATAACACGCTCTCTGTCGCATGGCTAAGTATAAATTCTGTATCTCACTGTGACGTATTTAAGAGAACACACTATTGCAGGCGCAAAGGGGTTCGTGTGCCCCAATGTTCACAAGCCTCAAACGGATGCACCACCTTATTATTAGCGTGTAACATGTTATTTGGCCCCCACAAAGGCATTTTTTTATGCTCACTTGTATTGTTCTTCCTCCTGTGCCTGCCTCGCGATCAGCTCCTCCAAATTATCGATGCTGTTGACACTGTCATTCAACTCGGCGTAGTTGATCTCTTTGCGTATGTGCCGCCTGGGCCGTCCATTTGGGGTCTTCTGCTCAGGCTGGACTTCCTGCAAAAACGGCTGTGATTGCCGAGTGGGGGGGTGCAGAGGGTACAAGGATGGATGGGTTTTAACAGTTTAACAAAGAGAAAAACTCATTTGAAAAGTGCTGAAAATATCAGGAAATTGATAGGAAATACTTGGGACTGAAACGGCAAGGCCAGCACAAGATCAAGATGCAGAGAACATTGTCAGTCCAGTTAGATCAGCATTGAGCTTACAATAAAAATGACATATCCTCACTTTCAGGTGTCTCTCGCTTTATGCAGTAGATGCGTTCCAAAAAAAGGGATGCACAAAAAAATCGCGGAGCATCGACCACTGTCACCCAACCCACAATGCACCGAACGTACAGTACACACAATAGCCCACGTTCAACCGCAAAGCTGCACGAGTGAATTCAAACCGCACATAGTGAATGTTTGGTGGAAATACGTTTGCCGCATGACACAAACCCGCATAAAGCGAGGCAAACGTGTACTGAAACAAAGCAAGGTGTGAGCATCAAAACCAGCGCAAGACTCAACCCAGGATTTTTCAAACTCCAGTCCTCGCAGCCGACCACGATCCACCTTAACCAATATTTTCTGCAAATTACGATGTTACGTTTATACACGACACATGCCTGATGATTGCAATATATCACAATCAAAATATTTATTTATACCGGAGGAGTCCAATGAGCTATGCAGCTTTTTTCACAGATGTCCAATGCAATGTAGAGAATGCTCCTACATTTTAATCAGTGCTCTTTCCTTCCTGAGATACAGAATTAAACGAATACAAGATCTCCATCTTAGTATAATTGTTTTTTATATCAGGGGGAATGTGTTTAGCAATATCAAAAGGCATGTGCAGTGTATAATGATCCAATCTGAATTTGAACGGTGCAGATTGGTAAACATGGAAACGTGGACCATGGCAAGTCATGGGGAGTACAGTTTGGAAAACATTATTTAACCTTTAATTTTCAGTTTACGGAACTGGTTCCAATAAGATTTTTTTTTAGATTGCTAGCTGTGGTTCTCTAGAGTAATGTTAATTATATTTGCGCACTCAAATGTTTACAGTAGAGAGCAATGTATGATAAACGATAATCAGAAACTTCATATGCATACACAATACAATGTTGCTTTCAATGTTCGTTTATCTTAACATATTGTTACCTGGTTTAAAAGCTATTTTTGGAACCAGTGTTTATGCACCGACACACATGAATAAAATACCTTACAATTCTAGTATTTTAAAAATATATATTTTATTTGCCCTGTCAACATTTATTTTATGCCAATGGGTTTTTCTCCCTCTTAGCGGGCAAAAAACCTAAAACTCAAGGATGTATGCCAAACGCTGAGCAGGCTCAACACATTATGATCATTCAGGCATCACTAATCCGTCAACGGGAGATGTTTGGTTTAAAACCTTGAGTCAACTTAAGTGAGGACGGTGCTGTAATAAAAAGATGAAAACATTTAGAGCCACCCCCTTTTGTGCCCTAACATAGGCAAGGGTGCCACGATTAAATTAGGCATTTTCTGAACCACCCACACACCCAATGCTCAACGATTTGCCATGATTCGAGGCCAAAATCTAAATTCAACAAGCATTTTTTTGTACTGTTGTGTTGTCTCAGATTGAGCCTTATTATTTCCTCTAGCTGAAAAGTAACGCTTTTGTATAATTTGCATACATTACATGTATTCTCCACACACTCAAGTAAATTATGTTACTATAAGCTTAAGAATGGACTTGAATTAACCAATGATCTGTTACATGCCAAATATGGGCAGATAATCATAACTGTTAATATTCTTCTGTGCTTGAGAGTTGGAGCTACGGCCAGGATTGGAAGTTATTGTTACGGCAATCTTTCATAGCTGTCATTCAGACTAGGATTACAACGAATATCTTTGTTCGGGGGATTTGGTTAAGTCCTTTCCTGTAACACAGGCATCACTGCAGTCCATTAGGCTTCCAAAGTAATTCACGGTGTCTCACCTTGGGGTTGAGAACGCTCCTGATGGTTTTGTTCACAATGGCCTTGTAGAGGCGATCCTGTGCCGCGGTGAGTGGTGCATACACAAGGACCTCTCGCTTGGGTGGCACATCAATGGTGACATCTGCTTTGAGGCGTCGCAGCAGGAACGGCGTCAGGATCTGCATTACAGGTAGGTGGCAGGAATGGTCAACACATGGCAGGTTGCAGCGTGCCCACCACCAGACTCCAAAATAATTTTAAGCCCAATTATTTTGCTCCCACTTATCAAAAATGCATCAAAATATACGTTTGTCTTGTTCAAAACTATTACAATTACTGGGAATGTATTTTCACGAATTACTGAACATTAATTTCACAAGAGAGATGGCATTTTTCAATTGGTTGTGAAAATATGACCATTTGACCATGGTGTTTATGCACGTGCTAACACAGCATTTTGTAAGGGGCTGAATGGGTATAATTTGTATGTTTGTTCGTGAGCAGGGTGGGTTTTTAAAAGTTTGTTTAACCATGTTAGAACTCAAAATATGCCGATAGCCTCATTTGCAAGAGTTACTTGGGTCACCAAATTGACAAAAACAAATAAAAGTACAGCAAAAGAAGCAAATAGAAATGACAGCAAAAAAAAACTGCCCCATGGTGTGCACCTGGTGTAGCATGTGAAGAACTTGCTCCTGTTGTTCCTTTGCCACAATCTCCTCCACGCTACCACAGAGGTTTGACACATCGAACCATGTCTCGAAGCTGGGCAAAGAAACAAGATGTGGGGACACAAAATGCCTCAGGTTAACTCACAAATATGGTCTTCTTCTCTACACACACACTGGAGCAAGCAGGCTATACCTGCAAACACTGTACATTTATTAAAACCACAAAAGGTGCACAATCCACTTGACCACTATAAAGTCCAAAGCAACGTTGATTTCATTTTGTATTGCACCATTCAGTAATTGCCCAGAAACAATGGAATACAATCTAAAATTGAATGCCATTCATTTACTTAATGCATATAGTTTGGAGGATTGCAGGGCGGGCTAATGAAAGAGGGACTGTAAATTAAATAAAGATAATGCTTGATTATAGCAGTGTTTAAGTGCATCAGTATTTACACTCCAGTGCCTGCGATGTTTGGTCAAGGCGACCCTATCGTTTCGCAAAAATGCCCGTATTTTCCCACCTTTTCAGGTCATCGAAGACTTCGGGCAGCAAAAAGTTCAGCAAGGACCAAAGCTCTGCCAGGTTGTTCTGTAGCGGCGTGCCTGTGAGAAGAAGCTTGTTTTCGCTGTGGTAGCGCTTGAGTTCTCGGATCAGCCGGCAGTTTAGGTTCTTGATCCGGTGGCCTTCATCGAGCATGAGATATTTCCAGTAAACTGTCTGTGGGAACATGGCACTGGTGAACACTGGGAGAGCGGTTCTGAGTTTCCGGCACTAATCATTACAATGAGCTAAAATTTACCAAATTGAGTGAAAATAAAACGATGGTTTGAGACCATGATCTCGCAAGAATTGAGAACATGGATAATCATGAGTGGCTGCCTGAATTTTTACCCAGAATCTAAGTACAAGATAAGCACTCCAACCCCTAAGTCAGCAACCCTTCCTCACTTTTTCCCATTAAAATGGCAACTACTGACTAAAAAACTAAAGATTTGATCTACTTTCTCAAGTCATCCAACAATGGACAACTCTGCAACTATTCACAGAATGTGGTCACAACCACATAATGGACTGCTGACATAACAGCCCAATTAAAAGTACAAATATTGAATGATGTGCTACATTTCTGAGGTACATCATCAGGAGGGGGCAAAGATGGGCACCTGCAGATACTTGGCGTCAATCATGGCAATTTCGTACGAGGTGACAATGACAGGGCAGATATTCAGTTCTCCCTGCTTCTTGGCGATCTTGGGACGCAGCAAGCGCCGCTCGTCGGCAGAGCCATGGTATAGCATCACCGGGATCTGGAAATCAGGGCGATGTCAGTCAGCGCGTTGCTGATAGATCATATCACTAAGTAGGCAAACACAAAGCATGCAGTCATTTATGAGTCAATAAATGCAAACACGCTAGGAAATACAATATAGACATTTCACAGCAGCGTGACAATGCACAGCTGCATACTCTCACCTTGGGGGTGAAACGCTTGAACTCCGAAATCCAGTTTGGCAGAGTGGAGAGTGGCGCCACCACCAAGAAGGGGCCCATCACACTGCTCTCCACCATCAGAGCCACCGTGGCAATGCACTGCACTGTTTTGCCAAGCCCCATCTCGTCCGCCAAAATCCCATTGATGCCGTTCTCCCACAGGATCTGAACAAGTGCACAAGATGAGGGCGGGAGAACAGGATGTAGTGAATGGATTGTTCAACCAATTGAATAGTGTTGCAATGAATGTCAGCCCAGGAGAGACAAGGTGCAATCGTAAAATAGTAATAGAGCCATGTAGAAATAATGAGTGGTCATGCAATGTAATTCAATCTGCACAGATATAGAGGTAAAAAAAGCTGATGTTGAGGAGTGTGTTTAGAAGCAGCGGCTACATTTGTTTTTTGTTTAAATACCATAAATACAAAAACAAGTACACGTTAATCAGATGGATATTTAACTCCGATACAGAAGGCATGAATAAAAAAATTAGTCATGATGTAATTTCTGACCAGGCATATTCTGGTCTGAATTATACTCAGCAGAACCATATGGTGTTATATACAGACCAAGATGGAAAAAGACAGTTCATAACACAGTTTATATTTTGTTATGGGTTGGAGTCACTGAAGAAATCTGCACATTGAAATATACAAATTGACATACAAATGAACATATTATGTGCAGCAAAACTCTCTTATCTATTTCAGTAGTCCCAAAAACGATATATTGATATTAGCTAATGGAATTTAAAGTGTTATAGTTTTTGGCTTATGTTTTTTTGTTCATGTAATAGTTACGTAGAATTGTGCCCAATTCTCTTAATAAAATGTTCAGTAGATTAGTGGGAGGTATCATACACCCCTCCACCTTTTCTCAGCCAAATCTTCAGGTCTGGGGGGCCTGACCTATGATGAAAACAGGGAAATTATTTCTGCCACAGGACACCCCTTTTTTAGTTGTGTTCTATAGATCCTATTATGAATACATTCTGAGCAGTGTGTTAGTTGAGTGTTCAAGCATGCATTAAAAATGTTGGCAACAGTGTGGGCTGCGCCTCTCCACGTACCCTCAGCCACTCCATGCCCTCCACCTGGTAGCTCCTCATGATGCCGCCAGTGAAGAGGCGTGGCTGGTGGAAGGGCACCTTCTGCCCGTTGATCATGCGGTTGGGGTGCCACATTTGTGCAGCGTTCTGTCGCACAACCTGGCCAAGGCGTTCTCGAATCACGCCGTTGGACTCCACGTCACTCTTTGGCAAGGAAGCTTCACCAAGGGCCGCATCACTCTGTGGGGACATGACAATGGTTAAAAGCAAAATGTAATAAACGGGGAATAATGTAACAAAATCATAAAAAGACAATGGTCTTGTTTCAAAATGTAACATTTTTACAAAATATTCATCCATAAAATTATGTGCCTTGCAGACATACAATTCCCTGCATTTGATTCAACATTAGAGGCGGTAATCTCTGTATAGTAAGGTTGGGCGAACACTGCAATGTAAATTGGACAAATTTATCCGTGAATTCAGCAACGATGTAACAGAAAAACATGAAACTTGCAACTCTGCCATATCGGCAATGTCTCTCAAAAGACCAAGTATTTATAACGAAGATATCTTAAATAGTTCTTGGATTTGTTATAATTTTTTAACAACTATATTTTTTAAAAGCAAGCACCAAAGATGAAAATTGTCTGTCATATAGATCTTAATGAGGTATTTGGCCCTTTCATAGTTTTAATGTTCAGAAATGTATCAAATGAAAATACATATTTTCTTAATGCTTTCAACTTGCATAGCTAAAAAAAGCAATCACCAATTTTCATGATAATTTGGATATAGACTCTAAATTGCTGGTATGCCTGTTCTTAGTTTTGGTTTTCTAAAATGTAAAATAAAAAATATACACATTACACTAATCCCCATTTGGTAACATTGCATATGCATCGTATTTTTCAAGTTACATATACAAATTTGGTAGGAGTGCAACTGTTGGCCCAGTAAATCACAAGAGAGCATCAGGGAGTCCGGTGATTGAATGAAAGAATGTATGTTGAACTTCTTTCGCACCGTACGTAGCCAACCGTGCTAATCGGGAGGTGCAGGAATGACTGATTGAGGGAGGGATGAGAGAAATGTCACCTCAAAAAGATATACAATATATTTAACAATTCTGCTTATATGTACTGTGAATTAAATTATTATATGCTAGGGTGCTTATGTATATTGAAAATCAAACATTTTACTGCTCTTCAAAAGATCAAAGCCTGCGCAAATGAGAAAAATTAGTAAATGATGGAAGAATGAGAGGCCTGAATACTAGAATGAGGAATAAGTGAGAGGCATGAGTGAGAGAATGAAGATTGAATGCATACATGGGAATGTGTAAATGAGGGATAAGAATGAAGGAATGAAAGTATTGCGTGAATTAGTTAAATGATTGAATGAGGTAAATATGAGCGGCATGAGTGAATGGGAAAAGAGGCAATTGACCTAAAAAATTCTGCTTATTGGGAAATTCAACACCTGTACATGAAAGTGCTTATGTATCGAATAAGTGACTTTCCATTAATCTTGCAGTATAGTTCCCACTATGCTTAATTTAGAGGCTCGATGCAAACAAATTTAGACCTTTATCAATACCTCAACTTTTCTCTTCTTGCTGAACGTCTCGATATCCTGCCGACATAATTAACACAGCACTCGTATTAGGATCAAGCAAAAAAATGTTCTGCATCATGAAAACAATTCAGAATGTTAAAATGCCACCAACACAGCTGTTGAACGAACTAAATATATGCAAATGTGATGCAATTCATGAAGCGTAAAATAACGTTTACTTTAAAAGGCAGTGTGTTCCTGTGTGCGCATGCATAAAAAGGTTACGGACAAAGATGCGCGTGTGCTCAGGTAAAGGTCTGAGGGTCTAGTCCTCACCTCCTTGCTGATGAAGTCAGATATTCCACAGACTTTGTCCTTTGACCTTTTCTTTGATTTTTGGGGAGCTGAAAGTTTAAAGCAACGATAAAACAAGGGACTCAATATTATATTCTCCGGAAAGTGTATAGTTGATCTCTTAAATAACTCACACCATTATTGTTTCAGGCTTCTAAAAATAAATACTAGTTGTACCATTATTGCTAGTTAGTATGTTCTACGCTGAGCATTACACATACATAAGCCATCAGTTACTGTGGATATGTGATAAAAGAGTGGAGTGATGATGCATACAGAAATTACTCTTGGCAACTCACATGCAGTTGGGGTAGATGCAGTTTTCTCCTTTCCTCCAGCCTGCTGATGAATTAACACATTAAGTTAGCACATGTCAGTCAAATTGCCATCATTTTCTAAGTAATTTTAATTAGGTGTATGAAGCCAGTTGTGGCATTGTAATGTTGCTGCATTGTACTGTGTATGTCCTACCTCCAATTTCCTTTTCTTTGCCAACTTGAGGTCCGACTTTTCCTTTATCTTCTGGGCCTGAAAAATATAACACCATTTTTTTTGCAAAAGCTTAGACATTGATTATACAAGGGCCAATCACTTGGCATATATTGAATTATAATTCGAGCTATCCCAAATGGTTTATTTTTCACCTCATTTTCTCTTCTTGTTTGTATTGTATGGCATAATTATTTTGGGACATGAGATATAATATTTTTCATGCAAAAGAATCCAGTATTGCATGTGTGATTTGCTGCATGTATTTGCATACACATTTCCTTTACCTATGGTTTCTATTCTACTGACAGTTGAGTGTGGGGCACGAACAGCCGCAGCTTTAACAGCCCTCAATACTCTTAGTAGCCACAAGTGTGGAAACAACTTTTAAGCAAGGATAAGTAAACTGCATGTGTTATAACTGTAAGGTAAAGCGTGCGGTTTAATCATTTACAACTGGGTTTGCTTCACTTCCTTTCATCAGAAAGTCAACAACATGTGGAAGAAATACAAAGGGTGCCAATAAATCAATCATTGTTTTTACACCAAGGGAGTAAAGTTATGTTGATTTAGAAAGAAGAGGGTGGAAGTAGCAGTGTGTGTTAGTGGGAAAAATGTATTCAACGAGAACTTTGTTTAAAATGGCGCATGGCAATGTTAATCTCAAATACATTCGAATTTTTGCAAGTGAAGGGTAAATGTTTTAAACGACTCAGATCCCAAGCCTGACCTCTGCTTGCTGGGCCTCCATGCGAGTCAGGAGAAAGTTGGAGTAGATGTTGCTCTTTTCAAGAAGATGCTGCAGCCGACGGAAGCCCATCTCCTGCGAGCGCTTCTTCCATGCCTCGTGTTGCTACAAAACACACAAAAAAACAGAACCATTCATACACTGGATGTTGTTGTGACAGCCATATTGAATGTAGAGTATTGAATAGGGTGTTTGCCAACATACAATTACTTGCAAATATGTACCCTGTAAAATGATTAAAAAAAAGTTTGCTTCTTCCACGCGAATATCAATTTCGTACAGATATCGATTGCGTATTATTCATGTTTTTAGCAGCCCAGCAGTGGTTGTTTAATGGCCTGACTGCAGATGAGATTGCAAATGTTTGAACAAATACTACTGATAACATTGGTCTGAAAGACACATAGGCCAAACATACCGGTAATTGTAATTACGTGTGGTCAAACAAGAAGACATGATGAAGAGAAAGTTCACGTTTTTATTATTTTACTAGCGACAACTATTTCATTTTGCAACTTTTTGAGATTCAGCTCTAAGTGATTTCGCAATTAAATTTTTTGGTCCGAGTTGGTGAATTTCAGATAATTCGCCTACAAATTTTTATTTGGGGCAGTGCAAAGTTATATGGTCCAGGATTTGGTGTTCATAACCACATGTACACATCAGGTCGAACATCACACTCCTGTTGAGGTGAATTTATTGGTTTACGGATTTTCTGGACTATATATTTTACTGTTTAACATTCGATTTAAATAATTTTATAACTCTAGGCTGCTCCTAACCTGCGGGTGAAATCAATCAAACTCTGTAGTTTACTTTTGGGGACCCAACGTTGTAAATGTTAGTTTTCAAATATTTCTAGCAATAAGCATACACTTGACTATATTTGTGCCAAAAACTGGCTTGCTAGCACTTTTCGAACATCATAATATGCAAGTAAATCTATATGCAAGGTACATTATCATTGATCCTGCAGCACTTCAGCATATTGTGTGCACGTGTTTCATGCAGTTTAGGATATTTCGTATCAGTCATTTTGTTCCAAGCTATTATGGTGCACTTCCACAGAACTCTGCTAAATGGAATCCGAGTTTAGATTTCCAGCTGCTGTCACGTGGCTTACCTTCTTCATGAGCTTCTCCTCCTGCTCATCACCCTCTTTCTCAAGTTTCTTCTCCTCATCCAGCATGCTCTGTGAGATGACGATGTCACCCACAGCAATGTTGGCTGAGTTTCCTGCTCACACAAATTTTCACAAGTAGGCAGCTATGAGCGGAACATTCCCCTTTCACACGCTCCCTTAAACCTGTTGAAAAATAAAGTAACTTTTACGTTTAATTAATTTATGTATTCTATAATCCTTGGTATGGCGAATGCTGAAAGAAGCAATCTCATAATCAGCCACATACAAAACACATTTATTGCCAGATTATCATTTTTAATGCTCATAAATGAACATTGACTTAAACTAGTCACTCTTCGAAATGTGTAAGAATCATTCTTTCAAGTCAGTATATTATTTGTAGAGTTCATATGACCCCTATAGACGAAAAAGTCCACGACATGAACTACAATGCTAAAAGTACACTATTTCATTGCATTACAGTTAATCGAATCTACAGGAGAATCATTGCACGAGAAGATCTGGTCATATTCTTAGTTTTTTCGGTAAAGTCACGTTGAAGAGAAACAACAAAATAACAAAATATATATAAAACAATAAAAAATTCTCACGACGTTTCGACCATAACTCATCACACCTGATGATGACCGTTTGAGTTATGGTCGAAACGTCGTGAGAATTTTTTTATTGTTTTATATATATTTTGTTATTTTGTTGTTTCTCTTCAACGTGACTTTACCGAAAAAACTAAGAATATGAATTACTGCAGTCACGAAAGCTTTAAATCAAAAAAGATCTGGTCAGTTGCATCGATGGACTTATTAACTTGTAATATTCCTCTGTAGACAATGGTTGTACCTTCGTCCATTGTGACGATGTGCGTGCCTTCTGGTGGGTCCGATTCGTTGGGCTTGGGTTTGTTGGGAGAGGTGCTTCTCTGTATCACGCTTAGTTCACTGTAAGCCAAGAAGGTAAGATGATTAGCACTCCAACACACTTGTTCGGACAGTATCAACATTGTAGCTCTCTGATGTGTTTTCAGATTAAATCGCGTGTTGTTCGCCACGATGTCCAATGTTTCGATACATATGCTGGAAAACTCTTCAGACATGTCATATTCTGTTCCAGTGCAAGCCAAATAGACCGTGTGCTGGCACTACACAGCACCGCTAGGTTGGCAATACTGGACAAAACCACGTGGAATTACTCTGAACATACTTGTGGAATGATCACACGATACTACATTCATTGCTATCAACGTTCCGTTATGAAAGGGTCATAACAAGCTCTTAACATTACAACGCACAGTGCCACGAAGCATTCCAATCTATGAGATCATGTTGTACATTAATACATGTGTACGGTGGACCAGTGGTTCGCACAATGCAATAACCAGGAAACATAATTTACGAGTGATATCTTAAACCAGTTCTGGGACTGCACTTCACCAAATCGCACTGACCAGCATGGGGAAGTATGACTAATCAACCCCCATTGCCAAAATAGCGTGGGGTGTCCATCCAGATGTGGATTGACACAACGGGGTGACAACTCAACACATTCAGGATGACATTCAAATTGCCATTCAATTATTGTACACGCACAGAAAGGCACCATTAAAGCACACGACGCACTGATTAATGCTGAACTAAAGCTTCAAAAGACGCGACTTACACACTGTACAAAGGAGCGAAATCCGTACGAAGACGGAAAAAGAAGGGAGATGGAGCGATGGAATCAGCACGTGGGAGGCGAACGCTCGGAGCGGACTAAGATCGTGAGAGATGGCCTTCATCCAGCAGTGGATTTATCGTGGCTGCTGATAATAGTCCCGACAAGGCTACGTTAGTCGTGAACAATAACGGCAAATTGTAATAAAAATATATAGAAATATACAATAGTTAACATGGTCAATCCACTGCTGGATGACCCCCCCCCCGCACCCAAAGCAGTCAGCAAGTCTCACGATCCCCGCGGCTTAACGATCCACACGGGACCTGGGCACACGCGACGACGAGCTCATTTCATGGTTCCATCTCCACGGTGGAGGTTCCTTTCGACGTTCCGGCAAAACAAAAAATAACCATCATTTGTATTTATTACAAAGTACCAAAAGTGGTACCTAAAAATAAAGTCAAGTTATCTTACCCGTTCATAGCGCGTGTAGATGAAGATTGCAGTGTGTATAAAACGGGGATTTGTTTTGCGAAAAGAATTAGACTTGAAGACGTTTATTTTAACGAACGTTTTAAATTCCCGCCACGCTTTATGCAACCGGGGCCTAAGGGGGTTTCGTCACGACTCACAAGGTTTTGGCTTGCTACAAATCTTACCAAGGGCGCCGATTATAGCTAACTTAAAAATGTAGTTGGATTAAAAACTTTAACATTAACTTAAAAAAAATGTGAAAACCGCAATGCAAAACAATAAGAATTTTTATACGCTCGCGACGAGCGGCGCGAGCAAATAGTCACCGGACAACGCGCGCGTTTCCCGCCAAATCTGGACCGTCCCAACTCAGCCCGAACGCATGGGGGGGGGGGGATCGTGGGGGAGGAGTGGACGCGACCATCGACAAATAAATTAAAGTACAGTACTGTATAAGGAATTTCGATTTAAAGCTTTCGTGACTGCAGGGATTCCTATTCTTGGTTCTTTCGGCAAAGACACGTAGAAGGGAAGTAATACAATAAATGTTTTATTCATTATTTATTATTGTTTTTTTGTTTACCTACGTGACTTTACCTAAAGAACCAAAGAGTATGGATCATTGCAGTCACGAAAACTTCAAATCTAGAATAAAAATAAAACAATAATAAAATTTTGATTTAAAGCTTTCGTGACTGCAGGGATTCATATTCTTGGTTCCTTCGGTAAAGTCACGTGACTTTACCGAAAGAGCCAAGAATAATAAAATTCTAACGACGTTTCGGCCACAACGCAAGCAGCCGTCCTCAGGTGAAGAACCTTTCCGACAGCTCTGTTCTTCACCTGAGGACGGCTGTTTACGTTGTGGCCGACACGTCGTGGGAATTTTATTTATGTTTAATTTTTATTATTTTATTATTTCCCTTCTACTTGACTTTACCGAAAGAACCAAGAATTCGTATAAGGAATGTTCAGTACGTACACTATATAAGATGTTTCAAAACGATAGACCCGATTTGAAATCGCTATATGAAGCAATTGGTGGGACCCCGGGGTGGGAAAAACCGCGTAGCGACACGAGTCTTGCCTTACCGACAACAAAACTAGTGGTCAATCGATTGGCCTCGTCGAGAGCTACTCGGGGCACTAAGGTTCGTAAAAGTTGAAAAATTACATAAACACGTTAAATTCACTGCCTGGGGGGCGGGCTCGCCTTGGCAAAGAAGCTGAGGATCGACGGCTGACCGGAGGGCGTCGTCGCCGCGCGCGACAGCGGCGGACGCCCCCCGGGGCTCGCGTTTGGCCGGTGGGGTGGCGCCCATCGAGTCGATCGCCGCCTGCTGGCGCTTGTTGGTGCGAGTCTGGGCGGGCAGCGCATTGCTGTCGGGATCACGTGGTGGGGCGGACTGAAAAATAATAATTATTGACCTGATTTTTGCGGTACCCCAGAGTCCCGCACAAATTATTCATATCTCTGTAACCACGAACCGCCCATGAATGAAACTCTTACCACTTGAAAGGGCGGGGCATAGAGAGGGTGGGGGCATAGAGAGGGCGGGGCATGGAGAGGGCGGGGCATAGAGTTTAAAATGATTTCCGCTAGATGTCTCTCCCAGCGCACAAACAGCCCCTAGCCTCAGTCATTTGCAAGACGGTGACCCCAGCGCACAAACAGCCCCTAGCCTCAGTCATTTTCTAGATGGTGACCCTAGCGTACAAACAGCCCCTTGCCTCAGTTATTCTCTAAATGGTGACCCTAGCGTACAAACAGCCCCTTGCCTCAGTCACTCTCTAGATGGTGACCCCAGCGCACAAACAGCCCCTAGCCTCAGTCATTCTCTAGATGGTGACCCCAGCGCACAAACAGCCCCTAGCCTCAGTCATTCGCAAGACGGTGACCCCAGCGCACAAACAGCCCCTAGCCTCAGTTATTCTCTAAATGGTGACCCCAGCGTACAAACAGCCCCTTGCCTCAGTCATTCTCTAGATGGTGACCCCAGCGCACAAACAGCCCCTAGCCTCAGTCATTCTCTAGATGGTGACCCAGTGAACACAAACAGCCCCTAGTCTCAGTCATTCGCAAGACGGTGACCCCCGCAACACAAGGGGCGTTTTGCGTTCAGCAGTTCAGCAAGACTGAATCCGTAATTGCGGTGCAGCGTGCCTTTCAACGGCGTTTTGGCATTGATTCGCTAATGTCACAGAGCATGGTGGCACAAAGGACCGTGGTGTTTTTGTGCCATCATTAGCGACTAATCTGGATTAACTCAAAAACACAATCACGGCAGCGGTGACTTCGGTGGAAGAAGACACTTTGAGAGGCGTTTAGGACGAATTCAACTATCGTCTCGATGTTGTCCGTACAGCAGGTGGAGGGCAGTTAGAGCATTTATAAAAAGTTTAGTAAAACTTGATAACTCATTAAACCGTTTGTAACTTTTCGTGTAATTGTAACATGTTTCCAACGTGACATATGCTGCTTTGAAATTGGCTCCATCTTTTTAAAACACCCTGCATATTAAAAAAGGCAATGCTATGTAAATGAATGACGTTAAATAGCTTATTCAGCATTTTATTTTCCACAGCGCAACACGAAAGCGTATAATAAAACGTGCACAAATAATGGACTCTCCCATTCGAACAATCCGTTTAAACCCCTCCCCCGCCCCCACAACCATTCGATGGTGTTCGCACAGGAACGATCGCAATCATTTTTGCTGCCCTGATTTTACCTCCAATATACATAAATACTGTAAATGACAACAACACGAACCTACAGCATCATCTAGAGCGGGTTTTAAAATAATCATCCGTTCTCTAATAGATTCGTTGTTAGAACCACCTCTCCTCTCTTCCCCCGGAGTCGATCCCAATGATCACTTCGTCTCTCCATTTCCGTGTTCGACGTTGCTCGCACGAATGGGTCCCTTCCCTTGGCGTCCACTCGGTCAAGTCTTGACCAGTGCCTTTCCTTGACCAGTGCTCTTCCTTGCGGGCCACTGGTGGCCCCTAGTGGTGGCCTTTAGTGCGGCCCCTTGACGTGGCGCAATGTCAAAACACCGCCCATCATCATTCTTGCTGCTGTCAAGCCCAATCATTATTTCAAACGTGTGGCGGCACTCACACTGTCGAGATCTTATCGGCGAAAGTTGGTCCCCCCCCCTTTGAAAGTTAGTGAAGAACCCTGGCCTTGACCATCGGCCCCTGTGGCCATTATCTTTACTGCCGAATCGCACTTACTTTTTGCCTGACAGTCAAAGTAAATGGCTTTATCACGGGACCTTTTTTGTTGTTGCCAGTATCAAAGTATGAAAAAAATGAAGAACCCTTTCTGGCAATAAAACAGGAGGCGTTAAGATGTCCGAACACAAAAATGGATACCTTTTGCAAGGAATCAAGTCTGCGTTATCCGCACGTCCTTGTGGCGAACATGCAAACAAACTCTGATTAATATGTGCATCGTCTTTGAAAACTGATTGACCTGCACCAGAGGCAGACTTATTTATGGCCTCGTCTCACTACCAGTGGCAAACCAGAGAATGCTAATAGACGAACAGTACTAAGAAAAATGCGCGCATCAAGAGCATCTATAGCTTTTTGTAAATGACTTGTATGCACATTACGTGCGATTTCATGACATTATTGTTAAGTTGTGGTAAATGCAGCGAAAAACAATGTCAAAATAAGATTGACGTTAATCACATTGTACTTATCAAAATAAATAACGCCTTTTGGCGTCCTCTGGTCTAACACCGTTTTGAGACGAGGCTCAAGAGAAAGATGTCTCTGGTGTAGACCAATCAGTTTCAAAGACAATGCATATATTATCAGAGTATGTGTTTTTTTTGCATTCTTACCACAACTATCGTGGTTAATGCAGACATGATTCCTTGTAAAAGGTTTCAGTTTGGTGTTCTAACATCTTAAAACCTGTTTTGCTGCCAGAAAAAAAGGGGAAAACCTATTCTCATAAATAATCTGTCAGGTGTTGGAGGCTAAAGCTGTAAACTTGACTTTTACATACACGATCTAACCCAAAAGTAACTCATTATGAATCATGATACATGTTTGGCCTACGTATGAAATGAGAAATGTTTCCACATAGCCTTACACAATCTATCGGCCGCACAGCATTCCCTTCTGGGAGTGCAAAGTTTCAGCAGCAGTGACAGCTGAACTTCAATTTTGCCAAGAGGGAGGATAAATATTGAGAAGAGTGGGACATTAGTGCATAATACAGGTTTTTGTGGGTTAGATCAAATAAATAAATATATAAATGTACCGTTTGACCCGCCACCATCCGACAGCGAATTAGTAAGGTTTGTCACGTAAACAGAGTATGCCAATTCGTTACTAGTACAGCACACCGGTGTGTTGGAGAGCAAAGCCACAAGATTTACAATCCGTGTACGACGTTTCGCCAGTAATTACAACTAGCTTCATCAGGCGACAGCCAGATTTGTGGAGAAATCCTCCTGTTTCCCATTCGTGGTATCTGAACTTCAATCTTCCCAAGAGGGTAGAGATATATTGAGAAGAACGGGACACGATTTCCCACAGGTTCTCAGAGGAAGACAGTCCTTGCATGAAAACATACAAGTGGTGTTCTAGAGAGACGAGCAGGCCACGAGAAAAGTGTGTCGGCAAAGCTTTATATCGGCAAAAGGGTACATTCGGAAAGTTTTTTTTAAATTATTAGACTTTATACCGATGTTCTTCACTAATTTCAGAGAGGGGCCCACTTTCCCCGTGTGAGGGCCGCCACGCCGCCTGCAAGAGGTCTTTTCACATTTGTATATTGTCGGGAGCCTCACTGAAGGCCACCAGGGGCCCCCAGTGGCTCGCGGGCCAGACTACATTTGGTTATTTCGGTAAAGTCACGTAGGTAAATAAATAAATGAGAACAACTAAATTTCATTTTTGTTTTATTTTATGTTTTACCTACGTGACTTTACCGAAAGAACCAAAGAATATGGATTCTTGCAGTCACGAAAACTTCAAATCTAGAATTACATGTATTACTCTTTGGTTATTTCGGTAAAGTCACGTAGAAAAGAAAATCAAATCATATAATACGACGTTTCGGTTGCAACACAAGCAACCATCATTAGGTAAGAATGAATGATGAAACACAGACACGGGAACAGCATAGGCAGACACACATGCAGAGAGAGAGAGAGACACACACAAAGACACGCCGAGCGAGACACACACCAAGACAAACAGAAGGACAACGAATCTGTGCCGAGGCCTTAAATAGAGGGGGCAGAGAGAGGACTGGGGAGGCGGACGCACGAAGGGACCAGCTGATAAACGAGGAGACAAAGAGGGAGCAAGTGTGGAATTCCGGACCACAGTGTCCGGAGGAGAGAATGGTTTACAGCAAGAACATCTAAAGTTTGAGAAAGCAAATTTAGTAAAATTAAGAAGTGTAATGCAATGCAACACAGAGGGTCGGTTAACACACAGTTAACGCATAGCCTGGTTGATTAACGTTCTTCCAAAGAATGCAAAATTAGAAGTAAAGTGTGACTTTACCGAAAGAACCAAAGAGTAATTATTGCAGTCACGAAAGCTTCGAATCTAGTTTGAACTGACAAAGAATGCGAGCCAGCTAGTTGTTTCCACAACCATTGGCAATGGGGCTCAGCTGCCTAGCCAGGGCCACGGATCAACCGCTCAGATGAGCCATCGAACCGAATTTACTTAATCTAATGTGCTGTACATAGTTGCGCTGCTGCCTTGGCCAAGCGCGCCACGGTTGCGAGATGTTAACTACCTCGCCTGGTTTACGGGAGGTCGTGGGGGTCGATCCTGTCCCTAACGTGTGTATATTTGGAGTTTGCATGTTCTCCCCGTGATCGTGTAGATTTTCTCCGGTTTTTCCCCTCCTTGTATTATTTGGCTGCTGTAAATTTCCAAACGATAATCCGCAACTTAGTTGAGCTATCATTTATGGCCAGGTCGCGTCTGAAAAAGAGCTATATAGCTCAGTGGGCCTTACCTGGTAAAAGAAAAAAATGTGTTTAGTTTAAATACGAAATCATCATGAGCCATGGAGCCTTGCCACATCTAGCCGTCGTGATTGACTGCAGATAGGACTCCACCTTGTGGCGTGGATGTGCAATTTACACGGTCGAAGCCCTGACCCAAACTCCGGCCATGTAATCCAGTTGATTGATGTGCCACAAAGACGGGCCATTGTCCGAAACGGTATCTACTTTATATCTTCCTTCGAAGGCAGTGTTATGGACTAATGTGTTGAGGTTTTTGTTTTAAAATTTCTATTTGTGCTTGTGCACCGCTGTTAATGCAGTAGCATCACCAACTAATTGATGCACATCCAGGGTTGTCAAGCCACATACATTTCAAGTGATAGGCAATTGTATTTCTCTTTAGGGATTCTATGGAATAAATAATTCAGGTTCTAATATAAAAAAAAACTCTAGACTAGTGCTTCTGCAGACAACTGTCGGTCTGTAAGGCAGTGGTAGGTGGTCCGCAGAACTGTTACAGATACAATTCGATTTACAAAACACCATATTTGTTTTTATTTCATGATGGCCCATGAGATATTTGACGGTTGACAGTGGGTCTGAGTGTTCAGAAATGTTGGGAGCAACTTCTATAAAGCATATGTGGAGAAAGCTAGGGCAACTATAAATTGGGAAAGAAAAAAACTCAATTTTCCAGAAAAAGCAGCTTTATTATGGGATTTTCTGTGCAGCAACACCAATACACAAACTGTAGTATGCAGCTGCACACATCCTGCAGGCCAGCACAGTCCCGTTTCCATGGAAATCCTTTTGCATGGTCACCCCTGCACAAAATGGAACGTTCCAAATTCTGTATTCCCAATCTCTTTGGCCATGCCATGGAACATTTTATACAGGGGTGAACATGACAACTGTTCTGAGACGGAAATAATATAAGCAGTATGAATCAAATCATATTTCAGATATGGAAAAGCACACACTCATTAATATCTATAGTATATTTACATGATTTCAAACCGTAACATTTCCAATCTGAGAACTCAGCTGCTCTAACAAAAGTCATGAATAAAGTCGTTATGCAACTCAAAGCTCGGCATATGTTGGTGATGCTGTACTGCTAGAATAAATCAAAAACAATAAATCACTGTGATTTGTGCTTTGATATATGTATAGTATAGTTTATGGAAACGTGTTTACTTTGTTTAACAACAGTTAAATAATGGTTTTATGTATTCTAAAACGTTTCACGTCAAATCTCAAAATAATGCATACGTGAATAAAATAGATGGATATAATTAAAACTTGATTATACAGTAATTACAGTTTTTATATCAAAGACGGTTAAAGAATTGTATGTGTGTATACCTAGTATGGGTGTCACAATACTCAAAACTGTGGATTTTTCCATCATGGCATTCCCATATTTCCTTATCCAGAATGTCAATCTGAATGGAGGGCACATCAATATCTTGTATATCGCTCCAGCGCTCACAGTAATGTTAGAAACACTCAACTTTGAAGAAAATCATCTCTAATTCCACTGAAACCCGGTGTCCTGTGATGCCGCTGTACACAAACTCCACATAGTATACTAGAAAGGGTATCCGTTCAAACAAAGCCTATATATAATGGAACTAAAATAGTTTCACCAGGTACACTATCAATCATCCATTGGCATATTTATCATCCTGACCACTCCTAGGAAAGACTCAAGAATCAAGTGCGGTGGTTGGGAAAATCATGGCATTTCTTTTTTACATTCAACTAGATGCTTTCTGGAGTTACAAAAACCTGTGTTATTTTCATGAGCATAGAGCATTGGTGAAACAAGAGGGTTATTTACCCAGCCTCCTTTATAAGCATGAAATTAAGTAGGTGAAAGTATCATAAATGTCAACGTTTTACTCATCCACACTATGCAAGGGACGAAAGGCCAATTCACAACATAGAGTAGAAGCTGGATATAAGCACTTCCTTTGAGAGCAAGGCCATGTGGGCTTATATCCAAAGTAGTTTGTTTGTATGAGAAGCTGCCCTTAACTTTCCTCCCCACTAGTGTGTTGCATGTGTTGCTTATACCAGAACTGTGCTTAGCCAAGGTGTGCTTACAGTATTTCCAGCTTCTACTGAGCATGCAAAGTGTTATGTGTGCAGGCCTTTTTGATACCTAGCTAAGTTCTTGTGCAATAGCATGTTTGATACAAGTGCACAGATGTGGAGATGAAAAAACTAACAGGTCTCATCCATCAGAGGTTTTTTGGGGGTTAGATTGCGTAAAAATCAATGTGTCGTTAAACCCGCCACCTCCAGACGCAGCCAAATAGTAAGGTTTTGTCACGTAAACAAAACAAGCCAATTCGTTACTAGTTCAGCACATCGGTGTGTTGGAGAATAAACCCGCAACATTTACAAATCGAGTACATTATTATTTACGCAATCTAATTTAAAAAAACCCTCGATTTTGGATATTGTTCGCGAAAGCCTACGCGTTAAATAAGTCTCATGTTTACAGATTAGTAATAGTCTACACTTGCTTTTTAAAAACTGTTATTTTGTGGAATTTAAACATATCACACACATGAAGATAATACAGTGTTTTTTTTTAGTTTTCATACCAGAGAGCCTTGGGCATTCCATTTCCTTCAGAGCACAAACATAAAAAACGCCCTCTCTGACAAACTATTCCCATGTAAGGCCACTTTGTATGCCAAAGAAAAAAAAAGTCTTAAGCCAAGGTCACTGAAAGATGTCACAACTATATATTAATCTTGAAATTCTATACACGAAAAAAAAACCTCATGCTGTACAAATTTATTCATTACACAAATGTACAAAAAGAAACTTCATATTTGCCAAGTGTTTGTCAATACATTGGCAAAAGGTTTTGTAAATGGGGACTTTGTTGATTGGAGGGATGGGCCTAGGTATGAATTGCTACAGCAAGATTACACAATATAGTTTCATTTAAAAATTAGCATTTAACATTCACAAAGCAAAATAATGTTGGGCAGACAAAGTCTTTAGTACTATAAAGCACATTTAGTGTATGCTGATAGTATATAATTTTGCAAGCCAAAACAGAAACATTACTCGCTAGAAGAAATACAAATGCAATGTGTTCTATACCAAAACATAAAATAGGCTATATTGTACTAAAGTCACATGTAATTTTTGCAGTCGTGTGCTTCTATGCAATCCACTGCTACATTCAGATACCACATATATCATATGCAAGTGAAGTTTCAAAAGCAAGTTATTACCCAACTCTAGTTCAACGATTGCTGTATTTTAAATGTTCAAATCAGCTCACCCGAAACTATTCTACGCGACAGCATATATAATAACATACCATCAAGGGGTGCAGTGTTTTTTTGCAATACTAGTTACACATTTTTCTTATTAGGTCACCGAAGTGAAAGTGAATCGGCGTGCTTGTTAAACACGTGTTAGACGAAGTCACCGGCTATTCTCAATCTGCTGCAGGATTCTCTCAAATGACTCCACTCCATCTTTTGCAACTTGTGGCCACTTCAAGCTTGCAAATGTCTGGGCCTCATCATTTCTAATTGTTCTCTTGGTTGCCAGCTAAGTAGCTCTCGTTGTCCATCTGCTGTTTGTCCTTCACGCCACGTGTCCTTCCCAGTTCTACTTTAGAGTCTTGTTTGAAAAGCAATACGTCCTTGAATTGTTTCCATCCATTCTTGAATTTTATGGCAATGTCCAGACTACATCTTTTCTTTCCATATATCTGTGTAGTAGCTAGCCTCTGATCCATCTTCTTAGAGGCCATAAAACAATGTAACAAAATAAAAAAGACATAGATTTTTCTTTCAATAGACAATTACTATACATGTGTAAATAGTGAAAAATCCACCTTGCTTTTCATGCATATATAACCCCATATTTCATTTAACTTAAAACCCTTCCGAGTAGTGAATACAGTCAGTGATGTGTTTCTCTCCCAAATGTGCTGCAAATAAGCAAAGTCTTTATTCAGTAAGAGACTTAAAGGTAAATCAAAAGGCGCAGTTATACAAATTAGATACATAGGTATAGCCAACCTGTGTTGTAATGACCCACATAAAACACGACGTAACATGCTTGACGAATTCAGGAAGGGCATTCGAGCACACGCGTGTGGAGGGTCACACGTGAGAGTCCGCAACTTGTTTGTGACATTCCTTTCTGCTGACTACAAGGCACGCACACCTTTGCTAAATAACGGGTAGGGTGGTCCTCAGGAAAGGAAGGCGGATGGTAATACTGTACAAAGAGTTGTGTACTTTAAACTGCAGTATGACACACAGGAATCACAAACACTGCAAAATGATGGTGAAGGTAAAGGCGCATCCCTGCAATTTCTTACGTCGCTGCTGGCAGATAGAGCCTCTAGTAGACGGAGCTCTACAGAGCCCCCTCTAGAGTGTGATTGGCCTACTCTTCCACGCCGGCCAGACGTCTTGGGAGAGGTGGGAGTACCCACACTTTTACCCCACCACGTGCGACTTGCCGATCGAATAACTGCAAAATGATGGACATTTAACAATTTAACATAGCGCCGAGTATTAATTTCAACGGTGTGATTAAATGCTCACAAAATAAAAGATGGTAGATGAGTTTCGTTTAAAAAAATATGCTTGTCACAACTTCGCAACGTTAATTCAAGCACTAAACACGATCAAACATATTTCATACAGTATTACTTACGTGTAAAATTACTTATATATTAAATGCTTTTATTAATGTGTAATGCATTTTATTACCATAGGCTACAAAATATGATACATTTACAAGGAATTCCCAATGCAGCATCGCAGCTCTAAATGACTACAATTTGTACAAAAATAAATGTCTCAAAGCTGAGGTCTGGTGGTTTACAAATTTGAATTGCATGATGGTGAATGGACTATGGTACATGGACAGAATTTCAATCGACAATATTTACCAGTATCATGAGAAACGTAACCAATGGACGTTCCACGTTAACATTAACCAGCTGGTGTGGATAGATCAGAGTTGCAGCCACTCATATAATATTGTTAATTAATAAAATTACACAATAAGCCTCATTCCAATAATTTATTACATTCAACATCTCACCACCTTCCACTTTTCTTTTCTATCTTCCCTATCCCTGATGTGCTTGTACATATTTCACTTTCCATTTACTGTCTCCAACAAACACATCTTTCATTTGAGCAGTAAATAACACCAACGTAAACTGTTGGTATCGTTTTGATTTTATTTAGTAAATTATCTTTTCTAATAATGTTTAATGTAGTTAATGAGCTTACAAAATATTCTGAACACCCAAAGGGTAATAATTCAGGCATTCAAAATTACAATGTGATCCTTTAAAAGTCCTTTGGGATTTTAATTTGAATGTTGTATTGTTCTTTTATATATAATAGAACACATGAAGCCCAATTCATGAACAATTCAATTGTGACATTTAAGGCAATCCCACCAATGGTAAATTCCAGGAAACCAATTCTGCCCCAGTCATGTAAAAAATGTGTCACCAATTTGCCAGGAGGAATACGTCCGTTGCCATCCCACATGAAACCTTACATCCAATCTTAAGCTAGGCGAGGGGCAAAGACATTTTGCCTTTGATGGAGCCAAACAATGAGGATCCAATCAGACACACACACGCACGTTTGCGTGTGTGAGTAAATAACTTCTCCTGCCGCAGAGCCATTCCACAGCAGTGGATTCGTTCTCGAAGCTATGGCCATGTTTTCACGGTGCTAACCCCACTCTGTAAAAGAGAGATTAGGAAAGCCACAGGACCAGAGTGCAGCTGCAGTCTTGTCGCATGCATATACAGCACGCACACAATTCTATGTATGTTGAACTTCTTTCACACCGCACGTAGCCAACCGTGCTAATGATTGCTCTGCCACAATTGTGTGTTTGTCTTTTGTATGGGTCAAGAGATCAACCACAGCTTACATCACATCTCATAATTTGCATCCTTCTTCCTGTCTGTTCCTTTAACTGTTGCACAAACTTCACCAGTCCTCGGAGGACTATTCTGAGAGTCTCAATGCCACCCTGGTTGCCCACTTCTGAGTGCCCACTCAAATGTCTGTCTTGGCAACCTGCCCTCCTCCATCCTGCACACATGCCCAGCCCATCACAACTTTCCCTTCCAATTGGGCAACCACTACTAAATTGACACAAAGTCGTGTTACTCAATGCCTGATGATTATGAACATATGCCCACGCACACATATAAAAGTAATACTAAAGAGCAATATATATATAAAAATTTTTACTTTTGTCTCTTTTGAGTTGAGCCATTCCACCAGTGGAGAATGAGGAAGGCCGGAATTCGGTTTGCCCGGTCTTGGAGGGGGCCTCTCATCGACTGCGAAATTCCAACGGCCTAGCCCTGAATGGGGGCCAACCTTCTGGAAGACGGCCCATCATGTCACCAAAGTGGGGCAGAATTGTGATGAAAAACCGCTTCATGCATTGGGCGCCAGTTTCTCAAATGGGTATTTTGTACAATAGGAGCAATTAAACAAATACTAATAAATATACGTTTTTAAAGAACATTTCCCTAATTACAGCTCATTAACTAATTTCTTTCTGTGGATACTTTTTTGTATATTCCCACAAAGGGACAAATGTTTGGAGTGATTCTAGCAGTCACAATAGACACATGACATCTGTGGACAGTAAATATAAATTAAGGCAACTCGTGCTATGTTTTAGAATGAGTCACTTTTCTTATCTGGTGGCTGTTGTTGTGGCAGATGAGACACTGCTCTGAAAATTGCAGACTCAAGACGGTGGCAGAGTAATGAAGTACTGTAATGAAGATTACGGCGAGGCTTACGATTACGGCGACCTTAATTACAATGATAATTACAACTGATAACCCTATCTGAAAATACAACTGCAATAATAATAATAATTTCTTTTACGAATGTGTCTGTTTGAAGGGGTTTTTTTGTTAGAAAAAAAAAGATACAAATGTGGTTGCACGTTGGTGTTTAAAAGCCTAGTGCCCTGGGATTAACATGGTGTGGGCTTCATGTAGTTTCCTGGGAAGGTGCCAAAGAGTTTGGTCCTTCTGGATGTACCTGTGAAAAGGCAAACACCAGCTTTCCATTAGATTCAGACCACACTCACCATAGATAATTATCATACTTGTCAACCCACACGGTTTACGCATATTCTTGTACAGGGAAATTAGGTTTTCAAGTCCAAACGGCATACAGACGTTTCAATACGGGCAACATGTTTTTTTGTCTATTTGTTTGAGTTTCTCCCTTGTGATGGGACTTTGTAGGATGAACGTTGAGATTTATAACGGCATGGAGTGACCAATTGGGTCTGAATTGGACTGTAATAAGATAGGGGTACTGAGGGGGGTGTCAGGTATGGGTAATGATGATTTTGAAATTAAACTTGTGACACCCTTGTGAATAAGACCATATCCTCATGTTGTCTTAGATTACTTTCCAATCTGGTGAAATACATCAATACCTCGATATATAAAGTACATGCGTTCCTTGAGCTTCTTTCGTCTGCTGAAACTTCGTATATTGAATAACTTATAACATTAGTACTATGAGGATGTGTTCCCAACCTTCGTAACTTACTATTTAAAACTATAAACACTTCGTAACTTACCATTCACAATTGTAAACAAAGACAATTTATATTGAAAATGTTAGATTTCATACTCTACAGTATTAACATTAACAACTGGCAAATAAAATATCGTGAAAAACATTACATTTACATAGCACCGGAGATCGCTAAAAGTATTATTTAGCAATTTCAGTGTTTATTTATTATTTTACTTTATTTTATCATGAAAATAATGGTATTGAATACAAAGTTTGTTGTCCTCAAACTTCGTATATTGAATATTCGTACATCGATGTATCACTGGTACATGTTTACTGCATTACATGTGGCTCTTTGCAAACTTGAATGTTCACCAAGGTGTGTTTACTCCCGACGTACCTACATACCACCCGTCATCACACTTCTCAATGACGTCCACAATATCGCCCTCCGTCAGCTCAATCTCATCCTTGTTCTGCGGCCGGTAGTTGTACATGGCTTGGAACCTGACGCGGGAAACAGGGTGGGGGACAGGGACGATGTGGCGTGCACCTCCGATTAACACGGTTGGCTACGTACGGTGCGAAAGAAGTTCAATGTACATACATAACATTAAGTGCAGTTTTATAAAGTCAAGAATAATAAAATAATTGAACTACGCCCCTGAAATCTCGATAATCTGTCACACCACTGGGGGGAGGATGGTGAATCATTCCACCCCAAGTTAATTTATTCTCGTGCAAGTACTATCTCATCAAACGTGGCCAGTGGTGGTGCACGCCTCTAATCCAGCACTGCGGAGGCGAAGGTTGGTGGGATTGCAACATTTTTTGCAAAACTCCCTTCCCATGGGCGTCGAAGAGGTGTCATACCCTGGCTTGCTGGGGGGGGGGGGGGAGGCGGTACAGCAAAGATGCAGACTCCACTTGTTCCTTCTGTATGGGATAGAGTGTTTCCCCCTTGCATGCGTGGGTTTCTCCAGGTGATCCAGTTTCCTCCCACATGTAAGCAATCATTATTTGGCTCATAACGCCTTCATATATAGTGGAACGCAGGGCTTGTGCAACGGTTGGTGCCAGCTCACCACGTGGCTGCCTTCCCCACTTGTCTGTGATTCCGTTCACCTCTGAGCCTCCCTGTCTACGAGAGTGAGCGAATACTGTGCGGCGCATTCCAAGTTGACATTATTGTTAAATGTGAGCCATTAATTCAGAGTCATAATTATCTAAATTTAATGGGACATTCAATGAGTCACCATAATTAAACGATCTGTATGGAAATCACTGGTAACGTGGTTGCCATGGCCACTGCCAGTGCCCTCCGCTTGAATCAAAGGCAAGAACCAGAATATGAGCTTGGTTGGGAAAGGATTTTGAAAACGTACGCAACAATACAACCACAAGTAGTCCTCTACTTACGATGGAGATATTTTACGACGACCCCATCGTAAGTCAAAAATATCGTAAGTCGAAGATGGCCTAGCCTACCCAGGAGTCTTAAAGAATGGTGAAAACTTAGCAAAACAGAGCAATTTACAGTACCGTACTGTATAAACTATATACTATATGTATGTATTAATTACAATACTGCATTGCACAGTAAAATGTAAAGTAAAAAAACAAGGTAAATTCTTAGCCTACCTAAATGAACTGCAATTTAATAGAAAGTTTTTTTCAGGAAACAATCCTATCTGCTATAAAAACTTTAAACATGCATTGAACGTATCATATAGTGGTAACCCTAAAATGAAATCGCTAAAGCTATGTATCAAACATGCATTGAACGTATCGTAACGTATCATATTCTACTGTACTCACCAAGATTCTGTCCGTCGTCTGCATACTTGAACGATGTTAGGTTGTTGATGGCAATTTTGTCGTATCGCTATCGCCATCGTAAGATCGAAATATCGTAAGTCGGACCATCGTAACTCGGGGACTACCTGTATATTAAAGAGCACATTACTTAAAAATGCAATTTATTTACCCAGGAAAGTCTCAAGACTCTTTCAGGAGGGTCCTGTCATGTGATGTTGGGCCAATTCAAAATATGAACATCAAGGGAAACCCACCATGTACATGAAGGGGTAAAACTTAATACTGCAGTCTCCTGGCCACTTCTCAGCCTATAATAATGGGCAAGCCCTGGTGGTCACCAATCCAAGTACTAACCAAGCTCAACTCAGCTTAACCTCCAAGTTCTGATCGGATAAGGCACATCTCTGGGCACACTCATTTTGCCACACACGCCATCCTGTTATCCAGCACAGCTGCTTGTACTGCATTTAAAAGGGGAAACTGACAAGGTGGGCTAGGACTCACGGTTCGGCAGCAGTGTAAAAGCTGTCGTGGATTGTCTGTGATCCGGGTCCTTGCTGCTGCTGGGGAATGACGGGACAGGGTTTTTTTACGGTGAGAATGGCGATTGGCGGCAGGAGCGGTCTCTGCCGCCACCGCCGCCACCGCCGCCACCGCCTCCACCGCCTCCGCCGCCTCCGCCGGTGTCGAAACCGCCAGCAGCGGTGTGCGCTCGCAGTAAGTTGGGACGCAGCGAAGCACGGCGCTCTCCGCTACGTCCAAAATCTCACGGGCAATGGCACGCTGCGGAGGGGAGAAGGGTGCGCCCCCCCCCCCCGCCCCCCCAGCGCGAAAGCCGTCGTCACCGGTCGTCGCGTCGGTTCGTCGTCGTCGTCGTCGTCGTCGTTGTTGTTGCGTCGCGGGCGAGAGACGAAGCAGAGAATGGATGGAGAAGTGATGGGGCACAGTCGGCGAGACATTCGGCAGAGTGATCACGAGAGAGGCAGAGAGAGGAGGAGGGGGCGTGTGATAGATTCCGGAGATGGCGTGAATGAGGAGGAGGCCATGGTGCACAGCGAGCGTGGTAAAGCATGGGCGCGAGAGAGAGAGGGGGAAAAGAGTTTGTCTTAGTTTATGTTGAGTGGGTGTGCTGGATTACAGATAAATATGTCAATTGAGTGTGGCAATGCAAAAATCGGTTCAACGTTATATTTTTCTAAATAAATGCTGATTGGTGAAGCATTGAAAATTGCGTGAACAAATGTATCAACGGTTGTTTGAATGTTACAATTTATAATCAGTTAAACATTATATATTAATGAGACTGTCATTTAATATATATATAAAGCTGTGTTGATGCGTTCAAGTACATTTTGAATATAAATGTTACCAAGAGTATCAAGTGTAAACCAATTAGTTGATCTACATCAAATCTGCAGTCAAATGCAGACCGCTTAAAAGACGAACATTATTTTCAGTCAATCGGCGTCGCTGTAAAATGTCCTTATTTACAGCGCATGCTGGCTGGGTTAGTAAGCATTTTCGCTTACCACATAGCTCTGTTCACACTCTGTGAGCTCTGGTGATGAACTCAAATCACCTTGGACATTCTGCTGCCACAGTGTGGAATTGTGTGAAAAATCGTGAAGAAGAAAAATAAGAAAGAAGAGGAAAGGCAACAACTCAAGGGAAGAAGCAATACACGCTCGCGAGGTTTTTGAAGTTACACGTGGGTGGCAGGTGAAGGGAGCTGGCGAACAAGTGATGTTACGTGCGTATAGAGGAAGAGTTTCTTTTAAAATAAAACACGTCAAAAAATAAATCGGAGAGCAAAATAAAAAAAAGGATGGGTTTTTTTCTCTTTCTTTCACAGGGATAGTGTCATTGTGAAAGATACAATTCCTCGAACAAATATGTCACCGGTGTCAAAAGTTAAATCAGGTGAAACAGGTGAATATACAGCACTTCAAAACAATAAGTGATCAAAGCAAATTAAATACACAGCAGTGATTCATACATTACACATTCTTTGAAGTAGGCTACAGTTTAATTTGTTTTCACAAAAGTCAAACTGGCTAACACGCAGCTCCCGCATTGCCTTGAGTACCGTGAACAATGAGGCCGATACCGGCAAATGTCAAAAGCTATGTAGAGTTGGGCCTGGCTAATTAAAGGATGGGCACAAAAGCCCACAATGTTACGAGCAGCTGCAGCACACAGTGGGAAACCCTCGCTCAGCGGCGCAGCTATAAGAGTGTGCAGGCGGTGTAACTGCACCGGGGACCACGGGCCAAGGGGGAGCCCAGGCGTCATACTCCGAAGAGGGAGGACAATTTTTATTTGGGGCCACATTTCATTCCTGGCATCAGGGCCCATGCCGATCACGCTACATCCCTTCTGCCTCTGCACATTTAACTCAAGACACAAGCACAGTGCCGGTGGCTGCGAGGCTTAAGAGAAACTGCTGCCTAGTGAATCGGTTGTGGAGGATGCCAAAGACATTTTTAATACACTCAGGTGCTGATAACCCCGGAGTTATCTTAATAACATGTTATGTAAATGAAAAAAGACCAACTACATTGAATTCATTGAATTGTTTCACAAAAAAAGTATACAAGTTAATTTATTTACACGATTAATGTTCAAAGACAAGAGAGTGCAAGGTCACCACGATCTGGGAAGACTGCGACAATGGGTGAAGCCGTACCCTTGAGTGCGTCAGCTTAACGCGAGCTCCGCTATTGGCGACCTCGCGCTCTCTTGTTTGAACGTGAATTTAAATAATTTTAAATAATCATTTCATTTATTTCACCAAAAAGATGGATTTAAACTCCCCCGAAACATTTTATTTCACGAATTAAATGTTCATTGGCTGCCTATGGCTTTGAGATCTCTGTTGGCTGGAGCGGTAGTGCAACTGTTAGTGCACTGCGCGACGAGCCCGGCGACTCCAGCTCAATTCCCGCTCACGGCCCACACCAGTGACGATTGTTTGAATCGGTCCAGGGCCTCCCCTAGGTTGATTCAGCCTGAAATGAGTACTTGGTGAGGTGTGTGAACATCGCCACTGGGGTGACAAAGGCGTGTGGTGCTGGCCACCCACCCCATCGTGTGCCATGCCGGCCTTCATAGGTGCTCGCTAACGGCACTTAACCCCAAGTCTGTTCAGGGTATACAAGAGGGGGCGGGAATCTTTGTGGAGGCAGGCGGGAGCGGCAGCTTACCCGTCCGGGGGAGCCGGCGCGTCCGCGGACCGGCGAGTCAGTGGATCGGCGCGACGCCACGGGGCTCAGCGGCGGTTTCCCCGTCACCATGCTCTCCGACTGCGCGGCGACGCGGACACATGGAAATGACAGCCGTGGAACGGAGTGCACAGAGAGCCGGGTTAACGTCTCGGGGAAAATAACCATCGGTCACCAACTTGCTTCCACGTCCGTCAACCTGGTTTCATTTTGGCTTTTTTTCCGGGCGCAAAAGCGTGCTGATACAGGAAAAGCACCTGCTTACAAAAATCTACTATGAGATTTTTCTCAATTTACATATTTTTTTTGGGTGAGGGCTCGTCCCTGGTTATAAAGTCACAAATCAACTTGACAGCATCTTTCATAACACACGCACACAAGTATATATAAAACATTTAGAGAATGCTAACTGGATGATGTGATAACTCTACGGGAAATACCATTGCCTGCTTCACTTTCTTTATGCCTTTGGATCAAGCCAACCATAAATACAGTGAACGTGACCCATGTGCCGTAATGAACTTGGACACACTACAGAACGGGGTGATCCTGAAACTGTACAGTGATCCTAATATGAGCACAGCTCTTGCAGGTACAATCCCACCACGTCAGCCTGTGCTCGTTAAAAAGCCGACTGCAGATTGGCATTGCATGTTCAAAGCCCCCTCCATCTCTGGCATGTCAACGCCTAGGGAGCGATGGAATTGACTCAGCACCTATACAGACATCAAGCATCAAACCGAACCGAACACTCACATCGAGTAACGCCCCTGTAAGGGTTAATGCAGCAGCCTGGTCAAGCTTGATAATCATGACAAACACACCGTTAGATTTTAAGAACCTTGAGGTAAGGACGCACAGAAATGCAGGTTACAGCAAAAGCAACGGATATGCTGCACTCTGAGGTCGAACACAAAAGCAACATCTTACAGGTTTAGTTCAAGCCGGCTTTTCTTGAACAACACTTTGCAGTTAATAGGTTGTGTAAAACAACAATGCAAGCATCAACAACAACAAAAATTGGTTATTGATTTGTATTGTCACAAGGCAATAAAACGTCCAATTGTTGAGTGCGTAAATGAGAGGGAGGAGGTGTGCGTATGGGTTGTGAGTGTGCAATTGAGTGGTAGGAGGTGTGCATGAGTACGTGAGTGCATTGGCATGTCTCTGCATGCATATATTATTAAGCGTGATTATGCACAAGTATTCACACTGTTATTCAAGTCGAAAATGGAACACTCTAAAAACAATCGCAACACGTGATGTTTGACAAGGGATTGTTCCATTTTCTGCAAAGGCAGGGAGGAGGAGGAGGGGATTAATTGGGTCCTGCGCAGGTCTCAGCATGAGCTTAACCCCACGAGAGAAGTTGATCATAAAAACCAGACTGATGCCCGGTTCGTTTTACTACAATGGGTTGTACTGCGTGTTGTATTGGCATGATGTTGGGCGTTTCGCTTTAATGTGTTGGGAGCTGCTGATCATCTGGGAGCTTCTTATTCAGAAGCTAATTCAAAAGAAGCTTCCGGCAAGTGGAGCGAAACGTCGGACATCATGCCGTGGAACATGCGGTGCGACCCGAAAACACATCGGAAAGGGGGCCTGTTTATTTAGCTTCATAATAAGTCGAAACATATACACATAAAAAAAATCTGATACTGTATGTATAAACGTACTGTGGTATATCAATAATGATAAAACGTTGTCATTGCTAAGACCTGGACCTGACCTGTGTTAATTGGTATCAAAGCAAATTCTTTTCTGTCCACCAGGGTGTGGAGAAGGCCAGAAACTGGTACCTTGACCCTGGCCGGTCTAAATTCACTTTTCTGTGATAGTCTGACGCCAGTGTGGGCAGGTGGAGGGGGTGGGGGGTGTGAGGAGACACACGGGGACGTGGAGGAGTGAGTGGACAGAGGGTGGGATCCCGTGCCAGCATGGAGGGCCTTCAGAAGAGACGGAAGGAGACACACGCACGCACGCACGCGCAGACAAAACCCACAGGATTGGTTACGTGATAACACTCGCTGAGAAGTTCCAAAGAAACACTTGACAGTGAAAAAAACATCTTCCGTAGCATTTGGAGGTCTTTTGAGTTGCGACCGTTTGTCATTCGACCTCACGTCTCATGCACAAGAACTCAAAACGTGAAGTTACAAGTTTAGTGTAGCTCAGGTTAGTGGGCAACGGATGGGTGGAAGGTAATGCCACATGATTTTAGAAAATTATTTTCAAATACCATGAGTACATTATTTCATAAAAAAAACTAAAAACTTAACAAATGGCTAACTGACGGCATCGTCGCAATGAGCACAGCACTCTAGTATGCATCAGCATCTTGAGAAGCATCTGCATTTAGATGCTATAGAAATCAAAATTAACTGCATTGCAATTGCATTGTAAGAATCAAGTCATACGTTCGCCAACCATAAACTAAATAGGTTTAAACATTATTGGCAGCCGGCCACCAAACTTGGGAGATTTGGCAAGTATGCTGTAAACAAAAAAAATCAAACGCACACAAAGCACCACAAATTGTAACATGCACTCTTAAGCGCAAAAAACGGGGTCCACAACTGTATCGGGAGTCAAGGCGTTAAAGCAAGCGGTAGGGGCAACGTCACAGCCCACACACAGAGCTCAAGCCACCACAGGCAGAGGGGGGGGTCTCTCTCAAGCTCTCCCAAGGGACCACTTGTCCCAATGTCATGTAATGAATACGCGGTTTGGAGAAGCACAGGTGGCGCTCGTGAGCAGAGGACGGAGCGCAGGCCTGGTTAGTAAACGGGGGGGCGGGGACGGCGCGGCACGGCACCGGACGAAACCTCGCACGTACTTGCTCGTGGCTCTGGCTGCCCTCCACATTCCCAGAGTAACAGACTGACTTCACCTCCTCGTGGTGCTCCTCCCTGATGAGGAGCTGCATGAGCCCATCCACGGCGTGCTCCTGTGCCGAGCAAAAGTCCGCCGCCTCCTTCTGCTGACCGGCCTCCGAGGAGGACTTCTGTGCACCGCTACGGCTCGACGGGGCCTGAGCATCGACGGCTGGCCCTGCCTTCGTGCGAGCGTCCTGTTCGGGCGACGGCCTCTGCTGACACGGCTGAGAGGGCTGCTTCACGTAGTAGGACTGGAGGGCGCTCGCGGGAATACCGCCGTCCTGGGAATGCCCTGCGGAAGGGGTGACGATTCTCTGCCGACTTGTGACCTCGCTCCGACTTTCAACGTGACTCGCGGCGTTGGTTGTGGCGCTTGGTACCTTGCCGCCCGCGTTCGAGTGCTGCTGAGGCTTTCCGCTGGTGTGCGCGTTCTGATTTTGATTCGGATTTGCCAGAGCCTGCCGGCTGGCCGAGCTGGCCGTGCTGGAGTATCGCTCTGCTGCTGCTGCTGCTGCCGCCGCCGCCGCTGCCGATGCTGCGACGCCACTGGCTCTGCCTTCGTCAGAAAAGCGAATGACCCTGGATCGTTGTTCAGCAGCTGCAGCACCAGCAGCGTCATTGCAAGGTGATGCCGGGCGACCTTGCCGAGGAGTCAGCTGCTGAGGAGTCAGTTGCTGCGGAGAGGATGGCGTGACATGGATGGCGGGCGGGCTGCTGGGCGACACGGAGTAGCCCCCGGCCGAAACGGGCTCGCGAAGCGTGAATTCGTCGCCTTTGCTCGGCGGAGGAAAGTGACCGCGAACGGGGCTCAGGCTACGGTAGCGCCCGCCGTCCCAGGCGCGGGCGGGCTCGGGCGTGCCGGGCAGCGCGGAGGGCTCATTAATGAACGCGTCGGGGTAGGGGAGGGGTGGCGGGGTCGGGGTGTTCTGGGGCGACACGCCCAGCGTGAGCATGATCCACTCGGACGTGACGGCCTGGAGCTCGGCTGCCTTTTTCGGGTTGGCGGGGTGGCTTGGCAGGTAGGAGGAAGGGAGGGGCGGAGGGGTTGGGTTTTTGGGATGTGGCCCCGACTTTACGGGAAGGAAGGATGAAAAAAGGGAGAGCGCGCACACACAAAACCCACAGGGAGGCAGGCGGAGAAGGGTCGACACAAAAATGTAAGGAAAGAGGACACATACAGGGGCACTTGCCGGGTAAACTATGAATAAAATACTTAAATGCGCTAGTGTATAGGTCATTAAAGGTAATACATTTTTTTTAAACATGTTTTTGTAATGTGAATTGTTTAAGGATTAAAGAAAAAATGTACTGTAACTGAAAAAAATGCAAGGAGAAGTCAGGAAATTGATACGCATGGGAAAAATCTGAATGAAAATAAGAGGTGAATTTAAGGTTTCATTGGACAATAACAGAAGTGGATTCCAGGAAAATGATGAATGAAGAAGCGATGCCAGTATTTATGCTATGCTGCAGTACCACGCATTCCAATATAGCCATCAGGAAATTAGCCCACACAGCGTGATAACAGTCTTACCTATGATCACGGCTTGCAAGAGTGAGGTCTCACTACACATCCGGACTTGGAAGTGATTTACATCTCAAAAATCGAGTGTGTGACAAGGATATGTCAACAATAGCCTGCCTGGCTGCAAAGTAGTCCATGAATGTGCAAAATTTTCTCTAAAACTTAGAGGGTGTAAACATAGCACCTTCGTGACAACCTCTGTGCTATAAGAATGGCACAAATATGAAATGTACTTCCTTACTTCTTCCAATGCCAGGGCTTTGCCGTTTGTGAAGCATCCTGCAGGACAAAACACTCCTCTTTCTACTTCTGTTGTCACACTGCTCAACTTTGGAATTCCCTCCGATAGTCTCTTTTCCCAATCTTGCACTTTATTTTGCGCACTAAATGCCTACTTTATTGACGCCGATATTGGCATGTAAAATAAAGATTGATTGCGTGAATCTTTCTAAATTCAAGAAACGTATATTAGGCCCTGTTGGCCACTTGCCATTTTCAGCCTTTGCTCAGCAGCTGTGACAAAATCAAAAATTCAGATTTTTTAATATGAATGGCTTTGATGAATGTCCACTGGACTTGGTTGATGGCCGAGTGGCGCCGTTCGATCCGAATGGAGGAGTTGTGGTTTGGAGCGCTCACCTGCGCTCGCTGCGCTGGCGGTGGAGGGTCTGGGTACTCCACGCCGTTCTTGACGCGTGGCCGCTTGACCACGTCGATGTAGGAGACCGGGAAGATGCCCTGGCGATTGGTGCCGGGCACGCGACCCTCGTACCAGTTCTCGTCGACGCGGCGGATCAGAGTGATGCACTCCCCCTGCGGGAAACCCCAAGTGGCACAGCAGGAGGGGGTGGCCAGGTGGGTTCACAGAGGTCAGAACGCTGAGCTGAGAGCGCCGAGATATCTGACACCAAGCAAGCGGCCTGTGATTAAACTGGATCCTCACGAGCAAGTGAGTTGATGGTCTCAGCGTGGTCAGCATCGACTGCATAATGACTATTATATTAAATTTGGTTGTTCAATTAATTTGGCCAAATTCCAGCTCTGCAAATGAAGCATATCAGTTGTACTGCAATGTAGCAACTGCTGCCCCCACTGTATGGTCCTAACACAAAAGTGCTCACTGCTCTGCGATAGAATGATCAGGATAGACCTGCAGAAAATGATTACAAGAATATATGCTTTGCCAGGTGTGGTGATGCATGCCTCTGATCCAGCATTTGGAGGTGAGAGGTGGTGGATCACACAGATTTGTACGACTCCTACTCTTGCAGTGCTGGAAAACTATTTCCTTTGTATTGTAATTTACTAGGCCACACACATATATATGTTGCTTTATACAGCAGAACCCATCTTAACGACGGTAATTGGTTACACAAAACCGGTTGTCAAGCGAATTGGTCATTAAGCGAGTATAGGAATTACATGTTAAAGGCTTAATTGGTTCCAATATCATCGAAAGTCACCCCTTTTCACCCCCAAAACGTACTTTATAATATTTAAATAATGGATATTAATACATAAAGATACTAACATTATAAACACATAATATGAAAATAAACACAGTTAATCAATGCATTAATTCATATTTACAACAGCCAGCCGTGAACAGGGGAATGTTCGGTAAGCGAACACATTGGGCTCTATGGAGACCCGTCGTTAAGCGATTCGTCGTTAACAGGGGTGGTCGTTAAGAGGGGTTCTACTCTACACTACTATACACTACACTATACACTACTATACACTACGATACAGTACACTATACTATGGAGACCCGTCGTTAAGCGATTCGTCGTTAACAGGGGTGGTCGTTAAGAGGGGTTCTACTCTACACTACTATACACTACACTATACACTACTATACACTACGATACAGTACACTATACACTACTACAGAACACATTGGGCTCTATGGAGGCCCGTCGTTAAGGAATTAGATGTTAACAGGGGTGGTTGTTAAGGGGGTTCTACTGTCGTAGCAATCATCTGGGCCTAACTCATGGCCACAGAAATCATGTGGCCACAGAACAAAATGCATTTCCGGGACGTGTACTGTCGGTCCCCACCTTGCGGAAGGACATCTCCAGGTTTGTGTCGGCATTGAAGTTGTAGCGAGCGACCGCCTCACCGTACTCCAGCACCTGGATCGGCGGCTGTCTCATGGGCTGTGGCTTCTCGGTGGGTGGCAGCATCTGCATCGGAAACGCAACAGTGACGAACGCTCGCTGCTTGTCATCCCGAGTTGCTCGAGTATGTTTTATTCGGTTGGGTGGAAGAACAATTGCTTCCCAATTCTGCTGTCAAACAAAGTCGTCATGCTCTTGTCCCCACCAAACTGAGCTAAGGCACTTTGGTTTTACCCACAAGTCACCACCATGGCGACGATCACACAATTATATCACGTATACATGAGCCGCGAAACCTGAGTCTGAACTCAAATTGTTTTTGTATTGTTCCGCGCGACGTCTTCACGATTTCGCTTCACGTGCCGGGACATTCTTTACGAACTGAATTTATACGGTATGACCCAAAAACCCATTGGAGGGCTACACAGCACAACCGCGAATATCTAAACTATAAACTATTTTATTTTACCAGGTAAGGCCTACTTAGCTATATAGCTCTGTTTCAGAAGCGTCCTAGCCACAAATGATAGCTCAATGAAGTGGCTTATCATGTGGAAATGCATAGTTGCAGCCAAATACTCTAAATGCATTTTTCCAAATGTGGAGAGGACCTGGAGAAAAATCCACTCGATCACAGGGAGAACATGCAAACTCAAATTATACGGGCGTAAGGGTCAGAATGGAACCCACGATCTCCTGTATACCAAGTGCAGCAGTTAACATCTCGCCACTATTGGGCCCTTCCTGATTAATTAAAAAAATAACATTACTCCATCATACTCACGCCACTTTTTTTTTCGCTTCAACTCGAGTCCGAGGAGGCATGAGGCACGCCAACTCGAGTCAACCACAATTGGCTGTCCCAATGGGAACGAAGAGCTCTTAAGATGTGCACATGGAAACTCACTTCCAGATATGACGCCGGGCAGATGCCCACTCTTCCGTGGCGCTCCCCCTCAATCCAGTTCTTGTCGATCTTGCGAGTCACATACACGATGTCTCCCTTCTGGAATGAGAGCTCCCTGCAAAGAAATACACGATGTTTTCGTAACAAAAACGGCAATTGCAACAGCACGGGCAAACAAAAAAGATCCAAAAATAAAGATCTGTTGGATGTATGTTGATTCTGGCTTCCTGGATTGTTCCTCTGACTTCATGGATTGTTGCTCTGACTTTCTGGATCTTGTCCTGACAACGTCTGATGCAGTTTCCAATGAGATGTCATATCTAGTTGCGAAATTTGTTTGTGAGGACTGTTCTGCAATGAATTAATAATATAATTGGTGTGTTGTTCATTACTCAAACAAGTGACAATTTATTTGTTTGGCTGTGTCAGGTGGTGGAGGGATATTAATGGCATTGATTTAATCGGATCATTACATGGCCTGAGCCAATAATCAATTATGCACCAAATAAATAGCTTTTAAAACAGATAATTAGATTTTGATTTAAAGCTTTCGTGACTGCAGTAATTCATATTCTTAGTTTTTTCGGTAAAGTCACGTTGAAGAGAAACAACAAAATAACAAAAAATATATATAAAACAATAAAAAATTCTCACGACGTTTCGACCATAACTCAAACGGTCATCATCAGGTGTGTCGGTTTGCATATTTTTTTTTTAATATATATTTTGTTATTTTGTTGTTTCTCTTCAACGTGACTTTACCGAAAAAACTAAGAATAAGATAATTAGATGTGAATAAACAACAAAAAGCCACATATTTACATGTACACACAAATACGCACATATATCGTATGCACACACCGACCAATACGTACCAGAACACAGACCCCCATATGCAGAGAACATTCATGAACAATCACACACAAAGCCACTAATACACTCACACACTAAAAAGCATTAACTACAGCTGTTCTGAATGATTTGCATGGGGCTCTTAAATTATAACACAGTTTAATAAATACACTCGTGCGTCTCTTTGCTGCACCTTTGTGTTTGAGCTTTGAAGTCATACTTTGCTCTCGCTGGCTGTCGCATCTGAAACACAGAAGGGAACAAGTGTTGGCGAAACGCATTCCTACACGACGGCATTTTTGTAACATGCGTTACTTAGTCGGACATTGCTAGAATCGAGTGAAAGGATTTCAATCAACTTAGATCACACCCCCCAAGAGCCCACAATATGCATGGAAGCCTGTTTGCCAAACGAGAAATGTTCAGCTTCAGCCATATAAAAACAACACTGTGCTTTGCCTGAGCTTAGAATATATAATGAATGCATATAATAGTGATTCTCAAACAATAGCGTATTCAGTGTGCAACACGAAAAAGGTAATGCATTCTATTTAGGGCAGTGCTAATAACGAATGTGCTGATGTTACGTGTGTTTTTGCACCACTGCCAATGCGTTATCACCATTATTTGTATTCATATACACACAATGAGCGTATGTATCAGCGTGACCTTTGATGCATCGTAAATTAACAGTTTTAACAGTGCAGTGAAGCGTCTTGTGCATGTTTTCAAAGTTCAACATGCTAAGCAGTAAAGTCTCCCACTTGTCTTGATGAGCAAAAGCACGGACACCACCAACACGTATTTGCAATAATGCTCGTAACTCAAACTTTGAAAAACACTCGGATAATTTTAGATACGGTAGGTAAATATCTGGTTTAAATCAAAGTGCATTCCGGGCATTCTCACAGCGGCTTTTGGCTGGCCATTCGAACAAAGCCGGCCACTGCATCGCGCGATTTCAGACGCGCTTCTGCGGCCATATGGAATGGTCTTCCTTCCGATATTAGTAAGCCATTGGAGCTATGCACTTTTAAATCTAGATTAACAAAAATATTTCTTTAGAACTGCTTTTTGTGTTTAGTGTGCTGTCCTTCCCCCCACACTTCCGATTAGCACGGTTGGATACGCACGGTGTGAAATAAGGTCAACATCCATACATACCTTACCTGGTATACAGGAGGTATCCAGGAGGTATATCAGGTATACGTCTTGCATACGATTATCATAAGATGTTAACTCTACAGAAGGTTGTGGGTTCGATCCCGACCTTGACGCCTGTACATTTGGAGTTTGCACGTCTCTCTCCCCGTTGTCACGTGGATTTTTCTTCAGGCCCTCCGGTTTTTCCCTCCACATTTAGAATCGATGTGCAATTTAGAGTGTTTGGCTGCTATAGATTTACACGTGATAAGCCACTTCGTTGAGCTGTCATTTGTGGCCAGGGTGGGCCTTACCTGGTGATGCGGCATGCACCTCCGATTAGCACGGTTGGCTACATACGGTGCGAAAGAAGTTAAACTTAGATGTGTACAAAGGTGGTCCTCGTGGTACGAGATGAGTGTGTGGCCCGTTCAGCCGCAAGTGCGTCTCAGGTCTAAACTTTGGGGTGCTTTCGACGGCACGGACTTATTAAAGCCTGCTGCTGCTGCGTCCCGAGCCGAGAGGGGCATGCGGGCAGAACGGCAGCAAAACCTCCGCACCCTCCTCACGAGGTGACGTTGGCCGTTGGTGAACTTTGATCGTCATAGGGAGAGAGCGTCTTCCTGGAGCAATGAACGGGGCGGCACTCATATAAGCTAAAATTAAACCATTTTCTATTTTATCTGGTAAGGCCCCCCACTGAGCTATGTAGCTCTTTTTCAGAAGCGTCCTGACCACAAATGATAGCTCAACGAAGTGGCTTATATCATGTGGACATTTATAGCAGCCAAATACTCTTAAACGCTAAACGCACATTTCTAAATGTGGAGGGAAAAACCTGAGGACCCGGAGAAAATCCACACGGCCACGGGGAGAACACCCAAACTCCAAATATACAGGTGTCAGGATTGGGATCGAACCCACGACCTCCAGTGTACCAGGCGAGGTAGTTAACACCTCGCCACCCCAATTTGGCCTCCTCTTCCATGCTGGCCAGACGTCTTGGAAGAGGCCGGGGAGTACCCACACTGTAGCTGACCACATGCAACCTGACAATCAACTAGCTGCCGAGTCCTCACCTCCCTGCTGTGCCGACGCATCAGATCTTCCGGCGTGCCCCGGCGGTCAAGGAAGGCGTTGCTGCTGCTGGTGCCGTAGCTGAAGCTCTGGGCCGAGTGTGGCCGAGCGAGATCAGAGTCTGCGCAACGCAGGGTGGGTGGCAGAGAGCGGCATCAACGGCAGACAAGGAGGGACGGGTGGTGTTCACGCGGCATGGGCACGGGACGTGTGGCACTCACGGCACGGTTCTAAATCACCCTGTGACCACGCCGTTAGTGTGGTGGCACAGTAGAGATGTGACGCACACACTAATGGCATGGCCAGGGTGTTTTATAACATGTCATTAGTGTGTCTGTCACACGTTCCATGTGTGTGTGTGTGTGTCACACATCTCCACGCCAAAACGCAGAGAGACCCAGATGCTCTACATGTCACGGTTTACATCACACATTTGAAATGTTTCTCTGCACAACAAATACATGGCATGAGATAACTAACTTCGTCAGTAATTTTATGAACTGTCAAGATTCCTGTTTGCGATTCGATTCAAGGATGTATGTGAATATAATCGGAATATGTGCACAGAGAACAATGCACGTGTTTACATTACAACTGCCCTGTTATTCACTCTTCCCGACTACACCTTACACACGCAGCCCCACTTACCACGTCAAATGCATGGCGTCTCTCTGTGACAGGTGACAAATGTCCCAGTGAGTCCTGCCTTGGCTGTGCCCACGTAACGTTGGCACAACCCCTCTCTTCATTACTGCCGCACCGAGTGAAACTTTGGCAAAGCGAGCGGCGTTGCTAAGTTTGTCCCAAAGGGCTTCTCGCTACTTCACCAAATTAATGGGCACCCATTGCCGCCGCCGTGGCTCCCACAGTTCATGCTCTCCAGTGTGTTAACGTAGAACCCAAGCCGCATTCTAATGTGTCCGGAGGGCGTCCCTCGCTCTATTGCAGGAAGCCTACTGAGGTGCACGTAATCAGATTGAGAGTTTGGCACACGCAATTCATACCTGAGAATGACAATGGTCGCGGGAGTAAATGCCATTGCCAAGTGCGTAATGCACCTTGGGAACCCAGCGTCTTAGCACGTGGGATCTGAGCACTTTTAGCAGCAAGCTAATACGCCGGGTAACAAAGTATGTCTTTCCATCCAAAAGTCAAACTGTTAGTTCTACCTGATGACGATTGCTTGTGTTGCAATAGAAACGTCGTATTCTATTATTAAATTTATTTCCTTTCTACGTGACTTTACCGAAAGAACAAAATAGTAATTTCTTGCAGTCACGAAAGCTTCAAATCAAGTTTGTGACAACAGCATTAATGGTTGGGTATGAATCACCGATGAGCACTGCTCGCAGGTCTCTTTGGAAGTCTGTAAACTGGACATCACACACCGGTGATCCCTCGGGGGTGGGGGGGGGGGGATGGGCAAAAACTTCGATGCTGCAGACTGTAGCTATCAAGGCCTGTCAATGGAAAGATGCATCACCGTTTGTCAGCGAGTACAATTGCCCATTTCTCGTTAGTTCAGTTGTAGTTTACGCTCAGCCTTGAGCCGCCTACTCTTTGGACGAAAGGCTCCCCAAGCCATCGGCATCTCTCACGGTCTCGTGATGCACCGTCTAGCTCCTCCACACGAGCGACCCCTCCCCCGAACGCCCCTTTGCTCCGTCTCTGCCATGGACGTCCTCTCTCTCGGGGGCGCGTTTCCCTCCCATTGGCTGCCACTCCGTCGTTAGTCTCGACCGCCGGCCGTCGTCCCTTCTGGCGGCGGGGTCGTAAACCCAAATCCTGCTGACCTTCCTTACCGGTGAATATGAAATAAAGTGCTCCCAAAGTAACACGACCTGCATTTATTGCCATCAGACGTGCGTTTGTGTTTCACGAGTTTAGGCTGTACATTTGCTCTTCGAAATCTGCGCAGTGGATAGCTTTAATATGGTTATACAAAGTGTTTTTAATACAACATGAAACTTGAAATGTACATTTACAACGTGATCCGTTATGATTGCCTTCACGTGATACTGAATGCCAGTCGGTGAGTTTAACACGACTTACCAGTCCCCTTGGGTTACGTAAAAGAGCAGCCAATGAGGATTAGACAACTAAGTTCTTGAATCGTATCAATCGCAGCTGTGAACAAGGCTACAGTAAATCAGTCACGTACGTAGCATCATTTCGAGCTTGCATGTCAAAAACCGACGTGACTATGGTGTGCGAAGTGAACTAACACAGGGGACAAACAGCAGGTGAAATGTATGAACTCATATAAAAAGAAAACCCCAACACATTTACTCCGAAAAAATAAATAAAACTACAGTTTACAACACAGCACAACACACCGTAGCTGAACAATGAGCGTAACGTATGACAACCTCTGGGATAAATTAAAACAAACGAGTAGAAACACCGCTGTTTCATACAAACACAGAACAAAGTTTTCAATGGAATGCAACGTACATGCGTGTGACACAGCAATCGGCACAGCACACTTATATTTCCAACGCACTCTATCTAATGTTCCGCGGAACCCCGGTGACCTGATCTCCTGGGTCACAATACGATGTTTGAATGGAGAAGATGACTTCATGTTGAAAGCATCGATATGCTGTGACCGTAGCCAGTATGACAAACTCAATGCTGCGATTTAAAATGCAGCCGTGGAAAGCTCGTGGGTCCATCACTGCTTTGCTTGGGTCGATGGGCCATTTTCCCTCGTTTTGAGTATCTTTGTGGGTGTGAGAAAAGATTTTCCAGAGCCTATGTCAGGCCCAACAAAGACTTTAGAAAAAAAATGTACAGCTCTTTATCAATCTACTGCTGAATTAAAGCCTCCCCACACTTTACCGTCATCAATTTTTTTTAAACCAAGGACCCTGTAAGGAAATTGTCATTCTCTGTTAAAAAATTACTTTAAAACCATGTGATTAACACAATAATTAGGCTAATCTACAACTATACATTTAGTAACACTAATTTTCCATTTATCAGTAAAGACCAGGCTGAACAGGAACGAGTTTTGAGGCAAGTTGTGTGACCATATTTCTCACTACGATGGTTACTGTGGGTTACTGAAGAGGGAGCGCAGGAACGGTACAGTTATCACTCACCACTGATGTTAGCCATGGTGACTGTCCATGCCTAATTACTAGTAACATCACTGCTATGTGCAAACATATATGTATTAAGTCAATGCCTTATCATAATTTTTTGTGTTAAGTAAACTGATGCTTCCGAGTATGAATTACATTTTGTAAAAGCCAAACTGAAGAGTAGATTTTAAGGTATGTATTCAAGGAAGACAATACATATATAGCTTCAAATGTAAGTTAAAATTAAGGCATTTTATCATGATTAATAGCACGTGTGTATTTTGTTTAATTAGACTGATAATGACTGTCATTATCAGTCAATATGATAACCTCAAAGAGAAATTCTTTCACGAGAAATTAATTTGGGTCAAATTCCCTTAAAATTATTACAATGATTGAAATATCCGACTTGTTAATGAAAAAGCAGCATATTCTTTCCATCAAAATTGTAATAATTCACTGACATTTGTTAAAATGTTCATTCCTCTACTGTATAACGCCATCACCCCCCCCCCCTTCTAATCTTTTCAATAAATGTTCTCAAAATGATGTCAAATAGGATCTATTTGATCTCGCGTGACATGCGAGGGGTTTTGAAGAACAGCAAAATGATGAGTCTGTGACAAGCGATGGCAAATGTGATGTCTTCACAGGCATGCTGCCAGGACAAGATAGCACGTCTCACGGACAACACCAAAATGAGATGTACAATGGGCGACGGGTCCACCACAACAACGATCCAGGTGACAGCGTCTCCGAGACTAACTTCTGCTCTGGAGGAGACAAGAGCGCAGATTGTTATTAGAATCGCTGTAACCGTAGGGCAGCTCGTTGTCGTTCGGTGAGAAATCATCGGAAGACGTCATCAGCTCTGCCGCGTCCTCCAGGATGAGTAGCGGGGCGCGGTATCGCTCTCGGATTGCGACGATGGAGGACGTCCGCGCGGGGGCCCGAGGCACGAACTCTGACAGCAGGCGATCGATCATCCCCGTTTCCACGTGGTCCTCTTGCCCGTGATTCTGCATTCCGTTGGAAGCTGGCACTGGCGATGCAGATGAGCCCGTGGCCTGCCGCTCCTTCGCGCTGCTGCTGCTGCCGCTGCCGCTGCTGCCGCTCTTCGACTTGAAGGGGAGGGGCCCCACCAAATATGCCGCTCTCATCGGCTCCGGCTTCTTGCCTTGGCTTGTGCGCCTTTCCTGAGCCGGGCCCTTGGGGCGATTCTTCTCGTGCTGAAGCCAAGTGGTGAACCTCGTGAAGTAGGCAGGGCAAGGCCCCTTGCAGTGGCTGACGAGGAGCTTGCTGCGTTGCGTTTTGACATTCTTATCCGATCCAACGGAAGATCCATTAGCGGCACCGTCTGCCCGGATGCCTGCCATGGAAGCCTTACCAGGGTTCGGTTGAGGTGCCCGACTCTGCTCAGCGTGGTTCGGTTCATCGCGAGCTTTGGGATTTTCAGGTTTGACAGCGGGTGAGTACTGAGTGGTGTCGATGCTACTTTCCTTCAAGCTGCCCAAGCGGTCGACTTTTTGCATGGAATCCTCAGCCTTGCCCGAAGGACTGCCCACGTAATTACCATTGCGCTTCGCAAGCTTCTCCTGGATGTGCTGGTTCAGTTTCGTGGAAATCTCTGAGAGGTCCCTATTCAGCCACTTGCTTCTGATCTGATCGCGTATGAGCGACGCTTCACTCCTCTCCTTCAGTACCGGCAGGGCCGTCGCCAACGTTTTCTGGGCTTCTTTGATCTGCTTTGACCTCTGGCCAGAGGAAACTTCCTGACCGCCACTATTTGCAACCAGCGATTCCACCGAGAAGGAGTATCCTAGCTGCTTCTGTGGGAAGAAGGCCTTCTTGCAGAGCGTGGTGACAAGGGGGGTTTGGGCCGCACGTTCCTGTCCAGTGCCGAGGTCGGGCAGGGACTGGCAGCGCTGAGAGAGGCTCTCGGCCTCCCCCAGCTCGGCGGCCGCGGCCGCCCGCGAGGCCCCGTCCTCCGGCGTGCCGGCCCTCGGAGTCTCGCTCCGGCTGCCCGGGTTGCTCGCGGTCGCGGCATCCTGGTTCTGCTCGTACCACGACACCATGGAGCGCACGCAGCACACGGGCTTGGAGGCCCTCACGTCTTGGTGGCTGATGGTGTGCATGGACTTGTACAGCTTGAGGAACTGCGAGGACATGTGCTCGGCGGCGGAGGCGTCGTCACCGTCGCTGTGGGACGCGGACGCGCTCACGCATTCGGCGCTCTCGGATTTCGTGCAGGGGCGTCGCGCCAGGCCGCCGCCGCCGCCGGCCGCGTGCCCGTTGGCGATGTCCTCGCAGCTCTGGGACTTGTGTCTGCTGGGGGCGCGCGCGCCCGACGGACCGCGAGACGGGTCGCGGAGGAGGAGCGGCCGGCCCTGCTTGCCGATGTTGGGTTTGAACTTGGACGGCAGAATGTCGGTGATGCCGCTTTTGGCCGCGGACAAAAACTTAGCTTGACGGCCGCTCGCACAGCCAGAGGGACTCTGCGAGTCGGTGAGCACGCTGATGTAATTTAACGTGTAAGCCAGTCTTTGAATACCCCCACCTTTTAATCCAAGCATGGCCAGCATGTGGGGAGGAAAGAGAACGAAAGAGTAAAATATAACCGCCAACACAACACGCGTCGGTTCTGTCCCGTTGACAAACGCTCGAAAACTACAGTGACACCACGGGACAGCGGGACGCCTCGCTTTCTTCAGCGACGTAATAAAAATAAAGCTTTCCGAGAGCGAAGCGTATGATATGTGTACAATCCGGTTGTTTGGTCATAAAAAAAGTTTCTCCGTTTTAAACGGTTCCCCTGACGTACCCAGAATTAAACGGAGGGATACGCGTCAATGAAGAAACTGCGCGTGGCTGTGAAGCGCTCAGAGGTCCTGAGAATCGCCGCAGTGAGATCCAACGGCAAGGGCCAGTCGACTGCGCTTTAGCTCTTAAGCTCAAGGTGCTATGCAGGATACTGCGACGCTGCCACGTCCTGATATTCTTTGTTGGAAAAGAAAACCAGCCGCCGCTGTTCGCTCCAGAACAAAGTTCAACGTAATGATAAACCATACAAACAAGGCTCTACTCGGATACGACCAATTAACACGATTAGCAAACAAACACGCAAGTGCTAAATGTATATTCTTAGTTTTTTCGGTAAAGTCACGTTGAAGAGAAACAACAAAAAATATATATATATTTTGTTATTTTGTTGTTTCTCTTCAACGTATCCGAGTATATTTGTTGTTTCTCTTCAACGTATCCGAGTATATTTTGTTATTTTGTTGTTTCTCTTCAACGTGACTTTACCGAAAAAACTAAGAATATGAATTACTGCAGTCACGAAAGCTTTAAATCAAAATGCTAAATGTATGTTTGGCTTGGTGAGGCATATGCGAGAACTGGCATTATTCGCCTCACAGATCCGCTCGAAATGTGTAAATAAAGCACCAAAACCCACAAAGTAAAAAAACCTAATCCGAGTCAAGTTATCATTAAACAAATACATCGTAAATATAACCGCAACGTAAAAAGTGTTTCACGTGTCATCATGAAATGATTCATGCACGCCTCGCGGTGAGAAGTGAAAACATAAAATACAATGCCCGTTGCAGTGCGCGATATATATGTGTTAATTTAATTTAATGCTTTCACCAGCAAAATCATAACTGATCATTAATATCAGTAAAGAGTTATGCACACTCCACCAGCTGACAAAGCTGAACAAATCAAATGATCAAAAGATGTGCTTTTAAGTTTAACCCGTTTTTGAAAAACAAAATAAATTGGCACATTTGTCCACGTGACACCTCGATGTGTATAGCTGTAAGGTGGTGGAAGGTGATAGGTTTAATTGACATTATGCCTACCTGATCTAACTGCAAATTAAACCAATTATGAATAAGACTTATGTGTTGTGCATTGCATAGTGTGCTGTACAGTAGTAGTGTAGTGTCAGTTGCAATGTTTTTTATGAAGTGTGCGTTTGCGGGATTTTTGTGCAGACTTGTAATTGGAATTGTAGTTAATTGAAATATTGAAAATGGACATTGTTCATGCTCAAGTGTAGCAACAGTACACACGTCTCTCTTCAGCTGGGACTAGATTACACGAGAAACAGCTAAAGCGTACGTTTTGTGAGCGATCCCCAATTTACAAGTACTGCACGTGAAGCTTAAACCACTTAACGTACAGATTTATGAATGCACTTAAACAGGATCCAGTGCAGTCTTGTGTAACTGGCACGTATTGCTAGAATTTAAGGTAAAACTATAATAGGCTTTTGTTTGCCACATTGCGAGTGAGCCGTCGAAACCAATGTTGATATTGCTTAACTCGAACGCATCGTTAATATATCGCTCATTTGCCACAGAGTTAATGAGTGTCGCTGATTTTAACCCATGCGAGGAGGATGATGGGTCAACTTCGACAGAAAAATGTATCCATTATTTTCTCTATTCGACACGAGTGGCTAGTTTGCATTGTAATGTTTATTACAGCATCACTACAGTGGAGCTGTACGCTTGTCACCTCCATTACAGTTTACGGCAAAATTTAATTTCAGTCATTTATTGCTACACAACAAAGCACGCTCTTTCACGTCGCTTTCTCAAAAATGTTAATCATTGCCGTGAAACCTCTTGCTGTCGAACACTACAGTGGACAAGCGCAAATGTGCAATGGTTTTACACCCTACACAAGGATGACAACACATCGTTGGTACAGCAAACATTGCATTTTACAAGTGAGACATTTCTCACCTGCAGCAAGGTCTTCGCTAGACATCATCAATCGGATGAGTGCAGACTGATGATGACTATGTTGAACGTCTTTCGCACAGTACGCAGCCGTACGTAGCCAACAGACTTGCACGATGAGCACGGTTGGCTACGTGCGGTGCGAAAGAAGCTCAGCACGCATACATACATACAATCTCCTTCCTACAATTTAAACACCCCAGGCTTTAAATATCAGGCTTAGTAGGTCCCAACGTGTTGTCACATTCGCCAGATGCCCTACGCATATTCAGCCTTACTTTGTCCCCCTCCCCCCCCCCCCCTATTTGAGTCGTGCCATTGTTTTTCATTTCATCTCCGAAGCAACTGCTTGGTTCAAATCCCCCCCCTCCCCTGACCACCCCCCCCCCCTCAAAAAAAGTGGAGTTGGCAGAACAACAAGGTTGCAGGATGACCTCTCACCTCTGGGCAACGGTGGGGAGAGCGTGGAGGAGGCACTGGAGGAAGGGCGGCCTCCTGAGTCCTCGCACGGCCACTGTCTCGAGCCCAGCGAGCTGCGCGCCAAACACCGCACACACGCGGACGGACGGACGGGGTAAGTTGTCACGCGGACGCGATAACGGTCGTGACCCCAATCGGCGGTAAATCGGCGGTAATCGCAAGCACGGCAGGAGATGTTTGTCGTTTTGCTTCCTCATTGCCGAGTATTCTTCACGTATATTCCCAACATGTAAGCTCCTGGGGGTTCTAACGTTTGATACGTGGGTCGTTGTTAAATCACGGGGCTGTGAGGGATGGTGGCAATTTTGGGTAGGCCTTCATCCAGCAGTGGACTGACCATAGCGGGTGATGATGGTGAATTGTGTCATGCAAAGATATGCACACCATTAAATTATATTATGGAAACCTTTCAGGGATGTAAAGAAACACCGATTCCTCAAACAAAATCCATTCTCATGCTCATGATACATGTACCTGACAGTGCGCGTAAGCCTGTATGACTTTCGATTCTCAAACCTCGTATGAAATGGATTAATATGACCCGTGCTGCCCTTAATTGATAAAAACAAAATCTCTTGAATCGAATCACGGCCCTGAATTGTTTGCGAGCAATCATGACAGCACTACTGCCCACCTACCTGTCTGCAACCCAAAGTGTTCTAAACGTATGTAAGTATATCTGTGTGTATACATATTATTCCGATACATTATGTTTAAAATACTATCCATAGTGATATTGACCCTGGAGTATATGAAGATGGGAGTGGTAGCGCAGTGGTTGTATGTATGTTGAACTTTTTTCGCACCGTACATGTAAATAGGAGGTGCGGAGAAAGGACAAAAAAACTAAACACAAAAAGCAGCTTTACAGAAATTAGTTATCAATAGAGATGATTTAAAAGTGCATAGCTCCAGTGGATTCCTAATATCGGAAGGAAGAGCGTTCCAGACGGCTGCAGAAGTGCACGTGAAAGGGCACATTGACGTTTAAACCCTGCAACCTGAGTCCAATTCCCAGACCTTGGATAACATCAGTGACAAAAGCGATAGCCCAACCGGTCCTAGATACCCCCCTACTCCCCCCACCCCTCGTCAGGCTTTTTTTAGCAACCCACACTGACCAAGGTGGGGAAGTATGGTCAAACAACGTCCACTATCCAACATGGCGTGGAGAAGCCTTTGTCCAGCAGACAAAGTACTCTATAACCCTCACTACGCACTTACTGCGTGGTATTTACGTTGCCTAATGAACGTGCATCAATCTTCATCGTGCGCCTGATGAATCCTGTTACTAAGGGTTTAGCGCTACGGGGAGCCACACACTACGCGAACAGCTGAGGCTCTTAACCTCGCAAGGAACGCATGTTGGCACTCGCACAAGCCCATGCCTCCTGTACTTACAGGGCTGTCACAAGGGTTAGGCACACAATCTATTTCTTAGAATGACTAGCTCGAGCGTATTTATTTAGCTTTTTTTCAAGTTGCGTTTAGCATGTCCTCATTTGCCATCGCATTCCATGCCACTTGCTTAATCTCCGTTTTCCTAATGTTCCAGCGGGAGCTGTGCGTTACATCTTGTCTCACAGTATCGTCCTTCAAGAAAAGTATCTACTCACGGAAAGTATGGCTATGTACGGTGCTAAAGAAGTGTAACATACATATGACGCTGTGACGTATAACAGTTACATACAAGGGCTGCACATTAAGATAAGTACAATGCATAAAAATGTAACTTTCTGTGGAATATACAGAAGCACAATTGAAAATTTAAGGATGAACAATGGCCAATTCTTTCTCTCTCTTGTTTTCGGCTCCATTAATAGAATCAAGACATCCCGTTCTTTCATGATTTTCTTCGATTATTTGTTGATGATTTTACTTCTGTTATTTAACCACTCGTTTGTGCTTGGACGTGTGTGTGTGATTACACGTAAAATACTTGTTTACTTATTTTATAATAATGATAAAGAAGCCCTCTGTCGCTCCACCGCTGGATTAAGGAGTCTGCACGCCACGTGTTTATCGCTTTATCTATCTCTCTATCCCAAATGAACATTTTGTCTGTTCTGGCAGATTATACAATCAGCATTAGATTATTTAACTTGGGAAAATAGTTGCCAATACATTGTTTTCCATTTTAACAGTGAAATTATATCATTTATACATTTGTTAATCAATGCACCTATCCACCGCAAACTAACAACTCTAATTTATACACTGAAATGTGTTTATTATGACAAATACATAATACATTAGAATAGCTGCAATTCAATGATGACTCAATGTCTTGCGTCGATATAATCACTCGGCGCGATAACATCCCCCTCCTCTTCCAAGTAACGACACATGTTACATTTGTTCAACGATAAACGGCATTACTACCACGTAGGTTTATATTTTTTTTGCGGTGGTGTTGCACAGCTCTCCGATGTGTTTTAGGGCTCTAACCCACGTGCTGTTCGTGGGTTCGATCCCGATGCCTGCTGTATTTGGCTGCTATAAATTTGCACACGACGATAAGCCACTTTGTTCGGCCATCATTTGTGGCCAGGTGGCTTCTGAAAAAGAACTACATAGCCCAGTGGGCCTTCGCTGGTAAAATAAAATGTTCATGGTAAATAGGGAGTTTCATAACATGTGTGAGATCCACCAAAAGCATCCACCAAAAACGTCGCTGCCTCTTCCACGGTGCTGGATTACAGGCCACGAGCATAGCCCGGTCGAATGCTGCGTGAATGTTGATGCAGGTGCCGATGGCGGACAACGAATGGGCGACGTGGCCAACTTTCGCGACACTCACCTGTGAGGTCTTTCTTGAGCTTTCTCCGAGAAGGATTTGTAGATCGCATTCTGCAAGGCAAAACAAGCACAGAACGTTTACACCTGGCATCACTTCCGCATCTCAATCAACGTTCCACGTGCTCAGGCGTCCTTACGTGGCACGTGACTTCGATGCGTCTCACAAAACTGCGGAGTCAAAGTCACGTGCTGCGTAGATGTCTCACGTCAACACACGGCCACACTCACAGCGGGTATCCGATATGGACACTGCGAATGAGACGGACTGTCATCGACGCACGTTGGGAGGGGTGGTAGCTTGAGCACACAAGTGGAAATCGAGAGGTAGGTTAACTCATTCCCATCATCTCTCAGGCGTGTCAATGAAACGAATACAACTTTGGAATTTCCACCACTGGCTAAGGGTTGTAAACAGGCGTATACATTTTTGGCACAATGCGAACAGTGGACGTCACTTCAATTGGCTCTCCCCCTGCCATAGGAATGTGGAGTTTCCACCACTTGCTGAGGGGTGTAATCGGGAGACGAGCACCTCCCACGCGCTTGCGTGAGCGGGACCACCTTCGCCGGCAAACATCCCGCAGCACGGCGGCCCCGCTATGCAGGGCTACGTTGTGTGCAGCAGAGGGGCCGGTGCAGCCAAACCCATTGCTGTACGGTACTTCTATGCTCACTCGGCTATGCTCCCCGCTTTAACCAATCAGAAGCGACCAGTGGCGTAAACTATGGTCAATAGCCCCCATGACGTATCAGGTTGTGGCGAAGAGCCGTCACCAAGTCGTGGACTGACGAAGAGCTGTATATGTATGTGCATAAATAAGGTACACGTGAACGTTGGCTCCCTGGTAGCCACAGTAGTTTGTGGACACGAGGGCCGTGGAAAGATTGCTTTCCCAGCAAAAAAAAACAAACAAAAGCGTTTTAATGAGGATTGCACGACGGCACGCCGATATTTCAAAGCCTTCCAAGCAAACCCATGCTCTCGTCAACCAACTCCCGACGCCGCAGTGGCTCAAGACATGCTGTGGAGGGTTACGACAAATGTGACATTTGTTAGTGGCGTGGAAATGAGGCGATGCAAATAAGGCAGGCTCAGAGCCACCTGCTTTGGCGTTTTCGCTTTCGCATTCCCACATGCTGTTGTGCTTACAAAATGGTAGAGGTTAGTTCAAGATAAGAGTAACAATGGACCGTTCTGTGCTTTGTCGTTGAGAGGAAATGTCAAGGTTTGTCCGAATTCAGGAAAGAAGGCTCCCTCGGATCAATCATCAAGATCTTCCTTCCTCTTGGTGGCAGTAAAAAAAAAGTTGTATTATTATTAACCTGTTATTTAATGTATAAACTCACTGCAGAAATGTTATACCACACACTATACTCTAATACTATATATACATTCTAAAGGAAGTATATTTACATTCCAAATATATAGATAGCATATGAATGTGAGTATACAGCTTATAGTATTGAGCTTGCAGTATAGTTTATATACATAATCGGAAAGTGTAGTGCAATGCGCACTTTGTATAAACCAATTTTTATATTAAATAGATAACAAATCCAAGCAATGCTCCAAAAACAGATATAGTTTACCTGCAAAGGCGACTCGCGCATAGTTCGTGGTTAAAAGCAAATATCGAATTAATGCAAAAAAATCACTGCGATTTATATAAAAACCCATGTTTACGAGTACACCTCCACAACAATAACACGCATCGCTTCACAAAGTGCATACATTTTTTTTAACGTTCCACAAGTAGTTGAATAACTTAAAAACAGCTGAAAATAAAAGGAACCCACCAGCCCAACTCTTTGCCCTCCGTACACTGCGAGAGTATTCAGCGTAACTGCCACGAGTTGCCTTGCTGTCGCTGTTACTGCCGTTGCATGCAACGTTGTGTCGTTGGGTAAGAGCTGCGAGCACCACCCCCCCCCCCCCCCCACGTCTCTCTCTCTCTTACTGCGAGGTGGAGCCAAGTGAACGCAAGAGGAATGTACCACCGAGCCAAAGGCCGGGTGTGACTTTGTTTCTCTCTCCAAATGCCGAAGAACGACCCCCTTTATCTTAGCAATAACCCTTGGAAGAGGAGGGGGGGGGGGGATATACCCCTGCTATTTAATACGGTGCACCGCAGTGAAAAATCGTGGCTCAGTTTGTCTGTATTGCCAGGGGGCAGGATTAAGGTTCTTGTTGGCCCAAGGCACTTCTGTTTCGTAGGTCTTCAGTGATCACTTTCAAAAGTTAGTACTGCTGCTGTTACTCGCAAAAACTGATTAAAAAAAAATGTCTCCGATCAACCATAGGGCAACAACGCTTGTCTTTCCTTTGCACTACTCTCCATTGCGAATGAGATGGTGCGAAAATCACTATTTGAAGATGTTATTGCTAATTTTGCAATGAAAAAAAATATTGAAAAGTTCATCTCCGGTGTTAATTTCTCTCACGTGAAAAAAACGATTGGTATTGTCATGACTCTGCGTCTCTGTACATACACTGTGCCTATCCTTGCTATTCAAAAATATGTATTCAATCTGCACCGGTCCTGGGCCTCCCCTAGGTGGACTCAGCCTCAAACGAGCACCTGGTGTAGCGGTGGTGTAGCGCACATCGCTAGCACGGGGGAGACTGATTTTTTTAATCAGTTTTCACAGGCCCTAGACACAGTCCCTGATGTGCCTATTTGATAATACGGCCCTGTGTACTTGTAACACGCAGTGTATCAATTGTGTCTACTGCTGCTTATCCTTGTGGCTGTGTGTGATGACATCTCATGAAGTCAAACCTTTAACACCGTGAGCTCTGCCCCGTGAACCCCTGACACTTCACGTGGCGCTGAAGTGCACTTTGCCTGGCACAGGCGCTGTGGTGTGACGTCTCCGTCACTGAGTCGCGAATGATTGGCTGTAGTCGTTGTTTGTGCAATCGCAATAATCTACAAACTAAAAATAGATTTATCTACAGCGCCATTCACACAAGGCCTCAACGCACTTGACATAAAATAACCCAACCCTTTACGAACCCTGAAATAAAACAGAAGAATAAAACCCTGAACAAAATAAATGTGCGCGATAATATAAAACCCTTTAAAGATGCATTCCTTAAACAAATGAAACCGAATGAAAACTAAAAAGGATAAACACCAACGTTAAATGCGCATAGCCTACACAGACAGCTACGCGAGTGCAAATAAATGTTTTAAGACGGCTCCTAACAGACTCAAGTGACAAGGGTCCCTGATGCTTTGCGGAAGATCGCTGTTCCACAGACGAGGTGGCCGTCGATGATCGCAACGTTGAACACGGACCGGTGTGGAATGTCGGCAGATATCTTCCGAGCAAGCGTTATGGAGGAGCAAGGGGCACAGACCTCACCGGACAGCTTGATCGTCGCTTAGCGCAAAATGGCAATGGTGTGGCTATTTGCCCTGGGCTACAGAAGTTGACTCCTTCTGCATGAGACCTTAAAGCGGCATGCGCCTTCATTGCCTCTGGAAGCGCCTCTATTGTGCCGTGCTCGTGACGGCCCCGGCCGCGTTTGTCATTAACCCCCCTGCGAGGTTCAAGCCTTTTATGGCAGCTGCAATCGTCGACTAAAGCTTCAGAGAATTAAATTTGCTCCTTAACAGCTCCGCGAGACAGCGTGATGCATACTTTGAGAATATAATAAAAAAAACGACTATCAAAAAAAGTTTAACACGTAGGCTTTCGCGACCAATATCATCCATAATGTCGTTTTTTTGGGTTAGATCGCATAACCCCCAAAAAACCCCTATATTATCAAAAAATGGTTTTCATTTTCAAACAAAAATGTGTATAATTTATTAATGTCATCTATGAATGTCTTTAAAAGTTACAAGTTATTTTAAACGTGGGCAATTTATCCGTAGCTGAGACATTGTTTATTTAAGCAAATATTGCTCAACAGCATTTCATGTATATAATAAAAAAAATTCAGACGACTTACAAAAATAGGTTACAAATTAAAATAATAGTCACATATATTGCCTCATTAACGTTGGTGCGATGCTTTTCTTTACGAATGCAGCAAACTCCCAAGGGAATTGGTAGGACTGATGATGAACACAAATATTATCAAATGCCGATAAACACAACATTGTGGCTTTGTCATCTCTTGACCGGGTGTCCAACTGTCCATCAAAAGGTTGCATCACGAACGAGCAAGTACCTCTCTGCACGTGGCGACAACCCCCCAAGCAACAACACCCAGCGGCGTAGCTGCCCAAGTGTGCAGGCAATGCAACTGCACCGGGCCTTGCGATGAGCCAGAAAGCAGGCCCATGCATCCACCAGGTTACAAAGAGGGGTGAAATTATACAAGGTGTCTCCTTTCCCCCCCCCATCTCATTGCTTGCAGCGGGGCACATGCCAACCGCGCTACGGCACTGAAATCCAAACGGCTCAGAGTCGTAACCAGCACTATCGCTGTCAACGCGGCCTGACTCCACCGTGGGCTGTGAGCCCTGTTCACAGTCGACAACGGTGCCGACAGCGAAACGTCATACTCACATTGTAAATGCTGTGGGTTTACTCTCCAACACACCGGTGCGCTGAAGTAGTAACTAATTGGTACGTTTTGTTCACGTGACAAACCGTACTAATTGTCCGTGTAGGGTGGTGGTTGCTTAACGGCACATTTATATTTACGTGATCTAACCCAAACACCTTGATCATGAATACAATGCAACATCCACAAAACCGAAATATTCCTTAAAACTAAGGTAAATTCCCAAGGTGGCATTCATTGCCCATGTTTTGCAGTCATGTTAAGAGCCCTATTTTCATGCACATGAAATGACGTGGCTTCATAATGAGTGTTTATGGGTTCACGCTGGTGCAGCATTAAAATGAACACTGTGCTTTCTGAGCATCCACAGGCCAGAAACACATCCATACAGCTGTGGAGTAGGAGTTGGAATCACTCTCTAACCTGTTTGGGTGGGATTCGTAGAGTGCCAACTGAAAACTGAAAAGTGGCACATTCGAACAAATAAATACGACTTTGGTAGAATACACACATGGATAATTGAATTCAAACTCCAATGACGGAATAAACGAGTCTTGTATCACGTGCACTTTCTAAACAGTTAAAATTGGTCCAAGGATAAATGATGTAAAAATGGGTAAGATTATTATTGTTGTTTCACAAAAATGGGCGATGATCAATCGCAGATACCTTGTACACTCTGCTATCCTGCTCTTTGTAAAACTCCTCGGCCTGTCGCAAAACTGACTCTAGCTCAGCCTGGTTTCTCAGAAGCTTGTTGTGCAGCTCCTTCTGCGACACACGGGGAGGACAACAAAGACGAGGCACCGTCCTCACACGTCACCTTCACGGACCACAGATGAGCCCCACCAAGTCACCCTGAACGTGCCCTGGATGGGTTCACACCTGTCCCGCTATTCGCCCAGGTTTTGCCCTCATCTTCAGTTAGCCGCTGTCCTTGGGAAATCTGGAAGTCTTCCCCCAGGATATTAGCAAAGGTTAGTCAAGGACAGCGTTGTGTTTAATATGTAGTTCTCCCCCCCTCTTATGGTACTGTGTGATGTTCTCGTTCTTCTCATGATATGTCCCATTATTTGCACTTCAGGAGTGGCATTTGAAGCACCGGATCTCATCAGATCTCAGAATATAAGCGGGGTGCACTTCGTAGCATTGCATTCATCAAGTAATAAACAGCAAAACAAAGAAAACACACCCACACGTAAACACGATAAAGCAGGCAGGAAAAAAACAGCAAATCGAGAAAAGTAGCAAACGAAGAAGGTGGACAGAAAATGTTTTACCTTTCTATCCTCCACAGAAAGGGTGAGAGTGTCTCCCGATCCAAAGTCCCAAGTCTTTTTAGGAGGCTGATGGAAGATGTGCGCACATTTTTTTTTTTTACAGAGACACGACGGGAGGCAAGTCCAAGGATAAAAGCACAGCGATGATGTGGAAGAGTGAAGCAAAAGATAAAGATTTTTTTGTTGCAGAAATTGAAAGCCAGCACACACGCACACACACTGCAACGGTGTTTTATTCAAACTATTGTCGACAAGCCATGAGGTATTTGACAAAGTAACTTTAAAAGGGAGGTCTGGACCGCCCTACTCAACACGCTGCCGCACCGCGACCCTCATCAGGACAAGCGGATTGAGAAACGAACGAACGAGAAACGAACTTAAAAAAAAGAATCGCTGAGGAGATGGAGTAATGAGACTTGTGGAGAAAATTGTTGAACCGATGCCTCTTTTGCCATTGTGTTTGACCGATTCGACTCGGTGTTCAATTCAATGCAATAATCATGCTCGCCGCCCGCCATATTACGTCCAGCTGATGTATAGCGAAACTTTAAATATGAATGATGGTATACATATTCATTATTATATAATTAATATATCTCTGTGATATCATAGGTATCACAACCCCATGACCTCAAGGCATTATCAATCCAGCAGCAGATTGACAAAGGGCTCTAAATTATAAATATTATTAACATCTAAAACTATAACAACCCTTTTAATTGGGAGTATTTATTGAATTATATTAAGCTCTTTATTTATAATGAAAGGTAATTCCAATTTGGTCAAAATATTTTAATGATATGCGGTAATGAGTAGGCAAATAACAATTTATCTTGCCCAGTGATACAATAAGTCGTAATGATTACGAGTCGTGAATTTATTCACGAATTATAATTTTTTTTGCGCAATTTAAAAAGTGACTATTTGTTCCTTATTTTTCTGATTCGTCCAGTCTCATCGTTTGCATTATCCCAAAGGTAACATTTACACATGATTTACATTAATAAACAAATCATTAATACTTATATATACATGTAAATAAGTAGCTTGAGAGTAGAAGAACACATTTTAATCTACGAATTACTAAATGCCTAAAAGTGCGAGCAGGGTAATGAAGTTGCAAAAATAATCTATTTTCTTAACAGCACCAAACAACACGACAAAAATGCATTCCAAACACACTCATAAGTTGGGCTCTGCAATATTTTGCAAATAGACAATTTTCAGCAAATGTTCGGTTAAATTTGCACCGGTTGTGAAAAATATATTGCTGAATTGTGACGCACAAAGGGTTAACAGAAACGTATGAAACAAAGTAAAAGCAAAGCAAACAAAAGTATAAAATAACACAAAGTGGAACCCATGAAATATCATTTCAGTTATCACTCAAATTTGTTCAGTTGCAGTTACTCACTTTGGAAAAATAAAGCTACGCATATGTTAACTCAAAATAATCGTGAGTGTAATTGTGGAGAATATAAATAACAGTGAATAAGCAGACAATGTCTCCTACACATATCCATGTCCACATAAAAGTACTAATATCTTTTTTACACATCCCATCAGGCAAAAGGATAGGGTCCTTGCCTGCTCAATCAGCAGTTCATCAGCATTGTTTCAAGTAAGCCTGACTGCTGATGATAAACCGTATTTCAAAACTGATCCAGAGTTTGCTTGTCTTGAAACAATGCCGCTGAAATTATGCACTCCCAGAAGGCCGTGTGGCTGATGGGTTGAGCAATGAATGTTTTCTTTTGTATCTGGAGATAGATATCTACGAAAGATACATATTGTCTACGAATATTTGAAATGTTAATGGAAGACATCTCCAGCTGGCTGAGTGTGTTTATACGATCCAACGTGGCCCTGAATTCCCATCAATGAATGTGCTGTTGTTTAACTCGCAGTTGAGGTAGTTTATAGCGACTGTGGGTTTACAGTCACTAGTATACCAATATACCACAATAGAACATTTTAGATATCATTTCAATTGCTATGACAACATATTGAAAAGTATAATTCTTAATTGGTCAAATCATTATGTGGCCAAACCAAAAAATCTGTTAACCATATTTAAAAGACATGTTGTATAACCTTGCTAAATGTGACATGTGCATGTGAAATAAACATAAAAAAAGAATGTAAAGGGCTTATGTGCTTCATTAAAGACATATGTATGTCTGCTTTAAATGTGTAATGTCTTAGGCCACCTTCCTAATTATATGCATTGTTATTGAAAATGTATTTTATAGACATGATATTTCAGGGTTCTGTATATATATCAAACAAAACAAAGCACAATGGTTCTCAGTACATAACGACCCCCTTCAAAATGAACACAAGGGCTTGAAACCACTTTCCCTTTGTAATGGAGAGAGGCAGAAGTAAAAGAGCTCTCAAATTTTGCTCAAGAGCAAGCAGTTGTCACAATGAGAGAGGCAGATCCGATTTGGCTCCCTTTGCATCCGGAACTCAAATCTGACCAACTCACACACACGCACACACACACGTGTGTGTGTGTCGCACACACACACGTGTGTGTGTGCGACACACAGCTTGCACACATGCTTTGGCTCTGTCAATTTAACATTTGTTCAGAATATTATTATTATTATATTCACAAACAGCCAAATGTACTGAGAGCCGGGGTGAGTGGGCATGCGTGGCACCGTAAGCGACTTACCGGACGACCAAACTCCAGTTCGGAGAAGAACTTATACCACGGTTCATTCTCTAGGTCTATCTCTTCGGGACTAATTCGCCTTATCTGAGGTGGACAGGGAGGAGAGAGTGATTGGGGAAGGAGAAGCCAGGAAAAGAGGGGAGCCTTGCTGCTGTGGTGCCGTGCATTGAACGGTTCACGTTTCTCTGTTTATCACAATTGGCGAATATTCTAATATCCGCACGTGAATTTTAAACAACATATTATCCACTGGATTTCGGTTTCTTACCGCCCCCCCCCAAGTTATGCTAACAGCGATTATGTTATGAACACGTCCTCTGAGCGAGTCAAATGTCACCGCCAAATTTTTGCCGCACCTACAACTGGGCGTGACGTTCGAATGGTCCGTCCTGGCCGTGTGACCCGAGTTGACCGTGTGACCATGAAACTAGGCTGAGGCACGGTCGTGGCACGGTTGGGAGCGGTGTATTGCCGTTATCACAGCAAGTGAGTTGTAACAAAAAAACCCCACACAATTGTTTACCTGCTGAACAACTACTGATTGCTGTAAAGACAAGACTACCTCGATGGGTTATTAGGTCATTGTCCCAATTTAAGAGATAACATAAAAACATAAAGTTGCCAACGGCGCTGCAGCAGATCAAAGTGTCATTTGGCAGTGACGTACACGTTAACAAGACACTAGGCGGCTCTGGCTGCCTAGCAAATAAATCGGGAGTGAAAAAATTCGATGCTCAGTGTCACAGCAGCGCGGCGGATATAGGAATGGGAGCATTTCAAGAAGCAAAACACAAGCGACACGACAACAACAATAGAGACACGTGTAATGATAAAATGAGCGGAGATGAAGAGAGTGACGTGAGCGGGAAACTAAAGGATGCGTGAGTCAAATTAATATTTCTCCTTCTGTACGATAGCACACGGCGAGGAACTGCGGTGTGATCGCGGTGACCTCAGTGACCTCAGTGACCTCAGTTCGATTCCCCATCGTGGCGAACATCAGTTTGGCGAGTGATCGGTGAACCAGTGCTCGACCCTTGCTTCATCGACACACACAGACCAGCGAGGTGAAGTAGGAATCAAACAATTCCCCAGTGAGAGGCCACCATTCAAACAGAGGCTCGACAAAGGGCTGCAAGTGACTATATTGATTAAAATAGTAGTATGTTAACATGATGTGAATGTGTACGAACAGTCTTAGCTGCTTGTACAGCGTCTAAGGAGTACACGTGCTCAAGCGTCATGATGTATACTGCCCCGAACTTGCTGTGATCAACCATCCAATGCCTGATTGCTTACTTTTCACGCCGCACATTTTTCTTTAAGTTGTTTTTCTTGGGCTACATTTCACTGCGTCAGCGTCATGCTTAAGTCTCACTGACCAGTTAAAAAAGCCAAAATAGGCAAATACAATTGCAATAAATACACAAACTGAATATACAACTGATATTAAGCGATCACTGCGGAGGAATTATCCAAACATCCAAATGCACGAACCTCCCGCATTTGTCTTGGGCTATGGTCATGAATGGCAGTATAATAATAACTATAAAGAATAATCTATGCCTTGAGTATCCTGGCTGGCTGCTGGCTGAGCTCAGTGTTTCCCTCTAACTACACCCTGTACAGGTGAGAGTCTGAACAGGTGAGAGTCTGAACGGGTGATAGACTGAACGGGTGACAGCATGAACAGTGAAAGTCTGAACCAGTGAGGGCCTGAAACAGGTGAGCCTTGAGCTACTGCCTTAGCTAAACAGGACCCAATTAAACACACATTTCCGGGCGCGCGTTCGGTAAAACTTTTATGAAGCTGTTACGTTTTAAGGGCAACTTTACTTCAGGGCACATTGCAAGTGACGTTTACAGGCAACCGCTGTCCCTGTAGTCACTATGAATAGTTCACGTGAGTGGCAGGTTCACCAGTCGGACCTTGGAAGCAGTTGGTTCGTTGCAAAGTAGGCAAATTACACACTCTAAAAACATTACACACTATTCTAGATTTCGACCCCCCCCCACCCTTTCTCATTATTTGGATGATGTTGTTTGCCACTCTCCTCTGACCCACGCCTCGCCCCCACACTCCCCTTGGCTCCTCCCCTCCCCCTAATCTATATAACCCCTTGTTACAATCAGCTCTTTTGCCCACTTCAGCAATTCTTTCTTGCTGTAGTTGTCCCCACCTGATGACGGACGCTTGTGTTGCGCCCGAAACGTCGTGACGTTATTTATCGGTTATTTTTAGGTTTATCGATTTATTATTATTTTTCACCTACGTGACTTTACCGAAAGAAACCAAAGAGTATTGCACGCTCTATCGCGGTCATATTTGGGATTCTGTGGTGGTGTAATGGTCAGCACAATGCACTCGCAATCCAGAGGAGGGTGTATCGATGAATACAGTGGCGCAAGTTTCTTAGATACTCACGGACACACCACGGTCAGTCGCATCGCGCTTGGTGGAGTAAAGTGTGGGTAATCCCACCCCAGCCAAAGTGGTCTGGTCAGCGTGCCAGAGTAACTCAAAAATATCCACTCAAGAGGGGATCTCTAGGGCGTGAGCAAGCAGTCGCAGGGATGCACCTTCGCCGTTTAAAATGTTTATGTCTGTCGTGCAGCGCGTATAACTCACTGCGATCGAAGAGGATGAGTTCCAATCGAATACGATTGGAACTTTAACCAGGCTTCGACTATCACACGAGGCGTACGTGACTTGGAGATTGATGAACGAACGTGCATGCGACAACGCCTCTATTTTTTAACAGATAATACAAGTGGCCGGTCCAGAGCGTTGCGTTCAGTAAAACGTGAATGTTTGACGACGTCGCTCAATCATCTCCCTGAACGGACGGTGAGATACAGCCAACGGCAACAAGGATGATGATGCATTGAACGCATCAGCAATTACTCAGGGCTTTTTCACTCGGTTCAATGGGACCACTCCAGCAGCTGTTAACCCCCAAGCTTAAGCCTTTGAGGTCTGGGTGTGGATAACATCTTACAGGGAGTGTGGGGAATAATAACAATAATAAAAAAAATTATAATAATAGGGTTTTTCCCCTTTTTTCTGGCAACAAAACTGAAACCTTTTTACAAGGATTCATGTCTGCATTAACCACAATACCTGCAGTCAAAATGCAAACAAAAAACCTACTATGATAATATATGCATTGTCCTTGAAACTGATTGGTCCACACCAAGGGACGGCTTTCTTTTGAGCCTCGACCCAATTGGTGCTCGACCAGATGACGCCAAAAGGTTTCAGTTTTGTTGCCAGAAAAAAGGGGAGAAACCCTATTATTACATTTTGGTACTGGCAAAGGAGGTCTAATGATGATTTTTTTTTTATAATTTTAACTTACAACAACAAGCTGCACGATATTGACTCGCTCGCGGCGAGGGAGAAGAACTCAGAGGCGCGGGGAGGAACGACAGACGAGCGGGAAGGCGGCAGCCACGCGGTGAGCCGGCGCTACCAACAATTGCCCCAAGCTCTGCAGTCCTCTATACGTTCGGGTGTTGTCGGCCAATTAATGGAGTGTTTACACGCGCGAGAGGAAACCAGAGCACCCTGAGAAAAAACCCACGCACGAACCTGCAGCCTGTGACTTCACTTCACACGCTGCGTAGGTTTTTACGGTTGCGCTGTATAGAAACTTAACTATTTTTTTTTATTTTACCAGGTGCAAGGCTCTGCTGCACTACATCGATCTTTTTTTCACAAGCGACCTGGCCACAAACAATAGCTCAACGAAGTGGCTTATCGCGTGGAAATGTATCGCAGCCAAACACTCTAAATGGCATTGTATAGCTCCACAACGCTGTTCTGGTATTTTCGGCTTACGCCCGTGTTTCGTTCGGTATGATGTGCAAACACTTCGCTCCACATTCTGGGAGTCTCATCGGCAACTGAATTCCGTTTCATGAAGAAGAAGATGAAGAAGAAGGAGAAACTCCCAGCACATGGGAGTGAAACGGTAAAACCCCAAAACACGATTTGAGAGCTATACATCTCATGCGGCCTGCAGCCACGTGGAGACCTGCAACTTCGAAACGGCCCACAAATCATTCTTATCCATCTCTGCGAGTATCTTCGCTGCACTTATCAGGCACTAGAGAGAGGGAACTCTTTCGACCTGCCGTGTTTCTAATTTCCAGTGCGTTCGGTCACACCTTGTCTTACAAGCGCCGCATTCTCCAGATCATTAGACTCACTCCCCCCCCCCCCCCCACCTCCGTATTCTAAAGCAAGAATTGTGATGCGACATAATCCTGTAAGGTTTGTGTGCATTTTGCAGCACTATATTGGCACGGGGGGCACGATTTCGGTGTGCACGCTAACTCTTCAGAGCGTCTCACTTTTCAGATTGTCTCGTAATCCGGAGATTACGGTGGTTTCTCAGCAGAGAGCCAACGGGTATCGTCCTAGGACGGTCACGATGGGGCGTACTACCACTACGTGACAGCCCGCTGCGTGACTGCGGGGAGCAGGAGGCCGTGGCGCCATATCGTCTCTGGCTGTGAAGTCCATGAGGGCGTGCCGGGGCGGACTGGTTGTTGCCCTGCGCGTGCTGGAGGAGGATGCCGTCAAATGGCTCTGTGCCTACGTGGGCTGACGTCCACTCACAATAACGTTGACAAACATACGCATCTATTTTTTTGCGTATCTGGCGCTCTAACTGTATGACGGTCACGTGTGAAAGCATCCGCTGAAAATATAAACGATCACGATTTATCGCGTCGCACACCGTGTGGGCCCAACACAGGCTTCTCACGATTGTTTTGCGCCCTCCGAGCCAGGGGAACGACGCGCCGCAACTCCCGCCGTGTACGGGCGAAAAACTCCGCAAAAAACTCCCAAACCCAGCCCGGCGTCGTTGGGACCCACCTCTCCGGCGTCGTCGGCACCGTGAGGCTCCCGCCCTCGGTCGCGCACGGACGAGATGCGCTCCCTCGGCTCGGGTGGCACGGGGTACGGCATCGGATCGAACGCCTTCAGCAGAGTCTGTGGTGGCGGTGGAGCAAAACGGGGAGGGGAGGAGGGGGGGGGGGAGTGTGAGAGCCCCCCTTTGTTTGCTCGTTTCGTGGACAAAGTCACCCTAGAAACTTGGCCAACATTTTTCTTAGCTCTTTCGGTAAAGTCACGTTGAAAGGAAACAATAAAATAATTAAATATATATAAAACAATAAAAATTCTCACGACGTTTCGACCATAACACAAACGGTCGTCATCAGGTGTGTCGGACACACCTGATGACGACCGTTTGTGTGTCGGACACACCTGATGACGACCGTTTGTGTTATGGTCGAAACGTCGTGAGAATTTTTATTGTTATATATATTTTATTATTTTATTGTTTCCCTTCAACGTGACTTTACCGAAAGAGCTAAGAATATGAATTACTGCAGTCACGAAAGCTTTAAATCAAAATTTGGCCAACATTGTCGGGTCTCAGAGGCTGCGTGCGGCGGCTGAGCCTGGTTTTACTTGGGTGGAAGGTTTGTTTGAGGATACCAGATGTTTGATACGAACTGTTAAGGGTTGGTGAAGTATGCTCAAATAGCGGTGAGGCCATCGTGCGGTGGATTGGCTAAATGGGCTGCGGATGTACCGGGTATTGTAGGCTTGGGTTGTGAAGTGGCCGGACGATGGCAGTATAGTAAATGATTCTTCAGACTATGAGTGATATCGCTTCATATGAGTGGGTTTTCTCCAAGTGCTCACTTAAGCACCTCTAAGGATTTGAAATCGCATACTTCCAATTGCGTGTCACGTGATCTAAATAGAGAATCACCAGGCTGTGATACATTGATTGAATAAGTTTCTTATGCTGATGATACCTTCATCAAATGGTGTTATTTTTTCACTATATATGTAAAGTGCAGACTAATGCTGCATTCAGGCTCATGCAGCAAACAAAACTACAAACTAAAGAAAACTATTAAACAATTTTTGTTTTACCAGTTCAGGTCCACTGAGCTATGTAGCTCTTTTTCAGAGGCGACTACACATAACAGCTCAACGAAGTGGCCTCGCATGTGGAAATTTATAGCAGCCAAATACTCTAATTGCATGTTTTCTAAATGTGCAGGGAAAAACCGGAGGGCCCAGCAAAAAAAATCCACGCAACCACGGTGAGAACATGCAAAGTCAAAATGTACAGTGAGGGAAATAAGTATTTGATCCCCTGCTGATTTTTGTACGTTTGCCCACTGACAAAGAAATGATCAGTCTATAATTTTAATGGTAGGTTTATTTGAACAGTGAGAGACAGAATAACAACAACAAAATCCAGAAAAACGCATGTCAAAAATGTTATAAATTGATTTGCATGTTAATGAGGGAAATAAGTATTTGACCTCTTCTCAATCAGAAAGATTTCTGGCTCCCAGGTGTCTTTTATACAGGTAACGAGCTGAGATTAGGAGCACACTCTTAAAGGGAGTGCTCCTAATCTCAGCTTGTTACCTGTATAAAAGACACCTGTCCACAGAAGCAAGCAATCAATCAATCAGATTCCAAACTCTCCACCATGGCCAAGACCAAAGAGCTCTCCAAGGATGTCAGGGACAAGATTGTAGACCTACACAAGGCTGGAATGGGCTACAAGACCAATGCCAAGCAGCTTGGTGAGAAGGTGACAACAGTTGGTGCGATTATTCGCAAATGGAAGAAACACAAAAGAACTGTCAATCTCCCTCGTCCTGGGGCTCCATGCAAGATCTCACCTCGTGGATTTTCAATGATCATGAGAACGGTGAGGAATCAGCCCAGAACTACACGGGAGGATCTTGTCAATGATCTCAAGGCAGCTGGGACCATAGTCACCAAAAAAACAATTGGTAACACACTACGCCGTGAAGGACTGAAATCCTGCAGCACCCGCAAGGTCCCCCTGCTCAAGAAAGCACATATACATGCCCGTCTGAAGTTTGCCAATGAACATCTGAATGATTCAGAGGACAACTGGGTGAAAGTGTTGTGGTGAGATGAGACCAAAATGGAGCTCTTTGGCATCAACTCAACTCGCCGTGTTTGGAGGAGGAGGAATGCTGCCTATGACCCCAAGAACACCATCCCCACCGTCAAACATGGAGGTGGAAACATTATGCTTTGGGGGTGTTTTTCTGCTTAGGGGACAGGACAACTTCACCGCATCAAAGGGACAATGGACGGGGCCATGTACCGTCAGATCTTGGGTGAGAACCTCCTTCCCTCAGCCAGGGCATTGAAAATGGGTCGTGGATGGGTATTCCAGCATGACAATGACCCAAAAACATACGGCCAAGGCAACAAAGGAGTGGCTAAAGAATAAGCACATGAAGATCCTGGAGTGGCCTAGCCAGTCTCCAGACCTTAATCACATAGAAAATCTGTGGAGGTTGCTGAAGGTTCGAGTTGCCAAACGTCAACCTCGAAACCTTAATGACTTGGAGAAGATCTGCAAAGAGGAGTGGGACAAAATCCCTCCTGAGATGTGTGCAAACCTGGTGGCCAACTACAAGAAACGCCTGACCTCTGTGATTGCCAACAAGGGTTTTGCCACCAAGTACTAAGTCATGTTTTGCAGAGGGGTAAAATACTTATTTCCCTCATTAAAATGCAAATCAATTCATAATATTTTTGACATGCGTTTTTCTGGATTTTGTTGTTGTTATTCTATCTCTCACTGTTCAAATAAACCTACCATTAAAATTATAGACTGATCATTTCTTTGTCAGTGGGCAAACGTACAAAATGAGCAGGGGATCAAATACTTTTTTCCCACACTGTATAGGCGTCAGGGTTAGGATCAAACTCATGACCTCTTGCATAGTTAACATCACATGATTATCGTATACAGAAGGTTTGTTGAACTTCTTTTGCACCGTACACAGCCAACTCTGCTAATCGTTGGTGTGGACTAATCGGGGGTATACCTGGTATACATCCACGTAAACCAGGTGAGGCAGTTAAAATCACGCGATTGTTGGTGCCCGTCAATCGAGCGAAGCAAGCGAGCGAAGCAAGCGGTTACCTGCTTCTGCTGCTGCAGGACGGAGGATTTCCCCGGTTCGTACTCGAAGATGCTGCGCGGCTCGGCGCGGTATCGCCGCGTGTCCACCTTGGTGTCGGGCGGTGCCCACGCGTTCTTGGTGGGCGACGGCAGCGTGCGTCCGAACCGCGTCTCGTCGGCCGCCGCCTCCCTGCCCGCGTCTTTATTGGCGTCGCCGCTGCGCCAGCTGCCGGGCGGAGGGAACATTGCAAGGTGACATCGGCGCACGCGCAAAAAAAAAAGGTTAATTTTTTTTTAAATAAACGGCACGCGCCATTCGCAGCCACAGGAGGGGGTACGCGTGGGTGTGTGCCCGACGCGCTTTGTACCTGACCGATACATCGTTCCCCTAGCTGCACCCCTTTTTGAAAATGGTAGAGTCCAATTGGTTCGTGTTAACCGAGTCCGCTTATGAGTGTAAAGTCAGCAATTCTTCAAGTGTCGCGCTTGGCTTCCCTAAGGGTTGTTGAAGGGTTTGGTGAGAAAAAAAATCGACGTGCACGCGCGTGCCAAAAACAAAGATGATGATCCACCGCGTAGCCTTAACAGACGGTTGGGTCAAGTGCTGTTAGCGAGCACCTATGAAGGACGACACGGCACACAAATGGGGTCAGTGGCCAGCACCACGCCCCGCCGCCTTTGTCTCCATGGTGGTGGTGATGTTTAGACATCTCACCAGGTACTCACTTGAGCTTGAGAAAGGTGAACACATTATTTGTCTCTAAATTACTGCCCTAAATGATTGACATGCTCTGTCCATTTGAAAAGCCACTTGCACATCTTATTGCAAGGCAAAACTCCACCGTTATAGTCAAATAGTTTTTAATAAGCCACTGGGGCCTGTTGTATAAATATAGTAGAACCCCTCTTAACGGCAGTGATTGGTTCCACGAAACCGGTCGTTAAGAGATTTTAGGAAATATACGTTAAAGGCTTAATCCGTTCGATATAAAAAAACGTACTTTATAATATTTAAACAATGGATATGAATGCATAAAGATACTCACATTATAAAAACATAATATGAAAAGAAACACGGTTAATCAATGCATTAATTCATATTTACTCTACCTACAAAAGCCCGTCGTCAACAGGGGAATGGTCGGTAAGCGAACACATTGGGCTCTATGGAGGCACTACACTTTACACTACTATACACTACACTATACACTACTATACACTACACTACTATACACTGCACAATACACTACACTACTATACTATACACTACACATTGGGCTCTATGGAGGCACTACACTACTATACACTACACTATACACTACACTACTATACACTACACAACTATACACTACACTATACACTACACTACTACACACTACACTATACACTGGGCTCTATGGAGGCCCGTCGTTAAGTGATTAGTCGTTAACAGGGGTGGTCGTTAAGAGGGATTCTACTGTAATGCAGTCAGTGCAGTATATTACATAATTGTAGCACCGCATCAATAACGCTGCCACAATATGAATATATACATCGCAAGAAACACTTTGGGACAATGTCCCCTTCTTCATAGCAGAGAGGGGCCATTACCTGAAACGTCGACTATTACAATGTTTTAATCCTGTCAGAGCAGTGTCATAGACGAACGTGTCCAGTGTCCGTTACTTGTGTTTGTGCACTGCTGCCAATGCCTTATAAGATTGTTGTTGTTTTTGTTGATCTTATGGTATGGTAGTGCCAATAGCAGCGTACCTGGGGTTTACATTTATAGGCCTCCAGGTGAAGCTCTCAAAGTAAATAAAAATCTGGCACAAATCGACAAAGGGCAAGTGCGCTTACAGCTCTGACCGTTGCGTTTATGACATTCCACCTGCCTGATAAACGTATCTGGCACACCACACCACACGCCCGTCTTGTTGTTGGCAACTCCCAAGCGTGACGATGTCGTAAAAAAAGCTGAGATTTACGGTCTGAGACAAGGCTCTCCTGGCCGTGCAGGGGGGCTAACATCGTAAATCCGGCTCTGTTTAAGAGACTCCCCTCAAAGCATTTAGTCGCATTACGAAGTTCGTGAGCGAATGAGAGAAAATGCTGTGGTCTTATTTTTGTCTTTTTTTTGTTGTTGTTGAGACAGCTAAAGCATGGAAGTCAAAAGCCCAGTGCGAATGTTCCTCAGCGATGAGTGACATTCGCAAATTGAAAATAATCGCTCGGGGGGGTTCAGAGTTCATAACCACTCAGAGGATGCTGGATATGCGTGGAATGAAGTGGGAGGTCACTGAGGGTCGGCGAAACTATTTAATAAAAACGGCATCTCAGTAAAAAAAAATGTTCACGTGACAGCGGCATTGCTGAATCTGCAACGAGGTGCTCGTGGTTACGACATAATCGTCAACATGATTATTATTATCAAGTTGTGTTTACATATTAGCATAAGGTCTGGAGGTGAATGCATAATCATCGCCATCATCACCATCGTCACAAAGTTGTGTTGGCAAATCTGCATTGGATGTTGAGGTCGCCACATCATCAACATGATCATTGTCATCGTGATCATGACGATCATTATAATCACCATCATCATCATCAGTCTCCATGTTCAGGCACCACGTGGGTTGGTTGAGAGAAAACATTCCCCCCCCATGCTGTCCTATCTTCCTTTGTATCCCCATCTGTAAACTGGAAGACATCAGCTTTCCACAAGCCCCCTTCTTTTTATACTGTAGTTGTAAAATGTTTTCAACCGGTGCACACTGCCCGCTACGACATGCGGATTGGCATCATGGACGTTTACAAACAACAACGAAAATTGAACAGAAGCTAGAAAGTGTGTGAAGAATAATGAGGTGGTGCTTGCTAGGAATTGTTAAGGCAGACAGAGAAACATTTGGATCAGGGAACAAACACAGGCTAGAGAGATTGTATCAACTGTCAAGAGAAGCCCCCCCCCCGCCCTGAGATCATGTGGAGGCCTTCATCCAGCAGTGAATAGAGCATGGCTGCTGCGTGGAGATTAAAGATGTGGTCGAGCGTCGTACTGTCACTATCTTTGCTTGAACGTTGCAGAACGAGACTTGCTCAGCGCTCTGAAATAAAACCACGCTTAGGCACGGTGGTAATTAGAGAGGAATGATATCGCATTACTTTTGAGGCACATTAATAATTGTTGAGCGGCACTTTAAGTGCTCTGGACATGCTGACATGATGTTTACCGAATTAGGGGGTAGTAACAGCCAGCTTATGACTCTTAAGACTCTCCGTATTTGTATGATCCCAGCCCTAGCCCCAGGTCATTCCATTGTGAAGCTTGACAGCACAAAGAGAGGTCTTAATTTTGTGGGAGGCTGACCCAACACCTGGGGGCTTCAGGCAGTGTTCCAGTACTCACTTAGCAGGGCACTTAAATTGTTCTCTCCACTAATACCGCATGTTTAGTTGGCTTTGAGCTTCAAAACACGGCGATACCATTGTCCTCTCCGCAGCTGAGCCGCCCCGATCATCTCCATTGAGCGTGTTAATAATTCACGAGCAATTTCCAAGATTCACTTTTCCCGGCTTTTTCCAGCTGCCGACACGGTTGACACTCTTCGACACAGCTAATGGGCTCAATGTGAGCACCTTCCATTCGTTCACGAGCCACACAGATTAGTCGCATTAGCAAACTGTTACAACGTGTCCTCGAATCCCTGTGCAAAAAAATGCTGGTAAAACTGTATGAGCTTAGAAGGTGAAGTTTAAACGCTTATTTATGTCCATATAAATATCTCTCTTTAATAATAATAATTATAATTTGCAATACTTTGTCCATTCACTGCTCGATGAAGATTGCATCAGGCTTGTCAGCCATGGGGGGTGTTTGACCGGGCGCCCTTTTCGCGAGATGTTAACTACCTCGCCTGGTATATATGAGGTCGTGGGTTTGACCTCGATCCTGATGCCTGTATATTTGGAGTTTGCATGCTCTACCCGTGGATGCGTGGATTTTTTTCCGGGCCCTCCGTTTTTTTCCCTCCACATGTAGAAACTGTTATAAGTTTACACACGATAAGCCACTTAATTTGTGGCCAGGTTCGTTGAGCTGTCATTTGTGGCCAGGTCTTCTTCTGAAAAAAGAGCCATATAGCAGCTCAGTGGGCCTTACCTGGCAAAATAAAAATAGTTTGGTTTTAGCTTATTGATGAAGGTGTTGAGTTTCTGTTATTTGTGCCACGCTGCCAACGCGGCAGTACAAATGCTCGTTTGACCTGCAGTTGCATTCATGACACCGCCGCGCCGTTTCACATCAGTTCATAAAACCTGCCACACGGCGCGCATGGCGAACAGGGCCACAGTATAAACAGCTCGCTCTGCTGGCCCTCTTGGGTCACCCGTGAGCGTGAAGCAAAAAGGTCCCCGGCGTGTTTTGGGGTTGTACCCGCGCGTGGCGCGTGTGGTTTGAAAACCCCTACGCAGCCGAGCTAACAACCCAGATTGTCCCTCAGGAGACCCAAGTCGCCCACGGACCCGACCCGGAAATTGCCCGGTGGTCCGTTACATCGACAATTTAAACGCGTGGGGAGGGGATGCTCAGGAATTCCTTGTGTGGCATCAAAGTGATCCTTCGCGCGCAAGAGCGTTCATCATCGATAGGGTGTGTGAGCTCCAGAGCACTGAGACCACCCAGGCAAACTGGGTAAACCGTAGTGACGGGGTGCCACGATTGTGAAAATAATTTCGTCAAAAACTAATAGTCAGAGAACTATAAGCCCTCAGCTGTAAATAAACAATGAATCGCACGGCGGGGTTTTGCATCGTGGGTGTTTGGATAAAGCCGACACTTTCAGCTCCTCCTCCATTGCCCTTCAACATAAAACTGAGCGAGGATTGTGTGGCAGAGTCTGGCAGAACATGGAAACTATGTGCAGGCCTCCCACTGATACTATAAATAATCACGTACTTCTATGTTAGACACATTCCGATGAGCACGGTTGGCTACGTACGGTGCGAAAGAAGTTCAACATGCATACATACACTCAATGAAGCAAAAGTGCCAACTCAGCTAGCTGGTTGCAAGGCTAAGAATAATATTTACATATTTGCATTATTATTCTGATTTCCCCCATTCCTCTGACTCCTTATGCGTGCAATTGTTGTTGTTGTTGATTGAATATGGCACCAAGAGCCATACATTACACAGCCCTTTCTCAATCCACTGCTGTGGCAGTTTTGGGGGCCATTTAGCCCACACCAATGGCCAGTGCAGGTTTGGTGTTGAGAGGGGCACCCATCGTTGCCAGTTCAGATGTCACTCGACACTCAAATTATCCGTGGCTGGAAATCAAACTCAGCTATTATCTCGTAATTTGATGTTTCTTCTGCTAGGTAGCACGCGGTTGGCTACGTACGGTGCGAAAGAAGTCCGGCATGCGTACATTCGCAGCAAACTTTAAAAACTGAGCAAGAAAAAAAATGCGCAGCGTGTATAAAACACAACGGGACGTCCATTGTTTATGCCATCGTGACCATGAGAAAGAAACTCACTTGATGTTTTTAGACGATAGCTCAAAAAAGTAAACTCTGAGCAGCTGGAGACACAAATGCCAGGCTTAACATAAGAGCACGGAAGGACCTGGAGCCAACAAACGTTTTTGTTTGTTGTTGTTGTGAAAGTAAAATAATTATTTATCATGGTTGTTGCAATTGCCTGGCAGTATGTAGACATGTATTCAAATTTAAATGTGTATTCGCGCTAAGATCGTTTACGTGGTGCTCATAAGCAATGTAATGTGCCAGGAGATGTATTTGGTGAATTGAAATGTGACTTTCATCCCTACCCTAGTGAAGGCTGTTTGGGATGGTCTCCTGAGACTACAACAAAGAAACATTCCTCTAAGTATACCTCGGTCTTCCTTGAATTTTAAACTCCTGGCTCTTACCTGGTTATGAATCATAATTCACTGCTCTATTATTAAATACACTGCTTTATTTCCATATATGTGCTATGATGAAGGGCCATTGCTCTAAATCTCGACAATTATGTCCTCTTTCTTTTAAGGCCACGGTGTTATTGGGGAATGTGTTTAGTTTAGTTTCTGTCTATTTATTTATTATTACAGAGCAGTAGATATGCCTGTTCAATCCCCCCAAACTCCACTTCACTTTATTGCACTAAAAAGAAGACCCAGTACTCTGGGTTATAAGACTCTAGAAAGTAAGACGCACCCAAAATAGTAGGCGGTGTCAATAAAGTTAAACAAATTGGGTCTCATATATACACACACACACACAGATCTACCGGATTATAAGACATACCCCCAACCTTTGCTTTAAAATCCAGGGAAAACATAATCCGGAGAATACGGCAACACTGAATTAATTTATGCTAAACATTAACACGTAATGAAGTTACACTAAGCATTAACACATAAACTTTCCTGGTTTTGGGCCGCACGTTGAGAAATCTTTCCTCCATTAAGCTTTCGCAACGAACACTACTGCTACTACGGGCATCCTCAGGAGCCAAATAACAACAACAACAATAACAACGATTCGGTGCATGGCGAAAGCTCAAGAGAAGAAATGCTCGCCATGCAACCAGGCCCCCGGGGAGGGGGAAAAACAAAAAAAAAAACAGATCCGCTCTTGGATCACGGGAGGGGCGGTCCCCGATCGGCAGATTGTTACGCCCTGAGCGTGGCGCCGCAGGAACGCCGTGGAACGCCGCGGATCGCACCTTTCCGAGTCGGAGTACGAGCGCGACGCGGGAGGCGCGGGCCGTGCGGGCGGCGTTCCGCCGCTCTGCTGGGCCCGCGGGTCCGCGTCGAGGCCGTCGGCCAAGCTGCGCGACCGCGGCATGTACGTCTGCGCCGGCGCCGCCGTGTGCTTCTGAATGGGGCTGCTCGGGCCCCCGTAGGCTGTCGGGAGGGGATGGGAGCGAGAGCCGGTGGGGGATTGAGTTTTGAGGTTTTGAGAGCCAATGCAGTTTGGGTGAGAGTTTCCGCGAGGGAAAGCGTCTCCCCGAACGCGAAAACGAGCATTGCGAAGAGATAACACGTGCTGGTGGTTGTGAGCCGGCGGTGGAGATTGCGCATTGCCACGGTAGTGACCAGTTTCCCCATAGTACCGTCGGTGAACGGACTGAGACCATCAACTCACTGCATTTTTAAAACCCCGGTTTATTAACAGGTGTCTGCCTGGATTAGAACGCAGGACGTTGGTGATGCAAGCTCAGCGTTCTGACCTCTGAGCCATGTGGCCTTTACCAGATTTCCAACCATTTTTGTTAATATTATTTAAAAATAAACAACTACACCTCTCTGTGTGATCCCAGTCGCCTCTGTGTGATGTGTTCCGTGGGCCCTTTGTAGACCGTTAGCTTAATACTCACAGGTGCTTTCCCAGTCTGCAGAAGTAGGCGTGTAGTGCTCAAAGTCATCATCTGCAATGTAACATAAATGCAAAGTGTCCTGCGATTAATAATATTGACAGGGGTAAATAAATACTGTTGCTAAACAGTATCAATTAAGCAGCCCTTGTTTGACCGTCGAAAAATTTTGCGAGCACATGAAATGTGCCCGATTTGCTTGGATCTCTCAAACTAAGCAGAGTTGAGCCTGGATAGTTCTTGGATGTGTTGTGACCACCGTGTACAGCCGCTTGTTATCGGCTGCACGGCTACGTGGTAGCCACAAGAGAGCAGTGCGGCAAGATAATTTGTTGGACTCTACAACAGACCCTTGCCCATCGCGTTGGCTTTCATTCTTGAAAATAGCCGCTTGGGTTTTGGTTCACGATTCGTGAACGATGCTAACTGCACCCCTAGGGTTTTGGTTCATGGTTCGTGAACCAAACCCTCATGTTCTTCGTTATTTCGGTAAAGTCACGTAGAAGGGAAACAAGAAAATAATAAAAATATAAAGCAATAAAATTATCGCGACGTTTCGACTGCAACACAAGCAATCATCATCAGGTGTGAAAACCACAGCAAGAAAAAATTGAAAAAGTGGCGTTTTTTTCTTAACGTTGACGTTTGAAAAAGTGGCGTTTTTTTCCTAACGTTGACGTTCAGAATAAACCGCCACTTTTTCAAATTTTTCTTGCTGTGGTTTTCACACCTGATGATGATTGCTTGTGTTGCAGTAGAAACGTCGTGAGAACTTTATTGTTTTATATTTTTATTATTTTATTGTTTCCCTTCAACGTGACTTTACCGAAATACCCAAGGATATGAATCCCTGCAGTTACGAAAGCTTTAAATCAAAAATCAAACCCTCATGGTTTAGTTCGCATCACGTTTCGTGAACCAACCCCTAGTGGTGTGGTTAGCATCGCTCCAGGCCACTTCTATCTCCTCCAATGCTGAAGAGAAAATACATCTGCTATGCTGCTTTGAGGTTTACGCTTTTAGGAGACGCTGTCACGGATGGATGCTCTTGCTAAACGACCCATATCGTAGTATTAGCCGGTGAATTCCTTTGAAGGAATCGCTGAACAACATGCCACTTCACCGTCTGTCACCGTGCCTCAAATTCACGTTTGATCAGCACGAAGGGCACCTTTTGTTTTTGCATTAGACGGCATAAAAAAAAAACTTTTAATAAATGCCGTCTTTTGTTTTGCAGAATGGTTTTGCGAAGACTGCGTGACAGGCTCAGCAATTGTGTAGTCAGTAGCTCTACGGGGCTGCCACGTGTCTCATCGGGTTTCTCCAAGATGAATACATATTCTGATCCTCTCCTGGCTAATATTTACCGAGCGACCCCACTCTCCACAAATGAGACATCGCGGGTGACTCTGCGCCTCACTAATTGGCAAGGCAAAGGTATAAGGGGCAGCACCTTCACGTGCGAATCGCCCTGAGATTAATGAACCCCCAAATGTCGACAGACGCGACTGCACGTAAAGAGTGTTCGCGCACGGGCTGAGCAGACCAATACAAATCAATAAATAACTACGACATCGAGTGGATCAAACCACAAATGGATACGATTCTGCAGAGTTGGCGGAAATTAATCCATGTGGTTGCAAACCTGTCCTGGTTTTTGCCTTATTTTTTTCATATAAACTGTCCTGGAAAATCCGCAGCTCTCTTCCCAGAAACAATTAAAAGTTACACATTTTTGTGAGTTGCATAATAATAATAATAAAACGGCACTCGCGACAATGCATTTACATTTCCCCTTTGCTGTTATTTTGAGATCTTGTTCTTCTTCCCACATATCCCAATTCTTTGTACATCAGAGGTGGCCACCCTAGAGTGCCCAGGGACCTCACCTCCAGCTTTGTGCACCGTATGAATCTGCTTGAACATGGTCTTGTACCAGTCCTTGGGCTTGTCCACCGTCTGACACAAACCCGTGGAAAGAAGGGAGGGATGTACAGACAGGCACAGATATTATCATCGTTCAGCGCTGCTATCTACACTCACATGGGTATATTGTCCATGTACAGCGCTTTTGTCAAATCTGCTGCGAGATGGATGTATGTATGTATGTTCAACTTCTTTTGCACCGTACATAGCCAACCCTGCTAATCGGAGGTGCGGGGAAAGACAACAAACTAAGCACAAAAAGCGGTAATTAAGAAATTAGTTTTCAATCTATATTTAAACATGCATAGCTCCAGTGGCTTCCTAAAATCGGCGAGAAGAGCGTTCCAGACGGCTGCTGAAGCGCATCTGATGCAGTGACCGTCTGTATACAATGGCCAGCCAAAAGCCACTGCGAGGACGACCGGAGTTCACGTGATGGTTTCTGCTCCTTGACGAGATCAGCAAGGTACTGTGGTTCATTTGCGGTGAGCGCTTTGTGTGTAACGACGGTCTCTCCACGCTATGCGGGTCTCGTGGGGTTCACTTGACCACACTGCACCATTGCCGGCCAGTGCGGGTCGCTAAGGGTGGTGAGCATTCTCCGATGCGCCATGTGCAATTTTTCAGTTTTAGTCCCATCATTATTGTGCTCACGACCCTGTTTCCGAGGCACATTGGGACGTGGCTTTTAATTACCAAGCTCAAGTTCACAACGACTTGCCAGTCCACCTATTTCACTCATCGTTTAGATTTCGGTTCACCTTCAGTAGCTGTCTTAGGTACACACATGCCGCTGCATTTTAAGTTGTGTCTTTCCTTCAGACATCTCCAAATTTCTTGAGAACTTGTTATACACGACACACATATTTGGTATTCACACCGCTCGTTTGACAAAGGTGGGTGCTGTGTTACACACGGCCTGCAGTAGTTGTACAGTCAGGGGTGATGGTATAATGTGTAATCCCTTGTTGAGTAATGAGCGGCGTCATTTTTCGAAACTATGGACCGTGATGCTGGCAAACACAACGGCCACCGCGGTATTTCACGGCTAACGCACGCCACAGCATTAACCGGGGCGGCCTGCTGGATCTTTCGAACCGCCAACCTCCGGAACAATCGATGGACGCGCTACGGCTGGGCCACGTCACATGCCCGATATATGTACAGTAGAACCCTCTTTAAGACCACCCTTGTGAACGACTGATCGCTTAACGACGGGCCTCCATAGAGTTCAGTGTATAGTGTAGTGTATAGTAGTGTAGTTTATAATATAGTGTATAGTAGTGGAGTGTATAGTAGTGTAGAGTAGAACTCCTCTTAACGACCACCCCTGTTAATGACTAATCACTTAACGACGGGCCTCCATAGAGCCCAATGTGTTCGCTTACCGACCATTCCCCTGTTAACGATGGGCTGTTGTAGGTACGGTAAGAATTAATGAAAGCATTGCTTAACCACGTTTCTTTTAATATTATGTGTTGATAATGTCGTTTGTATCTTTATGTATTAATAACCATTTATTAAATATTTTAAAGCACGTTTTTTTGGGTGAAAAAGGGTAACTCTCGATGACATCAGAACGAATTCAGGCTTTAACGTGTATTTCCTATACTCGCTTAACGACCAAATCAGCTAACGACCCGTTGCGTGGAACCAACTACCGTCGTTAGGAGGAGGGTCTCACTGTGAGTGTGCACGCAAGGGAAAAAGAAGCACAAGCGTAAGCATACGGTACGGACGGCGATGGGGACGCCGGTCTCGTCCACAGGCCCGATGCCGGGGTAGTGTGGAGCCTTGAGCACCGTCACCTTCTTCTCCTCGCTGGACGTGCCGGCGGCTGGGTAGAACGTGTCGGTGTGCACGGTGCCGCCCTCGAACGTCTTCGTCTGGTACACGGCGCCTGCCGGCAGCTTCTCCGTGGGCGTGTACATCACCCGGTCTGATGGGCGGCCTGCGCACGCGGTCATCGTGGCGCGGAGTCATCGCAGAGGAGCGACCGCACGCGGTCTAAAACTACGAAACTGATATTTATATATATATTTTTTAATTTTAACCAGGTAAGGCCCACTCAGCTATATAGCTCTTTTTTTCAGAAGAAGACCTGGCCACGAATGACAGCTCAACGAAGCAGCTTATCGCGTGAAAATTTACAGCAGTCAAATACCCCTAAACGCACGTTGATTCTAAATGTGGAGGGAAAAACCGGGGGACCTGGAGAAAAATCCATGCGACCACGGGGAGAACACGCAGACTCCAAATATACAGCAGGCGTAAGGCTCGGGGATCGACCTCACGACCTCCTGCATACCAGGCGTGGTAGTTAATATCTCGCCACCGTGGCGCCCTGTCACCATGCACAGTCACCATGCAAAGTCATCACGCAAAGCGATTGCGCGGAGCCATCACGCGGAGCCATCGTATGAAATCATCGCGTGGGGTCATCACACGGGGTCATCACACGGGGCCATTAAACGGGGCCGTGACACGGAGCCATTGCGTGCAGTCGCCACGCAGAGGTCACCGCGCAGTCACAGCACGCAGCCATCGCGCGGAGTCATCGCGCGGAGACATCACGCGGAGTCATCAATCACACGGGGTCATCGCACAGAGCCGTCATACGGGGCCATCTCACGGGGCCATCGCACGCAGCCACCACGCAGTCACAGTGTGCAGCCATCGCGCGGAGGCATCGCACAGTCATCTGCGCGCTGGGTTTTATTTCGAGTCCTAGACTTAATTTAAAACTTAAATGATCATCATCACCACCACCACCGCCACCGGTGTAGGATGGCTGATGAAGTCAACAAAGCTGTTTGATGACAATGATGATTAAGAACGTAATGAGGAATTAATTTGTTTATTGAAAGCGATTATTACGCAAACAAAAATCTTGTCCATTATTTGGAATTCACATGCAAACTGTCGATGAATGTAGTGCTAAGCTTCATGGAGCGAATGAGACACAAAATAGAAACGAGACAGAACAAACAAAACTACGAAGAGAGACCTTACTACGCACAGAAAATAGCACGCACAAGACAGATCGGTATAGTCGGTACAAATCAGGTAGCGTGTAATGGGCATTTCTTAATATTATTGAATGAAACTGTGATTCCGAATAGTAATAATTAATTTAATCTTGGGGAGGGGGGTGAACTTTTACATGCTTAGCAATAACAATGATAACGGTGCCATTGATGACGGTGATGATGGCGATCGGGATGACGAGTGAATTTTTACGAAGTGATTTTTTTTTATGGAAGGTGATGCCGATGGCGACGATGCTGCAATGATACTAAAGTGGGATCGGGGTAGCGATCTCTCTCACCTTGTGTGTTCTGCGGCTGTGACGAGGTGGTGCTGAATGAAGAGCTCTGGTAACTCGTGTACTTGTGCGTTGGTGAAAAGTTACTTTTCAAGGCACCGTCGGAATACTCCTGCCCGTCGTTTTGCTGTAAAAATGAACAAAGCAGGCGCAACAGTGAACGATGGCTCAGTGGAGTGCCCAGGAATGTCTCTCGGTGGCTGATATATCTGAGGTGACATATTTATATCCGTGTTCATTGTGAAGGGCAGTTCCTAAATTTGACAAAAAAAAAACGTTCATGTCTACAGGGACAGGCAGAGCTCTTTTTAATACAACCACGGCTAGACAAGAGCCTCCCCAAACCATTCGGGTTTTGGGGGCTTAATTGACCACACGCTGGTCAGTTTGGGTTGGCGAAGTCGGGAAGCATAGATATGGGAGCAGAGAAGTACAGTACAACACTGGATTTTGCTGCATTGTTCTCTAACGCCCATTGTTGATGTCTTACGCTATGTTTCATGCTCTCCTTATCAGTTACTACCAGTATACCCATATGCTGTACATTTGCAAGTGTGGGCTTGTAAATAATCATATTAATCTTACTCAATGTTGATATAATTTTAATCTAGAGAAATGCATTAGGTTATTATTTTTTTTATAAAGCCTGAGTGTGACACTCATCAAAATCAACAAACTTAATTGGATTATTCAATGAACCATGGCGGGGCCTTTTGATTCATAAACGTAAAGTGTGAATAGTATAAATAATATTTGTGTCGAGTGAACATTTGTTTAGAATGTTAATGTTTATAGAACAGCACAGATCAACCAGAGTGCAGTCAAGTACCAAGTCAGCCAGACTGCGTGTGAGTAACTCAACTAAATAATGAGAGTAATTTTAATACAAACGATTAAATAGGCCAAAGTGGTTGAATAATTACGAGAAAATACTCTATATCAATACAATATCATAAATACTAATTTAGATTAACTTTTGACTTTTCAAAAAGTATACTGCACTCTGGCTCTAATCCTGCCGTTCAAAGTTAAATGTACATGCCCGTTATCCAAAAAGAGTATTAACGATATTGCACGCGTAATCATTCGCAAGCGTTAATTATTTTTTCTTTGTAACAAATCTTTCCAAGCAAATTGCAAATCGCGCAACAAAGCTAAACCCAAAAGCTCTGCACGCGTTGCAGATTGCAGTCTCTGGCTCAGAATTTTTCCTGAACAAATAATGTGCCACAGTTTTCATTGAATGCACGTCCAAGAAAAAAAAAATCAAGATTGAGCTAAGCTATTTAATAATCCGTTAAATGTGTTGTTATTTTTTTTTTACAATAAGTGGCAAATGTGTTCCAGTCGGGATTCGGTTATATTTGGGTCAGAAGTGTTTTAATTTACGATTAATGTTGTTAATTCATTTGTTGCCACTTTCTACCATACATGCCAAACGCACCGATTGTAAAGTCATCGGCTGCCAATGTTTTTACTAAAGCGATTTTCAAAGCGAAATATACCGTTTGTTAACATTTAAAAATAAAACCAATATTTTTCGGTGTTTGCTTTGAAAATCAGTGTTCTTTAAAGAGGGTTTAAACATTGGCAGGCAGAACACTTAAATGGTTGGCAAGTTATGCCGCTACCCACTGACGGCAATCGTGTTAATTCACGTTGTGCTCAAACCAGAGCCTTTATTTCTTATGCCGCTTCACAGGAGGGTGGCATGTCGGGATGGGTGATTTTAAACTTCAGCGAAACCTCTTTGGGAAAAACCCCACCGCAAATGCAGCCACAACTATCAAACCGACTGGCTGCAAGTGGATCATTGAAATGCAATGGTTACCAGTGGAAAATGGGGGGGGGGGGGGGGGGGGGGGGGGGGGTGTGGGACAACGATCGACAAATGAAAATGTCGAATTCCAAATAATTAGATGCATAAATGGATTAATTGATGAGATACGCGGAGCGAAAACATATTGATGCAAAATTCTCCTGATGTAAATTTTTAGCGTGAAATGTAAACTGTGGAAACGTGAATGCCTGTTAGAATTTTCCCTCTTGGGGCATATTTAAAAATACTGAAAACTCCACTCTATTAAATAAGCAAATAAATAAATATTCCACATAAGTTTTTTTTCTACGAGATACTATTCAATGTACAATACACGTAACATTACAACCAACCGCCTGGCTGGCATATGCTAAATAGAAATGCAACGGGATATGAACGTACTGAGCTACATTCAATGGACACTGATAGCGGCACCTAAATTGCACGTTGTATGCCAGAGGCGTATAGACACATACACACGCTTTAGTGGCAGGTACGCCTACATAAGGCACATGGCTGTAGGCAAATCATTCCATAATTACGTACAGGTCGGATTCGAAGCTTTCATGACTTTACCGAAAGAACCAAAGAGTACGTACAGGTCATTACAAGACGTTAGAGTTCTGGAATCTTGTTAGGTTTCATAAGCGTTAAAGATCACGTGTGATTAAAGGAATAATGAACATACAAAGCAAATGTAAATCAGCCACAGTTCAAGCAATAAATACAGCAGGATTTAAAATTTTGATTTAAAGCTTTCGTGACTGCAGGGATTCATATTCTTGGTTCTTTCGGTAAAGTCACGTAGAAGGGAAACAATAAAATAATAAAAGTATAAAACAATTAAATTATCACGACGTTTTGACTGCAACACAAGCAATCAACAACAACCTGATGATGATTGTTTGTGTTGCAGTCGAAACGTCGTGAGAATTTAATTGTTTTATATTTTTATTATTTTATTGTTTCCCTTCTACGTGACTTTACCGAAAGACCCAAGAATATGAATCCCTGCAGTCACGAAAGCTTTAAATCTGAATTTATGGAGAGGACTGTGCCTCATTTCGGTCTATAAAATAAACACATCCATTGCTTCCACGCAGCGTTCTGACGTGCGATCGCATTTCAAAACCGCTATACAAATTGCACAATGTACTTGTACAATTACTCTTTGGTTCTTTCGGTAAAGTCACGTAGGTATAAAATTAACCAGTCCCAGTGCTGGATTATATTTTTTTCCGCCTGAGGACGACCGCTTGTGTTGCGGTGGAAACGTTGTGATTTATATAATTTAATTTTAGACTTACGTGACTTTACCGAAAAAACCAAGAAATAAATACAGCCGGGGTTGTAAATTAACGTCGATTATATATAAAAACAAATCAATCACAGAAAGTTACGAAACAAATTTACAAAAGAAAATCCTGTTGATATCCTATAAGACTTAAACATTTCTCCCACGGTAAAAAAGCTGCATACAAATTCTACTTCTCGTGTCCAAAATGTTGTCATCAAGTCTTATAGGATCCAACAGCAGGAACTTGACTTATAGGATAGCGCAGGGATTGTTGAGTTTTGTTGTTGTTGTTGTTGTAAATAATTGCACAAGAGAGGAAAATATTTTATTTCGGTTTGTCTCACAGGAAATGCCCCCCCCTCCCCCCCCAACAGTTGTGCCTATGCCATGCAAGATATGTAATGATTTCCATGCATGGAGGCATGAAGCAACAAACCCACATTGTCAGTTAGTAAGCGACAAGTGTACGCGACCGATGAGGGGCGACAAGTTATCGCGACAAAAAAAGCCAATAATCGCAATTGTATTAGGCAGCCTTCCAGGATCTACGGTACTGGCTGCATATAAAGGCAGCGCAATCGAGTACGGATGAAGAAAAATTGTTGAATGTTATTGAAACAAAACTTGTGGATCTTGCTTCCGGGGGCTAGGGTTAAGAAAGCTCCACACATTCTTGTCGGCCGCGGCGGCGAAATTCGAGTTGCCATCGGCTTCATTGGTGAGCAATTCAAGGAACAATATTTTACGAGAGAAATTGGAATGTTATTATTAACAATTTCAAGGCTATCATTTCGTGCAAAATGCCACCGTTCCACCTTGAAACCCACTCATGCATCAAATCCACTGTGGCGGTGGTCTGCTGTGGTGTTGGTCTGCTGTCGTTTATACATCTGCTGTGAAATTATTGCAGATTAAGGATCGTCAACACATTCGCGGGGGTTCATTTCACTCCTGAAATCACATCAAACCGACGCAAAAGGTTGGTTTTGCTTTTGAATTAAACGTTTTTTGCCTTGGAATAATTATCCGTGGGCGGGTTGCTTAAATCTTATCTTGCCAGCCGTGCGACTGTTGAAACCCAAAAGGGTGGTTATTATTCGGCACGCACAGTTCTACATTTTACGACCTTGGAAGGCTGGCCTCGGAGCTCTTGTTATTGCGGTTTAAAAAAAAAATCAGCACGTTAATGCACGGTTCGCCGTGCGGCGTCAGTCCCACGGGTGTCGTTCGCGGGATGGGCAGGCTTGGGGGGGTGAGCGTGAATTACGTGGGCAGGCGTGAGGGCGCGCTCCTCCGTGAGAGTTGGTGAGGGGGTGACCGAGTGGTCCGTGACCTCGGAAGCGAGTGGCGGGAGGAGGTCATCCAGCACAGCCGTGGACGACTCGCTCACGGTGCGCGATGACACCTCCCATTCGGGCTCGAGAAGCGAGTGCGAGTGACCGTCAGCGGGAGACAGCTTTTTCTGCAGGTGCGGCGGGATAAAGTCGTCGAGCGTGGGGAAGCGATCGGGCGCCGAGGCCGGCGACTCATTTCTCACGGGGGCCGGCGGGAGGCCGAGCGGGCCACCGAGCGGCCCGTAGTCCCGCGGCCCGGCCGGCACCAGTGGCGGCACGGGCGATGAGGCCTGCTCCGAATGGCCGGCGTCCCGAGAGCGGTGGGCACTTTCCGATTGGACGGTCACTTTCACACTGCCCAATCCCGTAAGCTGCTGGATGGGAGAGGCGTGGGTTTTTTGGTTTTCATGACATTGAACGTGGTGGCGTCCTTATTTATATATATACGCGATAGCGGGAGAACTCCTCTTTGCCGTGACCATATTACTCGCAACTCCTAATACCCGCAGGAGCTGTAAGGTCCGTGAAAAGCTCCTATTGAGCTACGACCCTATTCTTTATGTTACCCGTGAACTTTCCCATTCTGCTTTGCTGAATGACTTCTATAAAAAAATTTGCGGACAACAGGAGTCGCGTAGCAAATTAATCTGATGATACACAATATTTTTTTGCATAAAAGTAGAGTCAATCCACAGATAATAAGATCCGCGATATTCCTACCCCACATCACTGCGGCTAAGAGGAGTTCTCCTGTGTATGTGAGATAATTGCAAAATTATTTTCTAAACGGGGTAAATACAATTTGCATAGATCACGTTGGATGCTTTCTGCGTCTACAGGTGTGGTGCATTACAAAGCCACGCAGGTCAATGGAACAGGTGGTTTGAATGCGGTTTGATAATTCAGTTGGTATTAGCGGCTTGTTGGGATTGCTGCTCTTCAACAAAAGCAACCCTTTTGCCGGCCTGTGTTTTGTCCTGTAGGCATTTATTAGTTAGATCAATAACTGCAATTGTGTACAGCACATGCCAAAGATAATCACCATGCTATCAATTAAATCCAATAATTTACCAATGGAAGTGAAAAGGCAATAGGCCGCATATTTCATTGTTTGCCACTCAGAAAGTCAGCAGCTTTCCACATTAAATTAATCCATTAAAATGCTTACTTGCAGCAATTTGCATTCGAAGCAACATACATGAAATGCTTTCCAACATTTTAGACCTCTGAAAATGTAGTTTTTTTTGTCTTATCGGGTACACGTATTAGATGTGCAAATATCTAAGTGCGCAATTAACAAGCAGGGTTTTTTAAGTTAATGAACGTGGCCAAAACACCTCTAAATGAAACCTTGTGAAATACAAACACCGCATGATTATTTGCTTGACAGACTCGGACAAATTACTTTACAATTCATCTCGAACAAACACACGATGGGTTACACGATGACACATCACAGGTGCATTAGACACAAGCTCACGAGCCGTTGATGTCCTCGCAAAGCTGTGACAACGCTCGCTCGATGACATAGACTCGTGCTGATCTCTCACAGGTGTTCAAAGTTACCCACACAAGGTGGGAACCCTAAACCCGGCAATAGCAATACAAGGACTCCTCTACTTACGAACATTCGACTTACGAACTTTCAGAGATACGAAAAAAACCTGTCCGTATGTCCAATTGCCTGTTCAGACCCGAGAGTCGTGAGTTCAACCGCCGTGCAATAGATTAGCATCGACATATGCAGAACATGAAGAACCAGTGGCATCTGCATCTGCAGAAAATGAAGAACCAGTGGCATCTACATCTGCAGAACATGAAGAACCAGTGGCATCTACATCTGCAGAACATGAAGAACCAGTGGCATCTACATCTGCAGAACATGAAGAACCAGTGGCATCTACATTCGCAGAACATGAAGAACCAGTGGCATCTACATCTACAGGAGATTATACAAATTTTGAAGCCATTCCCCGTGTTTAGTGTACACGCCGTACAACACGTATGGAATCAACAGAAGTAAAGTTGGACTTATGAACAAATCGACCTATGAACAGACCTCTGGAACGTAACTCGTTCGTAAATCGGTAAATAGAGTAGTCCCTGCCTGGCAAAAAAGAATTGAACCGGTCAATTCGCTTTGCCAATGTCACCAGCAGCTGCGGTGGCTGAGCCGAACGTGGAAATGCCTGTGATGGAAAACACCGAGCTACATCATCGTCGCGTCTTTATGTGACTGCACACACATATCGGATGTTAAGCACAGATATGTAAGATATTGAAGGCTTATTGCAATAAAAGTCACGCGATTATTGAATGTCACCGCCATTCCAAGGTTCCCAAGGACCTATCCGATGGGCACATCCTGTTACCGTCATGTTTACCTATTGACACGTGTATATTCTTGTTTGACTTGTGGGTCAAGGGATGTTTACTGCAGTGGGGGAATTGAAATTGGCCAAAGTCTTCTTTGCACCAGAGATTACACAAGAGAAGCCCTGATGCTCGATGATTGCCCATTACTTTTTGTCTGCAATGCAATATTTCAAGAGTACTGCATTCGCTCAAAACGGGACCTGCATGTAGCTACGTGCAAGAAGTGATGCAAAGCTGATCCAGAATTTCACTTGGGGCTGGGGTCAATTGAAAAAAAAGGACAAGTAAAAACATATATACTAATACTAATTACATGCATAATCAAGTATACGATATCATTCAACATTTAGTCACGCTTGCACCCACTGGCATAATAAGCTTGCCAGTTCGCATGCTATCATTAATATCAACTTGTGGGTTAATGCAAAACAGTCGCATGTCTGTGTTAATGTTAAAAAAATGCACAATTATTATTGCAGCAATATATGCACGAACTCTCCTGGCAGTGCTGACACAAGGAAATGCTCTTTTCATTGGCTTGAGCCCTCCTCTATACCCGCACCCATCTGGATCATGGCCACACATTTGTGAGCATTATGCAATGCAGTCTAATGCCATTGTATATTCATTCACTGGCTAAATGATATCGATGTGCATGCGAGTGTGCCAGCTCTCTGTCAACCCACTGCTGGGTGAGGGCCTCCCTAACACCTGGCAGGTCGTAAGGGGTTAATTGAACATACTTCACCGCACTGGTCAATGTCGACTGATGGATGCAGGGAGCATAAGCGTGGAAGCGTAGAATAAAAAATAACACTATATTTGGTTGGAACTGCCCTCTGGTGGTAAGCACACGGCCTTACAACCAATAATAATCTCCCCCCCCCCCCCACCACTTTGTGCAAGAGCGCAGGAGTGTGGCCACCACATCTACGCCTCTCTATATAAGGAACGAAACAGGTGGAATTCTCCACAAATCTGGCTGTCGCCTGATGAAGCTAGTTGTAATTACTGGCGAAACGTCGTACTCGGATTGTAAATCTTGTGGCTTGGCTCTCCAACACACCGGTGTGCTGCTGTACTAGTGATGAATTGGCCACGTTCCGTTTACTGACTTACCAGCTGGTTGTGTCGGGTGGTGGCGGGTTTTAACGACACATTTATATATTTACACGATCTAACCCAAAAAAACCTCTATTATGGATGATATTGGTCGCGAAAGCCTACGTGTTAAACCAATAATAATGACGTCAACTTGTAACGCGGAGGCCACAAGGCATTGAGTTCACTTTCAAAAGCGAGGGAACGACTCGGAGGCTCGAAGAACCACAGACAAGCAAGAAGGCAGCCACGCAGTGAGCCAGCGCCAAATCCCCTCCCCCCCCAAAGCTCTGTGGTCATCTATATATATTAAGGTATTTTGATGTACAAGCTTACCCCGAGCTCTCAATACTCTAATGGTGCGTTGTGTTTGAGTTGTGCACCTTTTGGCGTCACCTGGTCCAACACCAATGTGAGACTGGGCTCTAAGAAAAGCTGTCTCGGGTGTGGACCAATCAATTTCAAGGACAGTGCATACATTATCAGTGTTGTCTATTTGTTTGCATTTTGACCGCAAGTGTTGTGGTTAATGCAAGGCATGATCACTTGTAAAAAGGTATCAGTTTTGTTGCCAGATAAAAGGGTAAAAACCTATTATTATTAAGGTATTTTGAGCCGGTGAATCAGTGTTTGCACGTGAGAGGAAACCGAAGCACCTGCATGATGGCGGCCACACTCTACCCCATACAGGTGGAACGGGTGGAGTCAACATTTTTTGCTGTTCCGCATTGTCCTAGCACGCCAGGGTACGGCAACCTTAACGCTCTGAGCGCGTGTGACTTCAAGGAGGGAAGGCAAAGAGCAGATGCCCCGTTAATGACGGTGCAATTAAAGGTACTCTGAAAGGGGCCTCCGGGTGTTTTCGATGTGAAATGAAAAGTCGACGTCTGGCGCTTCACAAATGCGCTCTTGATCTCTGCATGTTCTCTCCTAGGAACAGAACTGGATTTAAATTGAGACCTGAGGTGCGATCGTTGGGCTGTTATCTTGCAACGCCACCTGCCCAGTTTGTGAAGCCATCACTGTCGTTTAAATTAGGCGAAATTAAAACCATAAAGATGTACAGGGTAAAGGTGTAGCCCTGCGGTTTGCTTACCCGCACCAATGTTCCCAGAAGGGCATCCTATTTTTTTCCCGTTCTTCCAAGCTGGTCAGAGGTGGGGTTATCCACTCGTTACCCCGCCACACACAACACACAGATCTAATAATGGTGATTTACATAAATCGAGCTTGAAGGACTCTTTAGCAACTATCTCGTCACTGTACTGTAACTTCACACGATCATTAGTACGGTCATTTGAATATAGGCGGTAACAAACAAAAAAATGTAACAAATTATTTACGAAAGTTGAAAGTACCGCATTTCTCGGAGGGACTTTTAAATTAGCCACCCCCCTCACTGGCGGCAGTGGCACATTCCGCTGGGCTCCTTGGACCCTGGAGGTCGTCTTCTCCGCCGTCTGAACCTTGCCAGCGGCGTCCTTCACGCCGGACAGCAGCGAGGTATCCGGAGCCACGTGGAGGCCCGAGAGCGCGCAGCCTGTGGAGTTAGTTTCCATGGAGGTGGACACGTCAACGGTGGGAGTCGTGATGTTAGTCACCTGATGAGATGGGGTCACACCCTGGCGAGATCCTTGCATCGGCGGAGCAAATTGCCGGTCGACTAAATCCTTGCCGACGCGGTTAGCCGCGTCCGTCAGGGCGTCCACTACCTTCTCCTTGTCCACGGCCGTGGCGGGGGTGCCACCGCTGCTGCTGCTGCTGCTGGTGGTGGTGGTGACGGTGGTTTTGACGGGGGCAAGTTTGATCGAGGAAATCTTCCGCTCGGAGGGAGTGACCTCCGCGTTTCCAATCTCAACAAACGACTGAGCGGGTGCGGGAGCGACGCCGGACTCGGGTCGGAAGGGCGCCAGCGGTGCGCGCTTACCGCCGGCCGTGGCCGCACCGGTGCGGCTCTGAGATTGGGAGACATCGGCAAGGTTAGGCACGTCTTGAGGAAGGCTTGGCAAACTGGCGGAGCCTGATCCCACCGTAGAAAGGGACGCTTCGGTCCTGCTACGCGACTGCGGGCTTTTGCTATCGCTGGCGGCAAAGGCATCGGCCTGAGAGGAAGGAACGCGGAAGGTCCTCGGAGGAGGCGTGGGGCATTTGCGAGCAGGGTTCCCGGTGGCAAGGGGTGCGCTGTTAGCGAGAAAGGATTCCTCGACCGACGTCGACGTTGTGGTTCTGCGGTACACCCTATCGGTGGTGGACACGGTGGTGATGGTGTCGTAAGAGGAGTTAGAGAAGTGCTGGCCGGTGAGGGGGGCATGCGCTCTATCCAAAGTGGCCGAGGGCTGAGCCGCATCGGCAGGCCATCGCGGGAGGTTAGTCTCAGGACCGGCATCGGCGGTGATGCTCACGAACTTCATGATGGGAATGGACGCAAGCACGGAGTAGGAGGATTTAGTTGGAGGGTTCCATGCAAAGCTCTCCTCTTTGGGGGGAGCAGCGGGAAGCTGGGTTAGTGCACAACACGCGTGAAAACAAGAGGTCAAAGGTCAGCGGTCCACCTGGATGAAAGGGGGCGGTTGTAACAAAAAGTCCTTAAAATAAAAATGTAAGGTGACACACACACACACGTCTCGAACGTGTGTGTGTGTGTCACCTGATGAATGTCAGTTGAATGACCACAATCTATATGAGGCGAAATAAACGGTCCTGTATGATTTACAAACAATCCTTAGGACTCCTACAAGAATGAGACATTTCAACAGCACCCTGTAAAGTTTGTGTTATTCTACTTTAATAACTTATTTAAAAAAAGCATCCCATTATCTATAATTTAACAATTTTTACGTATGATATGTTAACTTCTTTTGTACTGTACATAGCCAACCGTGCTAATCAGAGGCACGGGGGAAAGGCAAAAAACTAAAACACAAAAAGTTGTTCTAAAGAAGTGAGTTTTCAATTGAGAATTAGTTATCAATTTTAATATTTCAATGTAAGGCATAAGTATGAGTCCAAAGGTACAGCAACCTTCTACACCTCTCCATGTGAACCAGTGAAGAATCACAGAGGTGAAGAGAATAGAGAAATTGAAAGGATCAGATCAAGAAGATCAAGATGAAGCTCAGGGCCAGCCTTCGAGTTTCCCGATTTCAAATAAACTTTCCAAATGTTATTCTTCCTTTCTTCATGGTTAAGGATCAGCTTCTCATTAGCTCATTAGTGCGAGCTCACCGAATGTTGAGCACGTTTCATTCATCAGAATTCAAATGGTCAAGCTTACAACTTAATTCACACTCACGCAGGCACGTAAGAATGCTTCGATTAATCTGTATCAAATGAATTATGAATCTCACAATACATGCATTGAACGATCACATGTTTATCTGACAAGAGTGTTCCTCGATGGCACGTCTGTAAACACGGTGGAGTGTGACGTTATGCACGATGCTGAATTATTTAGGAATTGCTCAACATTATCGCGCCTAAAAAACAAAAACCTGAAGCTATGCCAGCTGAGTGCGACTGCGTGGAGAGACAGCGCAGAAATACTGTGCACTGCGGCTCGCATCGGACCGATATCCCTGCGCCTCCACGCGCTAAATAATTTCAACTGGTGGCACCACCACCACCACCACCACCACGGTTATTTGGTTATTTACACCTCCGCTTCATGCGTTTTTCCAAAACACCACCACACATGCGGACATGCAGTGCCATAACCAGGGCCTAGCTGAACTTCAACGGTGTCCTCTGTTGAGGATCTTAGAGCGAGCAAGAGGTATGAGCGCGCCGAGGAACTGCGTGCACGTACTGGTGCCCCCCCCCCCCCGACCCCCCCCCCCCCCCCCCCCCATGTGCGTGCATCTTCACCTGTTTCTTCTCGGCGGCTGTGAGGTTGGGCCGCACGCTGCGGAAGCCTTTGGCCACCAGCGAGGAGTTTCCCCCGTCCCCGTTGGCTGCTCCGAATGGAGCAGGGGACACGGGGCCGGACCCCCAGCGGTCTGCAGGTCGTCGGGGAGGACACGAGACGAAGATCGGGCCCTTAACTTGACGCGAAGGTTTTCGCAGCCATTATCACGATTAATCATTGGTGTTTGGGAGAGGCCATGTAATGGTCTGGCCATGTATGGCCATGTTTGGGCAGATCATTATGATCCCTTTAAAACCTCTTTCCAGTGTAACTTGCCTGCCTCTGTGGCCGAGCCACCATTAAAAAAAAAACTTCTGAGCTCAATGGGCCTCAAAAGAAATTAATCTGCCCCCTCCGAATATATTTCTCTCGGTGCACCGCCGATCATGGTCACCATCACCACGCACCACGTGCAACTTTGAAGCAGCCGTAGGGCATCGCGGCAAAGATCCTAACAGCGATGGCAATGTCACGGGAATCGTTTGCCTTCCCCGTAAATTATCAGACGGTGAGTTTGCACAATTGCATTCCAGGATTAAAATCAAGGACTCGAGGAATAATGTAAACACAATGAAGTATCAAACAGACTCTCAAGGTAACCACGTTCGCTACTTGGCTAGAGGGTAATTTATCGATTTATAAAATGCATATGGAATACATGCATAAACCACAAGTTGTGTCAAGATAAAGATTTTATTATATGTTAATTTAACCGGATTATTTTTTACCTGATTCACTTGATTGGTGATCAGGGCCTATAACGGGAAGAAATTAGAGAAAAAAGGAAATACTTATTCTTAACTGCAAAACTAAAATGACACATTGTGACCATCAATGTTTAAATCACCACTACATTTTGAAAATCACATTTTAAAAGCAATCATTTTCATTTTATACAAAATGAAAGGATATTACCCCACACCCCTCACCAAAAATACAAATTCTTAACACGTCATAGCAATCATTTTCAAATGATCATAAATAAATTGTCGAATATACAATGCCTGTGAATCATTAACATTTAACGATAACGCAGCAATTGATACTCATATGTGCTGTACAACAATGACCTACTTTAGAACACAGTGTACTTGAAGCTCATTATCCTGAGTGAGGTTTCAGCTGTCTGATCACATATGTGTATTCGATCATAATTTGGGGGAAGTCTGAACTCACACCATCTGGCAAGTTTAACATTAAAACCTAACTACACAATAGTATAGTCATAGTATTACGAATACATTTAAGCCTTTTATCATTATGTTGATCATGTGGGTTATTCTAGACCCATACTTCACTGAATTGCTCTGTGCAGGTTGGTGAGACGGGGGGGTCAAAGGTTAGTACAGATATAATTCGCCACCAATGTTAGCCATGGCCAGGAATTAAACTCGGGCTGCCGGGTTCATAGTGCTCTGTGTGAACCACTGCACGACCCCACCCCCCCCCACCACCTAACAATATATTTGTTTGAAATGCATATAACCAGTGTTTCAAAGAGTCTACAAAGGTAAGTTTTTATTTATTTAACTGCACTTTCTTTTAACATAACGATTGCCAAATCCTTCATTAGGTGTCCTTTGTTACTATGTGGTCGGTCGATGCATCATTAGCTTAATTTGAAAGAAGAAAGTTATTTTTTTTTCAAAGCCCGCAAACGTGGCTTCATTGTTGCCATGCATAAAGAGATGTAGGATTACCATAGCTCCGGCATATTTGGCTGGAAAACAACTACAAGAGGACTGCTAGGCGACAGAAATCTTTGACCAGTTTTACGCAATACTTTCCCGTACGATGGAGGAGAAGGCGTTGCAGATGCAAGAAAATAATTATTGTGCAATTGCAACAAAAGATGCAAATCTGACACAAAATTTGTATCGGCACCATAACCGTTGCATGAAATTATACAGCACAGGACCAATGTGATACTCTGGGCTGCCACAAAAGAAGTAACCTGAGCCTCTAGAATACAGAATACGACAGTAAAAAAATATATACACGTGTTCATAATAAAGGTATACACGTGGGGTTTTGGCAATTATTGTCATATTTCGATTTAAAGCTTTCGTGACTGCAATGATTCATCTTCTTTGGTTCTTTCGGTAAAGTCACGTAGAATGAGAATAAAATAATACGTGACTCTACCGAAAGAACCTAAGAAGAATTTTTGTCATCTTATTATTTGCCAAACAATTGATTCCTGCAATGTTCTGTACAATTTTCTGGCATATTTTCACTTTTTTGGTATGTTAAGAAAAATATCCAAACAGCAGTTAATACAACTTGGCAAATACCGAGATAGCATAAATAATAATAATAATCATGTTTTCAGTTGAAGTGACGTATGTTTTTGCCCTGCTTATTTGTTCTGTACTTGCACATACATCAAATAGCGACACGACATTGTAATTTCACATTCCATGAATCACAGTTTCAATTTATTATCATATCAAGTGTGAAGGACGGCGACGCGATTTTTAGTCATTTTATTAATTAAAAACACTGATAAGTGGCTTAGTAAGCGTTTGTTCTTATGCCAAGCTCAAGATATTTGCCATCAAACAATTGTGAGTGCGGCCATAGGATGAGGGCATCTGGGGCTAGTGGGGCTTAGCGTCCCTCGATCCCGTTAACCAGCTCTCGCGTTCACGCGCAGCCTCCACGGTGAAGCCCCCTGAAGCCTCGACGACTCGGTGAGACGGTGCAAGGCCACCACCCGCAGGGCGCGTGGAGGACTGGCGATGTTGACGTGGACCAGTGGAGCTTGTGCGTGTGTCAATCTAGCAGTTCCTCTGCTCATGTCAACCTTGCGGCTCTCTTGTCTCTGTACGTTAAATTTTCGAAATATATTATCGTAAAATTTTTTTAATTTCATGTACAACAAAATAAATATTTTAGGCCCTTGCAAAATAAAAAAAAGATACGTTCACTCATCGCCTAGGAACGCAACTCCAACAGAGCGCGCTCGCTTTGAGACCGTGCTGTGGGCCTAACGCTCGCGTATCCACGACCGCTTGCGTTTAAAAGCAATGCCTAGAGGTTTTTGGAGTCTGCCCTTCTGAAGACAAAACATCCTCCGCCAATCGAGCCCCGGACCTACTTGTGAGGTTCGAGTCAGTCCAAGTTTCCCAGCTGTCGGTCTTGCTGCGGAGACCCTGCTGACCCCCATACGAAGAGGGTCTCAGGGTCACTGACCCCTTCCCACTGATCACCTTGACCGCGCCACCCTCTGTGCGGGACCCAAGGCCACGTCGTGGTGAGTGCGGAAACAAGCGGTTCCCAACGGGGGACAGGTCAAGCGCAGGTCCGCTCACTCCGCGTGCAAACGGCTAAATTTGGGGCTCCCCGGCAGTCCCATTGGCAAACACATTTCGCTGGCGCCGCATTTCAAACGGCACGCACGCTTGAAATGAACGGTGAAGCGTCCTTCTACGTACTGCTCAAAATAGACAATGGGCCCGTTATTATCTTCACAAGCCACGTGCCAGTGGTGTACATTTGACATTATCATGGAAGGGACCAGGCTACCCATAGGATCAATAATATATATTTAAAGGGCGCTACAGGAATAGCACTAATATACTTTTAGATGAACACTTACAAAGAATGTAATGAATGTGATCTCATCACAGTTTATGTTTTTTGTGTAACTTACACTAATCTCTCATACTGAGCTCTCATTATCGATAACTTCTGTCACTTAGAGAAAGCGAAAGTTATTTTTAAAAGACACCGAGAGTCACTGCTGACAAATGTCTAACGGGGCAGAACTAATAGGTGTGTGCTTTGTAAATTTGCTGACATCGATACGAAATGGACATAATATTAATAAAATAATGTATTATTAATTAATTTCTTTATCTTAGAGCCAAAATCTAGGGAACAAATAGCCACTTAAACAAAGTTAAACTCTACACATTTTGAAAGTATGAACTCTTACAACTAACCATTAGAGCTGTAATGAACCAAATCCTTGGTGAGACTCTCCCCCACGCTCTGCAGGCAGTGAGGGGTTATTCTTACAAACCTTTGCCATGCTCATGTCAGTGCTGGGTTGATAAATTAAGAAATGGGCAGAATTACAGAACAGCAATGGATGCTGCTGCATTGCCCTCTTCTGCACACAATGCACATTGCACTTCTGCTTATTATGCATGATAGTTACCAATTATCAACCGTACTTAGTTTACGAGATCTAAATGAGATGAGGCTCAACCCTGAGTGAAATGGTCATTGGCTGAATATGCAGAAATAACTAATCATATATTTGCTCTCTTTGTTTTAATGTGTTTGCAAATGGGGGTTTTAATTTTGTTGTACAAGTCGAGACCTGTACACATCAGAGTTTGAATAATGAGACACCCAACTGTTCGGTCATAAAATAAATAAGAGCAGGAAAGATGGAAAAATATAATTTGGTTGAAGGCAAAATCAGGATGATGGCATTGTTTTTTTGGGTGAAATGAAAGATTTTTGATTTGTTAAGAATTTTAAGCAGAAAATGAATCATTTTCAAGAGCTAAGACCCAGAACCCTTTGTGCTTAGTCATGTGGATAATCAGAAAAGAAGTCACCAGAAATCCACAGAAGCCATAACCATACCTGTCAACCCATACGGTTTACTCGTATTCTTGTACAGGAACATTTCGTTTTCAGGTCCATACGGCATACTGCTGTTTCAATGGGGCTTTGTAGGATGAACGTTGAGATTTACAAGGGCACGGGGTTACCAATAAGGTCTGAATTAGTCTGTAATAAGGTAGGCACTGATAAGGGGTTGACAGGTTTGCATCATTTACTTTCACAAATAAACCATTGTGAGTAAAAAAAAAAAACAATTTGTGATTATATTTTATATTTTGTCGTGAGATTCTTATTAAAATTCACCAATGGTTTCAATGAGAATATATTTTTGGTGCTCTGAATTAATTCAAGCAGGGGCAGGGCTTCTGCAGATTTCTATTATACATCCCTTTAAGTGATTTTTTTTTTTGGGAGGACAGACCGTTTGAAGAGCAAATGGAAAATCAAAATATTATGATTGGATGAGCAATGAAGTTAGGTCAATGCAGAGCCTATAGCTCACTAATCAGGTGCAAAGACTACAAGAAATTAAGGCCTCAGACTGCAGGTCCCAATGGTTACGTACTGCACGGAAGGAGCGCTACAAACGGTTAATTATGACGAAGATCGCGATATGGTGGGGGCTGCATCTGAGACAGGCTCACGGCGTGTCCTTGTGCGGTGCGTCAACACGACGCAAACCGATCGCGACTGTGCTGTTGAAAAATTTGACAGCAACTCGCCGCTGCTGCTGCTGCTGCTGCTTTGAAGCTCAAGCTGATATTTAAAAAAAAATACACGCAGCAAATTGCAGACGCTACGCAAAATGTTTTTATTCTTTCACAAATGTGGAATCATTTGTCCACAATTTGTGTGTCTCCTGAATTTTGTTGTCTGGAATTTTAGTCCAGTTATGTCGTTAGTTTTTTTGCAAAGAATGTAAGATTTTTTAACAAATAAAATCGTGAGAAAAAGCCTGTAAAAACATATTACGGTTCTTTTTATTGGGTTTTCCTTGAAATCATGTTTTTATAAAGGAATTCCTGAACATACTTTTCATAACTAAATTTGACCCCACACAGAATGTGTTATTCAAATAAACACTGCATTTTGAAATTAACAGGTGTTGTTAAAGGGTGTAATTTAAGCATTTGCTTAAGCATCATGAAAAGCCTTTCTAAGCTTGGTTAGTGGATGGATGCAATCGTGGACTGATCCCAGAGGGAGACTATATCAGAAACACCATTGTGGATTAATTTACATTTGGAAAATTCTGCCCTATTAAATTTCTCAATGGCTCAATCTACTTCTAAATTTCACGGCGTCTCTTTGTAGAAATGTACGACGATTTAACCGAAGATGACACCGAAAAAGTAAGTAGCTCTGACCTTCTAGACAGCATGACCCATTGCTCTACAACGTCACCTATGATATTTATTTCTTTTCAGGCAGTGTTATTGAGAAATGCACTCCGTTGTTTTGTGCCTGTGCACCATCACTGCCAACGCGTCATCACCAAATAATTCGTTTAACTCTAAATACGTACCGCGCTGTTTAACGTGTGTTAACAATAACCTTTGAAATCATTATCGTGAACGTCATTATAACGCTCTCGTGACATCGCTGCGGTGCAGCACTGACGTGCAAGGGACTGCCCTCACAGTGACAACACCGGCGTGCTCTAATGACCAGTGGCACACCCAGCTGAACATTTTAGAAGGGGGCAAATTGTCCTGCCACCTGCCTAACACGAGTGCACATCAATGACAAAATTCAGGTTTTCATTCAATAATTGTAATTGTTACTCAAATAAGAGGAATGTCAAGCCACATTGATTAATCATTTACAATTTTAGATGTATTTAAAACCCCCTAAAATCGGTCCATCGCATACAGTGGCCTTCTCAAACATTTATTTAATAATTTTTATTTATGTGGTGCGGGTAAATGCACCTTTGCCTCACCCCTGGGTGCGCCTCTGATAATGACGTCCTTGATGACTGCAACTTTAAAGTATTTTTTCTTTTATCATAACAAAGCTTCCAAAGCATGGGCGGAGAGACTAGAACACACAGCCTAGGCATTGACCTACAAATGCCTACAAAGCGCTGATGCTTTTATTTCAATATTTAGAGTGTTTTTTGTTTTGTTTTCCGATCTCCCAATGAGGATCAGTCACCGTGCAAAAGGGCTGTTAGTATGTTATTGTTGCACATGCAGACCTGTGGGTATCTCAAAATAATACACTAACAATCAACGTGAATTCACAACTGAGTTTGGCTCTCTTTAAACACACACGTTCTGCACACACAACGCGCAACAGGCAATTACACAAATTAATGTCACATTAAAAGCATACATACAGTGCACAGTAATCCAACTCAATTATAACCAGTAAAACATGTTAAATATTTCATCCATATGTATTTTGAAGAAGTAAAAATTATATTACTGAGAAAAAATGCATCATTGTCAGTACCATCAAAATAACTTAACCCACCATCGATTTAAAGCTTTCGTGACTGCAATGATTCATCTTCTTTGGTTCTTTCGGTAAAGTCACGTAGAATGAGAATAAAATAATAAATTGATAAAATAAAATAACACAATAATATTCTCACGACGTTTCGGCCACAACACAAGCGGCCTTCATCAGGTGAAGGGAGTGAGACTGTCTGGTAGGACAGCACTCCAGCGCTGTCCTACCAGACAGTCTCGCTCCCTTCACCTGATGAAGGCCGCTTGTGTTGTGGCCGAAACGTCGTGAGAATATTATTGTGTTATTTTATTTTATCAATTTATTATTTTATTCTCATTCTACGTGACTTTACCGAAAGAACCAAAGAAGATTAACCCACCATTTCATGGTATAATACAAATGGAAGTACGTTAATAGTATGAATGCTTCAGATTCAATTAAACGTTACTTGACTGCATGTTGATATCTGCAACACCATACAGCACTTCTATGGACTAAGAATATGTTTGAAACAAGATGCCCTAAATATGAGCCGGTACACTCTCACCTTACGACAAGGTAAGAATGTGCCATTAATTCTGGGGGAGTTTTGTCAAATTATCCTTATTCATCCCGATTCAACCACAGTTCACATGTATGCTCATTGCATTTGACGGCTTTAAATGAGCAAGTGTGAGTGCATTGGGTCTCAAAAAAGTCGAAGGAATAAAGATGTTAAACAATTACAAGAGCACAGAAAAGAAAACACAGTGGGATCAATCACATTTTTGGACAGCAATGCAAGAGAGCCAGAACCATACCAGCATTAGTTCGGACAAGATAAAAACCCTTTTTCCACGTGCACATCTGAGCCTGTGCCAGCACGGCATGGGCGGTTTTTCACTGGAGGCACGGCTTGGATGTGCGAGTGGAAAGAGGGGAATAAAAGAGTGGTGACGAGCCCTTTGTGCGCGTATACCTGTGCATTGCGGAATATCAGGTGTGCTTTGCACTCGCTTGACGTTAATGGTAAGAGCCGACACGGATCGGGGAAGCGTGCGGACCGGCGCCTCTGCAAGCAGAACACACACGGGGACGGGGGCCATGCAGGAGGGAGCAAGGCCACTTGCGTTCGTCTCGCTCTTGAGGGACAAGGCCAATTACGTACAAAATGCCACAGAAGATCAGACAGAAGGGCCTCCATTACAATCCATGTTCCATTCGGAACTCAGCCCACATAGGAGACTACTTGTGGCGGGAGCGGGAGACGCTCATTCGGGCCTCATGCATCCAATTTGAGGAGGCAAAATAAAACTATAATTGGCCAAGCATCTGAATCAGAACGCTCCTGAAAATGTACATTTATTCTTGGCCATGTTTTGCTGGGTGCATACATTATCACTTCTTCATGAGGTCTTATAAAAAATGTGGAGAAATTAGTTATCTTTTAACATAGTTACAACGGTGTGCAATCTATGTTTTTTTAAGTTTACATATTGGTTTTACAGAAGAGTAACTAAAAAAAGTATGCCTCATTTTGGCCTTGATGAAGCCCCAGGAATTTAATGGGGCCTCATGGGCATTGGAGAAATGAGGATAACAATTTCAATAAAGCTGAAGGGGTTTTACCTCACTATAAGATTATTGTTTTTTTTTGATAAAATTTTAATTCAATCAGATTTCTCCAAATGACTCCCTCTGAACGGACGTAAGAGCCACATAGCATGCAGGACAATCCAAGTATCACCACGGCAACATGAATTCAGTTGCCATGACTACACAGGCCCGTTACCAGAGCAACCGCAACAAGACGGCCCCAGAGTGGAGGCATTAAGAGTGAACAAAAACAGACAGGGGGACAGCAATCACGGTGGTTATCTCACGGAGAAGACCACCACTCAGGCTCCCCACAAGAGGGGGGGGGGACTCCCCCAGAGATGGAGTGAGTGTGTGAGCAGGAAAGCTAGCGGTGGTGGCAGCAGCAGCAGCATCAGAGTGTATATCCATTACTCGCACACGTGTCGCTAGAACAGCAAGATCTAAACGAGTGCCGCCATTTTGTTTTTAATAGTCCTAGCTTATATGGACATAGATGGCAACATAAACAAACACTAATGAAATGATGTCACGATCACACCAAATTGTTATTCTGGTCGTCAGTCGCACGCGGTTTAGTTGTTAATTGAATTGCGTGAGGGCACGTGGTTACGAACACACAACTTTTGGCCAATGTTTATGTGTAGGCTTTCACGAACAATATTATGATGCATAATAACTTTCTTTTGCATCAGATCATCGTACAGTATAATGCCAATTTAGAGAGCAGAGCTTTTATTAACACCTCATGATGCCGGATGCAGTCTCCAGCCAACCATCATACACAATTTTAAAGTTTTGCATGCTTTTCAACGCTGTGGTTTTGCTGATAAACCAAATTAATTGGCATATTTGCCCACGTGGCAACTTAATTTAATTGGCTCTGTCGGGTGATAGAGGGTTATAGTGAAAAAAATTACATATCTACATGATTTAACCCAAATGAAACGAATTATGAATCACAACTTTCAGGATCCCTTTAGAACTTCGCATGTGATCACACCAGCTTTGTCCAAAAAAACAATTGCAAACGAGATAACATTGCGTGCACATTTATGAACAAGATTCTGTCCCGTATCTAAAACCGAACATACAGAATTTTGCATAAATACCGTAGGTGGTAAGATGTTCAAGCACCAAGTAGACAACACCTATTGTAAGCCATAAAGTCTGCATTAACCACACATATTTGTCGTCCAGAAATACAAACAAATATGCTTTAATAATGTGTGCACTGTCGTTGATCTGATTGGCCTACACCAGAGACAGACCCTTTATGGCTTTGTCAGCACTAACGATCAAAAGGCCGCCAATAGGTGAAGGGTACACTGGGAATGCAAACACCAAAAAAAATCAATAGCTTGGGTGAAGCAGTACTTGTATGTTTGTGTAAAACAGCCTTTCAATGTTTATGAGCTCCGTGTTGGATGATCAACCTGTGTAGCCTTCGATAAAACAATCAGATATCATGACGCGACGTATGGCTTGAAAACAACATTTTAAACTTACCCCCACCTACACCGAGAGAACCATTTTGGGGTAATCCATTACTGCTGAAGGTTCTGTCTGTTGACAAAAATGAAAAAAAATCGTTATAATCAATGCTTTACATATGTTAGATTAACTCAACACGTGTCTCTTAATCAATGCGTACACATCTTAGTTTTTAGGAGTCAGAAAGTTACAAAAGTAAGTGCAATAACACAGGCAAATCTTGACTTAAAGCTTTCGTGACTGCAGGAATTCATATTCTTTGGGTCTTTTGGTAAAGTCACGTCGATAGTTTTTATTTATTTTATTTTTTATTAATTTGAACCTATCTACGTGACTTTACCGAAAGACCCAAAGAATATAAATAACACAAAATCAAGAAAAAAATAACACAGGCACACGCCACACTCTTAAAATAATAATACAAATGATAATGGTTGGCAATCGAATTCAGGTAAAGGGTTTCACAGCGCACACCACCGCACCACTGATCCACCATCCAACCCACTGTTATCGTTAAATATACACTGTGGCAGATCACAGAATCAATACATCAATGAGTAGTAATTGTTCACAAAAAAAACTATATTTGTGTTTAAGGATTGCTTCCTGACCTTCCACCCATGTCTACGGAGAGTGAGGAGGATGGCTCAGAGACTGTGGGCCAGAACCGGGTTGCCCCTGGGCCACCAGAGCCCAATCGGCAGCGGCCATGGAAATGCGGCAAATACAATGCCCCATTGGCATGGGTGGAGTAGTGAACACAGTGGTTAACGCACGGTGCTACGAACCCGGCAACCCGGTCACGGCTAACATCAGTGGCGAGGGCGCCACGGTGGCAAGATGTCAGCTACCTCGCCTGGTATACAGGAGGTCCAGGGTTAAATCCCGACCCTGACGCTTTCTGTATATTTGGAGTTTGTGTTCCCCAAGGTCGTGTGGATTTTCTCTCCGGGTCCTCCGGGTTTTCCCCCCACGTTTAGAAACTTGTGTTTAGAATATTCGACTGCTAGAAATTTCCACATGAGCCACTTCGTTTGGCTATCATTTGTGATGGCCAGGTCACTCGGTGGGCTTTACCTGGTAAAAAAAGACAACTTAGTAAAGAGTAATAGTATAGAGTCATGATAGACCAGTCCTGCTCTACCAAGCCCTTTACCAACCTGTACTGAGTTGGCTGTAATTGATTTATTTTGCTCTAATGTTAATGCATGGATAGATGAGGACATGCACTTAAATCTCCTCCCATTACCCAAATGTCCTTACCTGAGTTCATGCTGACACTTGAGCTTGTCCCTTGAACGTCAAGGCTTTGGTTGTCTCTGGAGGAGAAATGTGGACAGAACACATGAGGTGCCGAACTGAAGATTCCATCGACTTTGCTGCGCTTGTACGTTGTTAATTGAGTGGACTGAATGTTAAGCATCGTTGGAAAAATAAAATGTATTTAATGTAAAGAAAACGAAAATGTACAAATATATGATGCTGGATGTAATCTCCACGAGAAACGTATACAATTGTCATTGTGCTTGAACATTGTAGTTTTGCTGAAGCACCAAATACATTTGCATATTTGCTCATATGACAGCTTGATTTTATGGGCTCTGTTGGGTGGTGGAGGGTTCTAGTTCAAACATTGACATCATTACCGGCACGATCTCACGCAAAATAAACTAACTTTGAAAGAACAAATATTTATTTTAAAACATTAACTTTTTTTTCTAAGCTTTGGTGACAAGGTTGAACGATGAGTAATTTTGCAAGGATTCTAAATCAACTAAAATCCATAACAGCTACTTCCTTATCCAGTGAGGGCCTCTCCTAGGTTGACTCGGCCTATAATGAGCATCTGTTGCTGCATGTCATGCTGAGAAATGAGTGTGGAGATACGACTCGTGGACAGCAGCATGTCTAGCCTACGGTTATCTGGAACGTTAACCATTGTTTTTACACATTCCATTCTAAAACAAATATTTCTATAAAATCAATTATGCCAAACATGCACACTTTATACGCAAAAAAACATACGCATATTGAAGGAAGGCTCAACGTGTTCTCATAACAATGTAGTTTATACAGGGTACTGCTCTGCAACAATTGTCCTTTTCCATTGTAATAAGTATTTTTTTTCACACGGAAGGAAACCAGAGTACTTGGAGAAAGTCTAAGTTGTCTTGTGGTTGTTGTTGTTGTTTGACTTGCATCCCACTAGGATTTTTGCACACAGCCTTGGTGTACGGTGCTTTTTCTGGAAGATTTTATTGTTTTTTCCTGGATTTTTCTGTTTGCGCGTAGTCACTTTAAGATGTTTTCTTGTTCATGTTTTTGTTTTTTGTTTGTTGCGGTTGCACCCGATTCAAGAGCCAAATGGCTCACAGGGCTATACCAAATAAATGAAACTGAAAAAACTGAAACATACAAGGGGATGGTAGAGTGTGAAAAATAAAAATACGTTTTACCCTTTCTGGCTATAAAACACGAGGTGTTAAGATGTTCAAAACACCAAATAGAAACCTTTTGAAAGGAATCATGTCTGCATTAACACCACACGGTACTTGTGGTGAACATGCAAACAAATATGCCCTGATAATTGCATTGTCTTTGTAACTGATTGGCCTACACCAGACACATACTTACTTATGGCCTGGTCTCACCAGTGTCAGACCAGAGAACGTCAAAAGGTGAACAGTGAAAAAACAATGCACGTATCAGAGCACTTATAGCTCGGAGTGAGCGGCTATATCATGGGACCTTTTTTGGGGATGGCAGAATTCTGCGCAGACAGGTTCATGAACGCACTTCTCATGCTGCTATCTCATGGCCACCTAACACCCCAGCAGGTTTCACAAAGATATGCGATCCACCAACACCTGCCTCCAAGATTCTGGCTTACAGGCGTGCATTACAGATCGGGTTACCACCTGTCCTGGTTTTCTCAGGATGCCTTCTCGTTCAGATCGCTTTTCATGGGAAACCTCTAAGTCTCCTCTGGATGTTAAAAAGTTCTATATTGATAAGTTGTGTAAAAGTACACCGCTCAGGACAATGTATTTGCATGTGGCTTCCCCCGCTTCTGGTATTGAGATATTCTTGTTCCCATGAAAAATCCCCAGTATTGTTATACGTCAGAGGTGGCAACCCTAATCACCACGCGCAGCTGCGTGCAGCATCGGCGACGTTGCATGGAGGAACTGCGGACCAGAACGTGAACTCCGTTTCATTACTTGAATAGCAGCAGCAACAGCAGCAAATAACAAAAAATAGTGCACCACCAAGCGAATCACTTGGATGCGTGAGATTCCACGGTATTGGGCAGCTTCCACGGAAGGCGGTGGCATTGGCATTTCAGCGGCACGCCTGAAATCCGAACCCCGGTGGCGGCGGCGGGTGACCCGCGCGGAAGCCTCCACGCCACCCCCCCCCACCGGCGTGAAACGAGAAGGAAAAAACCCCGACAAGTGAGGGCAGCTCGGTGTAACCCGGTGATTTACGCGGTACCGGCCGACGTTCGCCGCCCTCGCGGCACGAGAGTGACGAAGTGCGTTGTGTTTGCCTCCACTAAAAATGCGGCGCTCGCGATGTCAGCCTCGGCGACTGCCAGGCGCCTGGGCTAATTTTTCAGGGGTTACGAGGGAATGGATGCGTGGTGCAGGCCACCCACTGGGCTGCGTGACCCCACCAGCGGGGGTCGAATATCTTCTTGGGCACCAGCAAAGGTCAAGGGACCCTGGGAGGCAAGGGGCGGGGAGGGTGCCATGGGATTCGTTTTTTTTGTCGTTGCTTTGTTATAATTCTATCTGCGATCCAATAGGGCTGGGAGGGGTGGGAGTGAGTTGGGGGGGGGCGTTCAGCTGCCGCTCCGTAAATCAGCCCCTTCGCGGGGTTAAGCAAAGGGACGTGAAGGCGGCATTCATGAATGGAGGCATCGCTGGCTTCCCTCACCACGGCCAGGGAAAGTCCACATTGCTCCGGTCGGCCTCTGCTTCTCGCGATTCCACCACCGTTCTCACTGCACCTGTGCTTTTGTATTGTTTGCTGTTGTAACTTTCTGACCACGTGCCCCTTGCTGGACACCTGTGAAAAAAGAGCTTTACAGCTCATCGGAATCCTCCAGTATAAATACATGGTCTGATTCTGATTCTGTGTCGGAGTCCTGGTGCTTTATTTCTTCGGTCTCCGACCTCGACAGATCTCAGAAGATGAGCAGGTTTTACCTTCGACAGTGCTTGGGTGAGCAACCGCCGTTGGCAATTGGTGTTACAATATAGGCTACGTTGTAGGTATGGAGAACTTATTTCACACCATCCGTAGCCAGCCGTGCTCATCGGAGGTGCGGGCAGCAAAAGGCAGCGCAGAAAATTCCACTGTTGTACTGTACGTACCCTCACTGACGGACATGGCGAACGTCTGTATGGCCCGCGCAGCGTGTGGATTGACAGAGGGCTGTATGTATACAATACACGGACGTCTACGCCGCGCTAGTACAACCTCATGCACGCACAGGAGTCGTCGGTCCCAGCAAGGGAAGAATGAACGTTGAGAGATAGGCGGTCACGCAGCAGGAATTTGGCACAGACGAGGAATTTAATTATTGAGCTGCAATGCGATTGTATCCAGAACACTGGGGTTTAGGGTCCTCTGTTCTCATCGTCAAAGGGAGCGAGGGGGATTTTTCATTTAAAAGGGGGTAGAGGCAAGACTACAGCCTGATGGCCCCATCTGTAAGGTGATCCTTAGCAGGGCTTCGTTCTATTCCTTAAACAATGTTTGACAAACTACGAAGGCAGGAAAGCCAGATATTAGTAAGAAACAACGATTCCTTCAAACTATTTTTTTAAATCTAATAATAATTATTATGTCATTACAGCATGGCGAAGTATGGTTAAACAACCCCATGACTGGCATGGCTTGGGGAGTTTTCATCCAGCAGTGGATTAATGAAGGGCTTTTAAACGTTAAACATTTAACTCAACTAATGTCAGTTATTTACCCAGCAAAGCGTCACAGAGTCTTAAGACTTTTTTTTTCCATGAGGGTCCTGCATTGGGACGTTCAATTTCATGAACGAGTGTATTGACTGAACGCGGGAGTAAATCCGAGAACCCGAAGAAGACCCAAGCGTACAAGGGGTAACACTCAAATGCTGCCACCATCTCCTGGCCACCCTGGAGCCCCGCACTCCGACACCTGCCAATCCCTGGTGGTGATCACCCACCCAAGTACCGACCATGCTCAGAAATCCGGCTTAGCTTCCAAGATCCGATCGGATCGGGTGCACTTCAGGGTGATTTGGTCATCGTCAAACCAATGCGCAGTTAAGCCAACTATTTGTGGTTATGATAATAGGTTTTACCCTTTTATCTGGCAACAAAATTGACACCTTTTTACAAGGGATCATGTTTGCATTCACCACAATACTTGCGGTCAAAATGCAAACAAAAAACAGCACTCTGATAATGCATGCATTGTCCTTGAAACTGATTGGTCCACACCAGAGACAGCTTTTGTTAGAGCCCAGGCTCACACGGTGTCCGACCAGATAACGCCAAAAGGCGCACAACTCAAAGACAATGCACCATCAGATTATTGAGAGCTCGGGGTAAGCATTTACATCATTGTAAAAAGGTGTCAGTTTTGTTGCCAGATAAAATGGTAAAAACCTATTATAATATTTTGCTACTGGCAAAGGAGGTCTCATGATGATATTTGTAGTTAGCGGCGTGGCAACGCAGTCCAAATGAAATAATGCAGCATGAATAGACTATGAGACAGCAAGGGCCAAATAATTCACGATGAATGTGCTTCCTTATTGCAAATAGCTCACTAAGAATAGCCATGCCACGTGTACATGGGCACGTGCTAGCTGCCCGCGCACTGCAAACTCGCGGTATAATCGTAGACGCTGGTAATTGCACCGAAGCGTGCGCGTGTGTCATCGTACAGGCGTTTTTTTTTTGTCACATGGGCACAGAACAGTGACTCACACGTGGCACGTGTAGGACAGAAAGGGCCGTTAGACTGGGTGTATAGTTAGCAGAGCAAATTACCTAAAATAAGTGATTGGACCAATTTTTATTTTAAAGACTTGGAACATCTGTGCATGCAGGAGGATAGCACTCAAACTCCACACATACACAACAAAAGCCTATACCAGGCCTACTTTCTGTTATTTCACCTACTTGGTACCTAATTTCTCTAGATATACAGAACTCCTTTCAGCCGAGACCCTATTACCAGTGACTCCTCTTCTCCATGGGAACTGGAAATAACTTCTATTATTTGTGGCCCTATCCTTTCAATTTTGTGAACATTTTCGGATTACGGAGTAAATCTGTGGATTATGGGTTCCGTGATATGGTTCCCCACATGACCATGGAGGAGAGAAGTTCTGCTGGAGTTGATTTTCATCACCGTGATCCACCAACCCCAAATTCTCAGTTGTTAGGTTCCAGGTGTACTCCTGCTAACGCATATGAGTGTTGGAAACACAATTAAAAAGTAACACTTAAACCGTAGGAATTCTCAAGAAGATTCTTATGGAAGGCTTTGTGTAGACCTAACTGCCTAGATAATTGAGATGAAAAGGCAAATGCATTTGACAAGTCGCGTAACAGAAAATTTGGCAAGAGAAATCTGCTACAATGAGAAGAAGAGCGGAGATGTGCTGGGAGTGAGCGAAAATGCCGACAAGCAGGAATTAACTAAGAGGTCTAATTCAGAAGCAAGGTGGCATATACAGGACACATCCTAAGAGGGTCAGCGACAGGTATGACGAAGATGATTGTGTAGGGGAATTGCAAGCGAAGAGGGCCAAAGGCCGGAATAGGATCAGTTGGTGAAACAATCTGAGACTTTGGACGGGACTCTCCCTCAAAGATGCTGAAAATAAAGAAATATGGAAAGCGTTTGTCATGAGCATCGACCTTCATTTATAAAGTTGACTCGAGGTATAATTTCATCATGAAAGTCAACATTGCTTTATAGTTCCTCTGGAACTTCTGGGAAGTCCTATATGATTTTTCCATCAGAAGGCACAATGGCATACCAATGATAAGATGTGTAACAATGATCGGGAGCTGTCTGAACGCCTTTCAAGAGTTCTCCGCAAAGACGTACCTAATAGTCCAACCCCTACTCATTATATCATGGCTTGCATAGACATGACAGTTGCCTGCAAATCACGTGGGGGTTGGTGGATCACGGAATGATGGAACCACCACGTGCCTGAAGACACGTGCAGGGGCAACAAGGCGATGTCTGTGGGTGGCTGCACAGCAAGTAGGTTTCTGACCAGCTACCATGTACAGTTTGTGTGTTTCTCTCTCTGCGCGTGGGTTTTCTTCAGACACGTGACCAGGGTGAACGGTGACCGGCTGCTAAGGAGGGTGAGGGGTGGGAGCACTGGAAGTGGCTAGGGGAAGAGGGACACAGCAGCATCTGATTGGGTGACAGACTCCAAACAACGGACGGGATGGAAGCCGTCTCAGTTGATGGATGCAACTATATGGAACAGAGATCGGTGGAGATACATTGCAGGCAGATTATCGCTGAAGGAATACAGCCATGCCTCAATGGCTGAGAAAGGCCAAGGGACCACAGCAAGCAGACTCTGGTTTTCTCACACATGTAAAATAACTGTCCCTATAATATGCCAAGCAACTATTTCCTGCATGTGATCGCCGAGACCCAATCAAGCTTAACAACCTCCATGCCGAAGGGCACGTGAAGTAAATTCACGTGCGTAAACGTATTGTCATGAGGAAGGCAGTAGATGTGAGATCGGAATTATGAACGGTGTCCTTAACGTTCGTAATGAGTGTAGCTGTAAACAGTTGCAACTCTCAGGGGAGACGAAATGAAGGTCCGAACTTTGTTCTCCAGAGGCTAATGCCCCCCAACCATTATCCCGCTCAGGTGCCCAAAATTAACACAAAGGCACTTGCTGGTCCATCATCACGTGTCACATTTATGGCTCAAGGTGGCAGTTGAAGGCCAACAACATAGCTGTCAGCATGCAACAGGCGTCATGGAGCAGTTAAGAGACGTCCTAAAAAAAAAAAAGCGACGTCTCGCACGCGCTGGCGCGCGTTCGACCTTACGTCGCCCCGCCGGAACGCCGGGGGCGGATGGAAACTCGTGTTTATTTTGTGAACGGGGACAGACGCTCCGTAAAAAGCGACGAGTAATCCATCGGACTGGACCGCGGACGCATTTCGGGAGCGACGGAAATAAACCGGCGCTGTACACTTGGAGGGGATCATGTAAACAAGATGGGGGCCATGTGACATTCCCCCGCCGGCGTTCCGGATTAGCGCGTCCTCTCTCGTTCTGTCGCTCCGTTCCGGAGTCGCCCAAATGAGGTGGGGGGAGGGGGCTCTCGGCCAAATTCGACCCGGTTGACACTCGCGCGTTGCCCTCTCCGTTCGGCAGCAAAGCCGAGGCACAACAAGTCTCCGTTAGTTTACTCTCGCAGGCACAAGGGTATCGTGGAGTTTTGCAACGGCACGGCACCTACAGCGGTGCCCCGCGCCCCCCCCCCCCCCCACTTTACAACCCTGGCCCGACGAGTGGAATATGAGCAGCCAAGGCAGTGGGGCGTCAAGTGGACAGGTCTGAAAATCTTTCCACTCCTCTTTAAAAAAAAAATCGTATCCAGCTGTGCCATTTCAAAGTCAAGTCAAAGTGTCCCCCATCCCCCTGCTCCAACGATAGATCGCGTAGACGACATAATCCCCCGTTGGTGGCCCCTGAGCCAGCGGTGGAAATTATACATTCCCAGGGCAGGGGCAAGTTTATCCAAAGGTGTTACTTACACGTGGCACAGTATATAGCCAGGAAGGTGTAAGCACATGGCAGCCCTGGAGAAAACTGGGCTCAAAAAGTTGTCAACCTAAATGTAAAAGGCAGGTGTTTCAACAATACAAGATGCGGTGGCGAGATATTAACTCCCTCGCCTGGTATACAGAAGGTCGCGGGATCGATCTCGACCCTGACGCCTGTATATTTGGAATTCGCATGTTCTCCTTGTGGTCGCATGGATTTTTCTCTCCGGGTCATCCAGTTTTTCCCTCCACATTTAGAATCACCACGCGTTTAGAGTCTTTGGCTGCGATAAATTTCCACGTGATAAGCCACTTCGTTGGGCTATCATTTGTGGCCATGTGGCTTCTGAAAAAATAGCTACGTAGCTCAGTGGGCCTTACCTGGCAAAAAGAAAAAAAAAACCTTAGTTTAGTAAATTAAGATATCTCACCCTGTTGAGGCCACAAAGAACAAGACACTGCCCTCGCAGGTCCGCGAGAAGACCAATGTTGATAAAGCTGCGACAAGGGCATGGAATTCTACACACGTCTGAGCACTCGGACAATGAGCAGAAGCCACTCCGCTGTTCCTTGCGAGGTTACAGAGACGGAATCGCCATGCCCCTTCTTCCCTCCCTCGTGCCTTCCCATGCTTTATAATCCCCAATGAAGGATATTTTGGGCTTTGCCGATGCTTTTTATGGAACAGGAGCCCAGCGCAGACGTAGACGTACACAAACCGGTAGCGAACTTTAAAGACGTTACCCCTGGTAGCCCGTTGTGACTTGAAGCAATACGGGGACTCGAGATACGCACTGCCCAATGACTGTGACCGATGTCAACGACAATAAGTTAGATTCTGGATGCGTCCACAGCATAAACAACCTGTCTCAGAGCACAGAAATCAGGTGGCAAAGGCTAAAAATTCTTGTTTTCACTCATCTCATGAAAATTACCCATGATAAAGTGAAAAAGTGAGAACTGTATAATTCAATCTCAATTTTTTTTTATTGTAAATATTATATATTAGACTTCCCAATTGTGGAATCCAGGATATATATTTTTATTTGTACTGATAGATGTTAGGATCATCGTAGACCACATGTTTATTAATGAGCGCAGACTTTTTGTGACAAAATATTGTACTGGTTTTTTGACACGGACCCAAAACTGGCGTCGCTCCACACATTAAATTAATGTACGAAGTTCCGCTTCACAGCTCACGTCGACTTGTGGACTCTGTTCGCACGAAGTAAATTAAAGGCAAAACTGAAGAGGTCACTTGCTCTGATCTCATTAAGGCATTCTAGTGGTAAGTGGTCATTTAGCCAGATTCACTTCAAGTTTTTGGAAAATCGTTGACAGAGAGTTAACTTCGAAACTATAGAGTATTTTTTTTTATTTTACCAGGTAAGGCCCACTGAGCTATCTTTTTCAGAAGCGGCCTGGCCACAAATGATAGCTCAACGAAGTGGCTTATCACGTGGAAATTTACAGCAGCGGCCAAACACGCTGAACGCATGTTTCTAAATTGTGAAGGGAAAAACCGGAGAAAAATCCACGCGACCACAGGGAGAACATGCGAACCCCAAATATACAGGCGTCAGGGTCGGGATTATAATCCACGACTTCATTGTAATCCACGACTTCCTGTATACCAGGCAAGGGAGTTAACATCTTGCCACCGTGGCACCCCTAACTGAACGCCCAAGCAAAACAGCAGCAGATATCGCACCAGAGTAGTTTTAGCACTTACCTCTTTCCTCGTTTATCGGTAAGTTCAGGCGGCATGTCCCAAAACCTAATATTTAAAAGTAGATAAATAGTGTGTGCATATATGTTTTACTCTCAGTTGAATGTTCTGATGGGTCTCCGTTTAATGCGCACCGTACGCACTGTAATTTTATGTTGCTATACCCACGTGCGGTGATGGCTGAGGACTTCAATTATTGTGAGACGTTTGACACGGAGTTCAGCTTTAAGCTGTCCCACCCGGTTGGGTCATGCTGCTTAAAAAATGTCGCCCTACCCCTCCCAGCGACGCTAATTTAAGCGCCCGATGATTGAGTGCTCAGAGTTGTGGCAGCCAGCGGGTTATGGGAAAATTACATCCCCACCCCACGTATAAAAGGCATCGGTTTTTCCAGCCGGTTTTTTCTTCATCATTTTTTGTTGTTGCCGTGCTTCCAAATAAAAGCACGAGAAAATAAATAACGGAGCGACGCAACCGCGCAACAATGCTCGAGCATGGTCCAGCTCTCCGATGTGACTTTTTTTTCCTTCCTCCCGAGTTGGACCGCGTGGTTGTTCGGCACGATGTCCGACGTTTCGCTCCACGTGCCGCGAGAGGCTCCCGGGAACGCGCAGCGAGACGCCAGACGCAGCGCAGAACACCGTGAGGTACAAGAGGTACAAGCGACCGCAAAAAAAAAACAACTTACGCGGTGGTAATGCAACGTATTTCTCCCGTCACTGGATGGTTAACGAAATCGGGTGAGGCTTACACGTGACTATCTGGGCTACATAGTTATTAGAGGAAAAAACAGTAACACGGGGTGACTATGGTCAGGGTGAGCAATAGGGGGTGGTAGCCGCCGTGCGTCAAACACGCCCCATTGACGTGCGCACATCTAAACAGAAGCCAGGAGAAAATAGAACCGTGTTCCCAACATTCTTCTCTCGAAAGTTCTGAATGGGAGGAGCTAATATTAGACAGAGTGCCGTTGAAATTAGTCAGCGGGCAAATTTCCTCTCGCGTCGATTCAATACGATCTTCTCTTACGTTGTTTTTGCGACGGTCGTCTTCTGAGTATCTTATACCAAGGAAGTATTTGTAGTCTTATCTCTGTGATACAAGGAGAGTAAATTGCTCAAGCGTTGCCTGCAATGAACTTTATATACGGCCAATAGTAAAATTGCCAATGAACGTGCCAAATGTGGACCCTAATCGGTTGGCTTATTTTCAGAGACGCGGCTTATTTTATGAGGTTGAAAGGGAGCGGCATGCAGATGGATAGGTCTGGGCAGAAAAGATAATATTATTTCTCCTAAGTGAGAATACATAACTTGATAATTCTGTAATCGTAAATGCTCACAGATGCTCTAACATTAGCTGCAACTACAGGGATTATAACAACTAATCGCAGAAGCCCTTAGGACCATTCAACAGCACTACCCTCCTCCAAACAGACCCACTATATTTTCCATGATACCTTTAAGATAAAGAAGAAAGAAAAATAAGTACGAACTGCAAAAGCAAAACCAACAGTCTTGCCCCATCAGAAGCAAGAACAGTGCCTTTAGAAACCAAAGCCTTCAATTTGTCTTTATAGATTTGTTGGTTCAACAGGGACGTGGCTCTTTAAGAAGGAGTAGCTGCTCAAACAGCCCATCCTCAAATAAGGTTAAGCAAAGATGCTTACTCACAAATTCGATGTCGTACACTTAATCGCTGAGTACTGCAATACCCAGCCCCTGGTCTCCCAACATCGTCGTCATCATCATCATCAACAGAATGGAATCTACTTGAAAGCCAGACCTTTGACCAATCGCGCTATACCCGGCTACAATTCGCGAAGAACGAAAATAAATGGTGAGCATTGCACATTGAGTTCTGAGAAGGAGCGGCAGAAAATACATTGAGTGCTGTATAATAATAATAAAAAAAAACCTGTTCATCGGCATGGCATTTACTGGTGCATAGAGAAGAGAAAAAAAATCCTTTTTTTGTGTCACGACTTCGAATACGTAGGTGCGAAGGGTGGGGAAGACTTTTCGAAGAATGCTATATTAATAGCGCGTGAACGCACACATTACCGCACCTCCGACGAGGGCAGGTTGGCTACGTACGGCGCGAAAGAAGTTCAACATACGTACGTACATCGTCACCTTTCATGGGTAATACAAAAAGCCCCGCCCTAAATTTGAGCCCGTTATCAATCCACTGCTGGATGAATGGCTCCCATGCTGTGCATGGGGGTGGTTTGACTACATTTCACCACACTGGTAAATACGACTCTATTATTATGTTATGCAGTACTGTATTACTGTGATATAGCAGTAGTGCAGTGGGTTTTAGTGCGCCGGTACTACGAACCGGCTGACCTCAGTTTGATTCCCAGCCATGGCTAACATCGGTAGCAAGTGATACCTGAACTGGTCCTGAGCACACAACCCAATCCTCCAATCTGCACTGACGAGCGCTGTGAATTCAAACACGGTGCGGTGTAGCGCACACCAACCACACTGAACAAAAACGACCTCTAGATTTATTGCCTTCAATTACCAATGCAACCGTGTTTATAACCGTGAACAGCAATATCAAGGCATGAACAAAGGCACGGTCTATGCGAATTGGCCAAGGGATTGAAGGAATGCTTAATGGACTAATTCATATTCCACAGAGTAGTGATTCTCTAGCCTGGATTGAGACGTGAATATTATAATTTTTCAAATGTGTTTAAAAATACATTTTGAGTTTTCCCCGATTCATTACGTTGCTATAGTCGCTCGCTTGCTTAGCAACATTTAAATGCAACAGTTAGGATCCCTTTCCTGCATTCGCGTACAATTGTATAAATGATGGTATAATCATCATCATCATCAGAATTATCCATGGTCAATCCACTGTTAATTGTAAGGTTTCTGATTCTGCGATGTAACAATCCATTGATCGCCTGTAAACAAGCTGATTGAATCGCTCCGTCGCTTCGGTAGACATACTTTATAATAAATTAATGCACTATTACTCTGATTACTCCGATTATCACGGTTGGCTACATACGGTGCGAAAGAAGTTCAACGTAAATACATGCAACAATAATGAAATATAACAGACACACAGCGTTTTCACCGGCATAAATGATGGTGAATCTGAGGTGCGGAGCCAAGGTCGGCGTCGCTTGAAAGCCAGGCGACGGAGGAGTTGGGGACTTTAAAGTGGCCCTTAAAGTGGGTGCCGATTGAAAGCCGCCGCTGCTGCTGCTGCTGAAAATGTGCAGAAGGAGCAGCAGCAGGGACGACGACGATGATAATGATGGCCGCATTTCAGATGGAGGGGGTTTCCACGTAGAAATCACGACCGACGATGACGGCCCTGGCCCTCGGTGTAGAGAGGAGGAGGAGGTTGTGAATGGCGCTGCTGTGGAGGGTTCTACCGTGAGATGCAGCGCAAGGAGGCAGGAGCGAAGCGCGCGACATGGGGCTGCCATAGAGGCAAATGACGACCGGCGGTGACGGTCCTTCTCCTTGGTGAAGAGAGAGGAGGTTGTGAGTCGCGCTGCTGACGAGGAGTGAAGAGGGATACGGTGGGCGACCGAAGGACGAGTTTTGTGTGTTTGCGCTATTGTCACACGGCTGTGATGGTCACAGTCTGCCCTTCGCTGACCAGATACTGGAAGGTCAACGCACGTGGAATGAGTCTCATGCGTCGCAAGGCACTCAAGGACTGGCTCACGGAGTTGAAAAAAAAGAACAAAAGCGAGAGACGGACACCCAAATAGAATTCAATAAATAAAACAGGAATTAACCAGGCTCGGATGCAACACATTGCTGCCCAGTATTCGGAAGTGCACATTCTGAAATGCGCAACCTGAAATCATTGTAGGTCCCCGCATGCACATTTTATGACCTCCTGAAACAGGACACAGCTCATAAAAGTTTCAAAGTGTGCGGGCCGTGTTTTGTTTCGGCTCTGCCCCGTGTGCCCGCCACCATAATGAGTGTCTGGTTTAGAGCGGGGATCCGATTGCCTGCACGAAGGCAATGCACTCACGGAGACGGCCTAACGGTAACGCGCCGCTGGATTAATTTCCACGACAGACAAAACGGCTTGTTCTTCGGCTGGCTTTACGGCTAAGCGGGCTAAAGCTCAGGTTAACACAGTTAAGGGCATGGTTACTAACTTTCGGACCGTTTGCTACCAACACTGGCCAAGAATGCATTTGTTTGATTGAAGCGCAAATATATATTTTTTTACAAGCGTGACATAATTCGTGTGTGGCACGGCAATGGTAGTAACGACGTTGGCGACGATGATGATGATGCTGTCAATATTTTAATGTTTTGGTGAGAAAAGAGAATTAGGTTCATTCCAGTTTATCACGTAACTCTGGCTGTCGCCTGATGAAGCTGGTTGTAATTACCGGCGAAACGTTATACATGTTGTGGGTTTACTCTCCAACACACCGGTGTGCTGAACTAGCAACGAATTGGCAAGTTTTGATTACGTGACAAACCTTACTAATTGGCTGCGTCGGGTGGTGGCGGGTTTAACGACACATTATGGACACATTTATATTTACGCGATCTAATCCAAAGACCTCTCTTAAGTTAATTCCACTTTACATATCAGTATCAATGCCTTTTCACACTTCAGCATCAATGCCCCTCTCACGTGAGGCATGCTCAATCTACACCTACGGTGCGCGTTACAGATGCGTAATGTTAATTCTCATAGAAGTTCATTAATGAAAATAATAACGTACATATTTTTGCGTTTCCTGCTTTAATACTGAATGGACACTTATTTACAATTTACAATTTACACCAGCTACTGCACCTTTTTCAATTGTACTGACGATGCAACGAGGCACGTTCCAATGTATCAATTCATCAGATAAAATCGATTCTATATTTCACAACACACGTACGATAACTGTGCGTGCAACGCTTGATTAAGTTTGATTTCTACACATTGTATGTCATTTATTTCAGGAAACGCCATAGCCACTCGGGGGTGGCTACACAGCACACTGACAAAAAATATAATCGATTATTGAATTAAGATTCACACTCTCAATTGTGAAGATTCACGAGCATTGTGTGGGAAGTGAATCATAACATGTCTAGATATAAATACAAGTGTAAGATAGAGTGTGAATTGAGCGATATACTCTGGGTGCGTGTTTTTATATATATTGGAGGTAATAGGGGGTGATTGAATGCTAGATATATGACCTTTATGACCAGGTGAGGGCCCAGTTAGATCAAAATCCTCTTTATCAAGAGAGACCAGGGACAAAAACGAATATCTGATCATTAAAAAAAATACAAGCAGAGTGAAAATTTTAAACAGAAAAAATTGTAGCTTCAATGATTTATCTGCAGTGTATGAAGCGGGAGTTTATACTTACAGTACATTGAGGATGATAAAGCCACAATTGGCAGCATTTATTTCTAAGATAAAAAATCTAAACTTACGGACACAAGCTATTGGGAGAACCTTGATGAAATGTCTTTCTACGGCTGTTTCCCCACGGGATAGGTGTCTACAGTACTTGAAGTGAGACATGGAATGGGGCTTTACTCTGTAAGACCAATGCCAGTTGCATATCAGAGCTAAAATGAACATTATCCTCCCAAGCGTGCTGGCATAAACTGCTAAAACACCAAGTGACACTGAGACCCTAATGGAACCTAAACGATCTGTTAACACAGTGTGCAGTGCCACCTAGATGCTTTTGTCTCTCTCTGTTGCTGATATTGACACTGCATCGGCCTCTCACTTTAGTGCGTAGCAAGTGTAGGGGTGCTATGGGGAATAAACACATGACACGGGAAGGTGTGGTTCACCCACACCTTGGTGGCTACAACAACGTCCGCTAAGGCTCCAGTGGGTATAAAGTGCGGGGAGCCAGGGAGCTCGGGGCAGAGTGTGGGGCCCGAGGCTGAAGCAACCAGTGAAGAAAGAAGGCCAGCTAGGTGAGACCCTGGAACTCCTGTGACCGCTGCCCTTTTCAGGGCCGGCACAGCAAGCCAGTGGTGCGGCCCCAGAGCCCCAGAGTCAGAGTCCTTCTAAGGGCCGGTCTGGTCGGCGGGGTGCCGAGATCTGTGCCTAACCAGGGCCGGATCTGATAGCCTCCCTTAGAGCCCTACCAGGAGGAACTGGGAGCCTAGAGCTTAGGCCAGAGAGCCTGGGGTGTGTTCCTGAGTTATACGGGTGGAGGGGCCGCTACCCCTTCTAGTGTAACCCTTGTTAAGGTTTAAATAAATAGTGCTGCTTCTATTCTGCCGTCTCCGTGTCCTGGAACCCACTACAACTGGTGTCAGAAGTGGTCTTAAAATGGACACAAGGAGTACAAACCGATCACAGGAACCCCAGGAGGAGGACGGCTCGCCTGGGATTGCGCCAGAGGCCGCGGCCGACGATCCTGGGATGTCCCAGACGCCCCAACAGCAGCCGCCGCTGGAGGAGTGGCCGCCGATGGAGGACGGGTTGCAGGCGGCTCACTCTCGACTGGCTGAGCTGCTGTATGCCGCGGCTTCCACGCTGGAGGAAATCAACCGCGCGGGGCTGCGGGCGCAAAGGCGGCAGAGAGACGAACGCCGTTCAACGGCCATTCCCGCCGAAACACAGCCACCAGATTTCGGATTTGCCGCCATGACAGTGTCCGCCACGGCGATTGGAGGGTCGCAGCGCCACGTGGACGCTGTGGGCCAATCAGCGGTGGTGACGTCATCACCAACGGACGCCCGCTGTCAGGACCAATCGGTGGGCGCATCGTCATCACCTGCGCGACCGCCGATGGGTGTCCTCAGCCCCTCAGACACCGGTGGAGAGGCCGGAAATGGCGCGCGGCACCTCTCAGAGACGAAGCCATCGTTTCAACAACGCCTGCCGGTGTTGAAGGAGTTCGTTTCAGACGGCGGCGACTGGGGGGCCTTTCAACGCCGCTTTCTCGCTCATCAAGAGATGGCCGGCTGGACGGACAACGAGGCGTTGAGTGCGCTACCGGCCATGCTGGACGATGACGCCCTTGCTACGCTCATCACAGCTCCCAGATCAACGCGATCTACGCTACAGTCGGCGCTCCAGGTCCTCACCATAGTCTACGGGCCATCGTCGGACTGCCGCAAACTCTTCCACGAGCGGTGCAGGGGCCAGAAGGAGCCACCGCTGGCGTATCGCACGGCTCTCCTGGCCCTCGCAAAAGCGGCTTTCCCGCGGATGGACGGCGAAGGGGTGGACGCGATGGTGACGGAGAAGCTCCTGGCGTTGGCCCAGGAGCTACAGATCGTCATCGTCGCAGAGGACGACGCGGACATGTGCTCCTTGCGGGCAGCAAGACACATCCACGCGCACCTGATAGCGCAGCGTCGATCACCTCTCGTCCCCAAGGGCGCAGCTGCGGTGTGCGCTGGGACGCCGACCATCCCCCCCTCCGAGGAGGTCTTCGCGGCGGGTCGCCCGGTGGAGTGGAGATCCGGAGGGAGGCCGGCTCGGACCACACCGGATCGCCAGGAGCACCCCAAGGCGCTCATCACGTGCTACAACTGTGGCCGCAAGGGCCACGTGGCTGCGGAATGCCGGGCGCCTCGTCAACGACAGCCGGGACGGTCGGACGGCGCTCCAGCCTACAGGCCTCCGCATCGCAACCCGGCAAGTCGCGGCACCCCACATGCTCGGCCTGTGCACACACCTGTCCCCACCTCGCGCGTTTCGGTGTACGGGCCTCGGGGTACGCCCATTGGTTTGTTGGGTGGCGGCGGGGTCGAGAGGGTGCTCGGGCCGGGGCAGTGGACGGAATTGGCCCACCGCATTGTTGCTGCGTCGGCAGGCTCGTCCGTGGTCGCGGGTCACATTGACGGGGTCGAGGTGCGTATCCTCGTCGATACGGGAGCTTCGGCGACCATTGTGTCAGACTTGATTTATAATATTCTTCCCGTTCAAAGCCGCCCCTTGCTCCCAGTCACCGTTCCGTGTTACGCAGCGAACGGGGGTTCGCTGGGTATCATAGGCCAAATTCGAGCACAAATTTGCATTGGCGATATCAAACTCTCCGGGCCGATATTAGTCTCGTCCTCGCTGGCGGTTCCGTGCTTGTTGGGGACGGACTTTTTGGGCAAAATGCCGATTAAAATTCTAATTGATCAGGGTTGCATCGAGCTTCCCTCGGGCCGACGGGTAACATTCCTGCCTTCCCCTGTCACCTCAAGGGCAGCGTGCGCGTCGATACAAGC